AATATTTTCTAAATATGCCCGGGGATCTATGGTGAGAAAATAATTCTGGTTAACGACTAGCATCATTGCTATCCAGTACGTGGGTCATTGATGAATTTTTCAAAGATGCCAAAATAAACTTTAACATTTAAGACTTTAAAGGCAGAATCAGATCTATGGGGAGTGACAAAATTGCAAGCAATGTGTACAATTGACCTACCAATGTATTACTCAAATAGCTCAAATATAATGGAGATTTTAACCTGACAATGGAGAGGTTAAGCTTTGCATATATAATCGTAACTGAACCTGTACGTATCACTCGACCATATACAAATTCATGTAGCCTTCTCATATAAATAGCCGTTCAAATCCAGTGTTTGTTTAGACTACACCATAGCGTGTAATGATTCTATAGTATGTCATCGATGCGGTTTTATAGCTGGTTTTCTAATACATATTTTAAACGAGCTCGTTTCGTAAGATTTTTGGCGCTAAATCATGCATGACATACATCATCGTGTTCAGCAAGAATTCAACTGTGCATCGAAATCAAAATTGACAGCATAGTGTTCAATAGACACGAGTAAAATGGTTCCCGTTGACCCAACGTCAAATTTCAAATCTCCCGTTCTAAACCCGAAACTCTGAAGCTGAAAGAGTATCTGAAGTAGACTAAGCGCGCATAAAACTATGAGCGCTCGATACATTCCTTTGTTCATTTTTGTACTTTGCGTTCACGGTTACGTTGTGAAAAACATCGTTAGCTTAACCTCTCCACTGTTTTCACAACGTATCCGCGAACGTAGAGTCAATGAAGCAATGCGGTTGCAATTATAATGCAACACTCTGAATAAGTTTATTAGCTCAGAAATATATTGTTTGTATATAAAACATATAATGGGTAACATTCACTACCCCTGAACAGCTGCAAGTGACAGACGAACTTCCAAAAGACTTGGACTTTGCAAAATAATATGAATATGCTGGTTTAAGTATATATCAGATACACGGGTAGTATCTAAAGCCCCGCTATGATTTAGAAGTCGCGAGCAAATACCCGCTGAAATCGCGAGCAATTAAAAGAAAAGAAGGGTTATCTTTTGTTTACTTAAATTGTATGTTATAAAAAGCGTTTTCATTTAATTTTACTCAATTATTACATGGTATTGATACTAAAAAGCAACTTCTGCAAAAAAGGATCACGAGCTGATGTTCTGAGTTTTGTTATTCGATAATTGGAGAGAGAATGTATTATCTTGAATTTTTATCTATATATTTCTATATTTTATAGCTGAAGAAGGTCATTGCCCTTCAGTTGAAATGGTCATAGTAATATGAAATGAAGGTATTGTGAGTTTCACTTCCTAAAGTTTCACAAAAAATTATATATTTCAATTTTAGCATATCCCTTGAGGCCCCGCTTCTACCATGAGCAATAAACTAAAGATCCCGCTGAAAACATGAGGAGGCCCCGCTGAAAACATGAGGAGGTCCCGCTGAAATCAGGAGCAAGTGGCTCTCTAAAATGGAGTGAAGACTGATTTGACTTTGCAAATCTGCCACGACTGTAGCCAACGTAATAAATATATTAATTATTGATACTCTACAGAGGACATATATATCATATATCATTCTCATTGTTATTATCGGTTCGAGCAACCCCCCCCCCCCCCTTACCAAAAGCTGGCTACGAGCATGATTCCAATAAAACCATTTCACTTAATGTATTTCGACCTGACTCCATCGAGAAATTTACCAAGAGAAGATTTAAATCCATTCCACGACTTTTGACAAGTTTCAAATAACTCGTTCTTCTTTGTATGCAATATATATTTATATTTCACTGAAGTTACATTATACTGTAGGCTAGTTCAGTATATTACTACCTTAGAGGATTCAGCACCAATGGCGCACACGTTTGAAAAGGCAATTTATGGATCAACTGCTAGATGTAAGTAACAAAGGAGTACATCATCCGATTATGAGTCCGAAATAATAATAATCAAATAATTTCATCATTAACAATTAATCGTAGGTTATGTTAAACGCACGTGTTACGCGGAAAACATGATGCAAATATGTGTCATATTCTGCAATAAATATGGCATATTCACTTGCGGTGTATGACAGATTCAGCTGCAGTATATTGCATACCCACTAAGCAATGAGAACACGATACAGAAGTACGCAATTGTCAATTGCATTGATTGAACAAACGGGTAATCATTGTGTCATTTTCACCTGCTGTATATGACATATTCGGCAAGTGAGTATGACATATTCTGCAGGTGACTATCAGGTATTCACTGAAATCAATGTATCGCATATTCACGGCGGAATATCGCATACTCACCTGCGGAATATGCCATAAACTGCAGGTGAGTATGGCATATACTGTATACCCATATCACAAATACCACGCAACCATAAATGTATGCCATACTCCGCGTAACATCGTATGTGTTACGCGGAATATGGCATATATTCATGGTTGCGTGGTATTTGTGATACGGGTGTATATGCCATATTCAGCTGTGGTATATGGCGTATTCCGCAGGTGAGTATGGCATATTCCGTATTGAATATGTGATACATTGATTTCAGTAAATACCCCATGCTCGCAGAATATGTCATACTCACTTGCAGAATATGCCTTACACCGCAGGTGAGTATGCCATATACCGCAGGTGAATCTATCATACTCCACAAGTGAATATTCCATATTCATTGTGGAATATGACATATATTTGTATCGTGTTTACCGCGTAACAATATGTCCAGGAAAATGGCTTATGTAGGACATACGATTTATATGTCCCGGATCCTCGTTTGAGCGGGACATACGAAAAATATTTGCCCGGATATGGAATATATTCCCGGTTGATATGTCCCTGAAAATTATCAGGTATGGAATACAAATCATCATTATTTTAATAAATATTTAAAAACAAAAACTTGAATGTTATTGTTAAATGTTATTGTTAGATTATAAAAGTAGAACCTGGATTATCATGGAGACTTTGTGGTTCTCCTTTCTCTCTAAATTTCATCTTCTTGCAACTTGGGGTGTCTTTGTTTAATACAAGAGTCATTACCCTGAACCTCAGGCTTCAATTAAGTTCATTCTTGAAATGATATCCACCTTTCTCCTATACATTTTGATATGGATGCAACTCTATAAAATGTTTGACGAAATCTCTGGTGGCTTGAAGTTGGAATGGAAACATTAGAAACCTGGCCCTAGAATGAAACAGTATATATACAGTAATTATTAGAAGTACTTAACTTGGTCTTTCGTGTACGTTTATTTGAAGAACCTCAATATTTTATGTAATAGTAATGAGCTTTCCTCGTGATCGAAGCGGGTACTCGTGATATCTGCTCCTGTTTTCAGCGGGACCTCCTCATGTTTTCAGCGGGGCTTCCTCATAATTTCAGCGGGGCCACTGGCACACCTTCAATGATGTATTTCACCCCCCACAGTGGATGTTTTTGAAAACAAACTTATCAATACATACAATGTTGGTCCAATATTCATAATGAGGTATGTATATCGTAGTTCTTGTCTCTATTTTAACCATAAAAGTAATATGTTAACAGTAAATTATGCAAACGTGCATATTGACGGGACGCCCGTTTCTTCCATGCCAGTAAAAATAGTTATCTTTCATGTCATTGTTTGTGAAGATATACCTGTTCTGAAAGTATACCTAAAGTATCAAAGAGCAGCAATGCGTATTCTTACCTTTTTGGTCCATATTTCCAGATGAATTAAATAAAAAGGACTTTGCTCGTGATTTCAGCGGGAACTTGCTCGCGATCTCTCACTTATAACGGGGCTTCGGATACAACCCGTGAGATAGGAGTTTTACCATTTCTATAGTGATTAAATCGTTTATATCGACACAATGTCGTGAAAATGTATATTTCCTAAGCATATTTTCTAAGATACATGGAATTGAATGACTCGAGAAAAAAGCTTGGCACAGATGTTAAATAGGTAAAATTTGAGACATGATAGTCAATGGAGTAAAAGTCATTATAAATACAATGGAAAATGATAAATCTCAGGAACATTTATCTCGCTATTTTGAATTTGAAATTCCGCACTTAGAGTTAACATTTATCAGTATTTCATATATTTCATTCTTTATTAAAACAGCTGCACGAAAATAACAACCAATGATGTATTTTTTTATTTATGCTCAAAACCTTTCATCAATACATCAAAATCCGGATCAGAATATAAATCGAATATAAATGAAAAGCAATATCATTTTCTACATGTAACTAGGAAATTGAATAGGAAATAAATTGATTATTTCATATTTTTTCTTATTATTTGCTCTTTATTTTTATGAACCGAATCGTTGAAAATATCGAGTTTTATATTGATTTGCAGTACCTTTCAATCATTTCATGTTGTCCATAAAGATGTAAAATCTAGAACATTGAACATTTTATGACGCATAAATCAGTAAAACAATATATCTCTAAAATTCCTTTAATTTGAGTATAATGAATCACATTCAGTACGACGTGATAATCCATCGATTTCCACATATTTCATCCTTTGATATTCCCTTGTACTCTTAACTCTAAATACATATATGGTTTATATTATATCAAAGTGTTCGTCTTCGAATAGTCTGATTATTCTTTTTGTTTCGGGAAATATGAAAGGATATTTGCCATGTTGAAGTCTGGGTAAGACCTCAAAATGAAGGTGTCACGCGTAACAAATGACGACAAGGAAACCTACTCCGAAGAGGGCTTTCTTCAAATTTTTATTTTATTTTTGGCTATAGTATTCCCAAGATTACAGGTAACCTTACTGCTTCATAACTATATCATCGGGGGGATAAACACAGTGCTGGACTGCAACGAAGAACGCGAAAAAATTTGATTGCTAATCAATTTAGTTGACATTTTAGATCTGATTGTTATTCAAAACCAGGATTTTTAAGACATTTCGATTAAAAGGAAACATAAGAAATTTGTATTTATAGATATAATAGCTGTATTTTATAAAAGAAATAAATTCACACGTATTTTAGCAATATACAATACAATACATGTACAATATTCAATATTGTACATGTAAATCAATGGAGTAGGCTTGTGAATATTGCTAAGAGTCCGCATATATGAAAAGTAGTGTACTAGCTGCCCCAGTTCCTCCTACGAGCCTGTTTGGTGCCAAGTCTTTCACAAACTCTGCAGCTGCTTGTTGGTGAGCCGCGTCATATTTGGACAGTATGGAATGACAAAATGCCGCCCAGCCCTGCGAAAATGAAAAGAAATAGGACATCATGAACGCTTAACATGTAAATCAAGTAGAATTACATAATAAATAACACGGCATTAAAGGGTTCCGATAAGCATCCCGTATAAAAACAATATGGCGGCTCCAGGCGAATCAACTGGATCAGTCCATTTTTAAGAAATAAGGGGAGTTCTGTAAAATCCAGTTTATTGAAATTGTCTTTGAGATAAAGAAATCCGTTTATAATGATTTTGATAACGTTATCCATGGAGTGATTGCGTTCAAACAGTACATGTACAACAGCCAATATAAATCCTTGTATTAGAACTGCTTTGTTTCATTTGTAGGATTTTTCATATGCCAAGCTGTGTGCTATTACGTTATGGGGAAATTTAGATGCCAATTTTTCCTTATTATACACAAATAGAAGATCCTGAAACTTCACCCATAAATTTGGAATTGATTTGTCAAAATAAAAATCACCCTTTTATAAATGTGTGACGATCTATAATATACTTATGCTATATAACCAGGAGGAGTGAGTAGCTCCCATAATTCTTTCATATTCTATCGTATTCGGGGATTCCCCATTACATCATCTCTTGCATCATCTCCAATCAAATTGCAGGATTCGATCACGTGAACAATCATGGGCACATGCTCTCTCAGTGCTGCGCATGCGCAGAGTTAAATTTTAAATCGTGAGAATGGCGTTTACATCAGTTCAACATCGTCATTTCAAACCTACGGTAATACTATTGAAGTTACTCGATCCATACTTGTAGAGAATACTCATAAAACTACAGTGAACATTTGGAGATCCATTTCAACGGAAAATTGAGGCCTGTTTATAAAATTTGTTTTCGAACGTGCTAATATGATAGGGCATCTTTGGGAAATCTCCCCCCCCCCTGCTATATAACAGTTAGAGGTGTTGGCACAACGACATCGAACCTGTGAACCCTTGAGTATTATTCCGGGATCGGGCCTTTTATACTAAACGGTGAGCAACACCAGAAACGAGCGTTCGATTTGCTAAACGATATGCGTCACCCTTTAACATTCAAAATGTCACCACATGCCATTTGTTACAGACGCTAAACGCCGACGTCCGCCCGCCGAACAACGTCTACGAAAAAGTTGGAGACCAAAACGAAAAATATGTCACTGTTGACATAAAAATGAGAACACAAAAATTGTTATTTTGTCACTTACTGTGCTAACCGGCTTGAGAATACTCTGATCGACCGTAGAAGCACCTGGAGCCGACCAGGGGTCCAATGCCCAACTACAAGAGTTCCTAACCCTAGATGCCCAAACCTACAAGGGCAACAAATAAATAATGTTCAGATTATTTTCAAAACTACAGCTTAGCATTCATTTATTTATTTTACCATTATCTTTTCTACCTAAAATCCGCAGACCGCGACTTCTATCGGGTTTATTTGTTAAATTGTTTACAGTGCTGTTTGTATTCCGTCTCAATTATGAGAAAAATGCATTCAGTATGTTCTTAGTTTGTCAACATTAATTTAGTCATTGCGTATTATAAATGTGAAAATGTTCATGTCATGTACAAATTACAAATCTAAAGATTTACCTGGTCCATGTAATATTTTGATATTGAGGTTATAGGTATGATCTGAATTCCCACAAGGCACGCGTGTCTCATGGGAAACTCGAACGGATCACATGGCCAATTCAATGTATAAACGAAGAAACTGTCCTCTGCGATTTGTCCCATTGCTCCGAATTCTTTGATATACTGAGGGAATAAGTGATAGTTGTCGTTTCTGACCGTGAAGTACCATCGGACTGCTCGTAGTTCAGTGGCAAGCAGAACCTGACCGGTCTGTTCCATTACGGTGTCGCCAAGTGCCGCACCTAGTGCAGCGACTGAATGATAGCAGTTGAGAGCCTACAGGAGAAATGCTCATTATTACAACACAACCGTGATGAGATGGTGACAAGAGAATGGTAAATGATAAGGGAAGAAACTAAGTATTATTGCTACACATGAAGAGACGGTTGCAATGTCAACAACTAATCAAGAGCACTGACGCGACGAGGCGGTTGCACCTAAAGTGTTTGTAACAGCGCAAAATACTCAAAATGAGTATTTTTACGACCCAAACTGAATACAAATTAATATCTTACAGGTTGAACAAATTCTGAAATTGATGCACTAAGAGCGGCGTTTCAGCCAATCAGAATTGTTTGTTTTAATTTTACCGCTAAAAATGACATCACGATCCGAAAATAGGTCAGAGTAGAAAATTTTCTATAGGCTAATACAAAATGGCTTCGCGAGAAAACAACTCCGTAATAAACGATGAGTATCTTGATATTGACGAGATGGATGACTACTATCTTTCGCGGCAGGGTAGTCCTGATATCTCCGGCGATGCGGTGCAATCGATCCAGAAGATAGCACACTTCGTCAGCCCTAACACATTTCAAGGAAAAATACAATGTACTCGATTAAAGGCACAACAGTTATATAATATGCCGACGATTTCTCAAAGATGTTTATTTTCTATTTCTGTAATTGGCAAATATATCAACATTGTCGTAAGTGTTAAAGATGAGTCCCCTTAAAGCGCTATTTCAAAAAAATGATAAGTTGGAGGTCAAAACGCCAGATATGGTGACATCAGTCTAGGGTGTCCAAAAAATTATATAGCATTAACGAAATTAAGAATAAAGGGTATTTTCACCCAAACATAGTCAGTCAGACATTAAAAATTCTATATCGTTCATTGAACTAACAGATGTATCAACACCATAAAGTACTATATGAATATTGGATGTGAAATCACCTCGGAAGAAGATTCTTCTTGTCTTGAGCCAGGCCCGATACCTGTAGCCCACGACATGCCCATGTACCAATCTTTGTGTCTCGCCACTGGAAACCATCTGTCTGCCTTGGAGTTGGGGTTTCCAACATCTCTGGCAAGAGCGTAAATTCTGTCAATATGCGCTGAAATCATATTCATTTAGTATTTATCAAATCATTGAAGCGACTGGCATTTCAATGTCATCATGGATGTCATATAAGTTTATATGTATATAGCAACCCTGCCAACCTATAAAAAATTGCGGTAGATTTCTATAATTAATTGCGGTATTTTTGCGGACGTTTATTTTAATCTACAGTTTTTCAGTTTTTTTTCTAGAAAATACTATAATTTTTTTTCAGTAGATTATTTCAAAAAAACATAACTTTTAGGTTGTTTTTAAAAAACGGTAGTCACTTACTATTCTTCCAGTTAGTGTCGTGCTGAACGTAGTACGCCAACGCGTAGAGAAAGTAGCCCACGTGGAAGTGATGATCCGCAAAGACGGGGAATCCATAGCAACCGTGTGTGTTAATGGGCGAGCCAGAATCTGCGCAACGCAGCAAGAGACCTCCCCAGACCGTATCATAGCGAAACTTGTTACCGTCACTCAGTGAATCTGAAACAAAAAGAGTAGTAGTAGTCTATAGGCACTGTGGATAAAAAACAGTACTTGTCTGTTTATACACAGACAATAACTGCCATCTTTCTGACAACCTGAGTTATTCTTTGGCACGTCTGTTGTCTCTTGTTGCTTTTCCGATAGACAAATCTTAGACAAGCTCGTTAAGTGAGATATTTGGAGCTAAATGCATGACTCACAACCAAAACTTTGCAAAATTCCTAGAACTAGTTTTACAAACCATCAATACGCAACCATTTCTCGAGACAGGATTTAATTTGTCCGTCCAACTCTAAGTAGTGGGAAGTTCCAAAAGCTCTGGATATGCTAGCTAGACGGGCAACCATGGATATGGCTTTACCGACACCATAACTGTCACTAATACTACATATATTGTTCAGATCTTGGCCACTGGCATCATTGGCAATAGCAGTGACAATGTTCTAAAAGAAGAGCAAGTTCAAAAATAGAAAGCAATACTTGTAAATGACAAGAATAACGTAAAATAGAATTGAGTAAGGGTCATTATCAGCAATGAACTTATGATATGTTACTTGTAGCTGTGTTGGGTCGCTTTTAATTCTATCAACAGCGGCTGGGTCTGGATTCATGCTAGACCTTGGCAAAGGCTCTTCCATAAGCCAGTTGTCTCCCACAAATCCCTTGAATGTATGAGGTGTGTGCAAAAGTTGACCTCGTGACTTCAACAGATCGTCCTAGAATTAGAATGTTTAATTACTTGATTTTGATGTATAGGTCAAAACGTGATCAGATCATCATCTATAAGAACAGTTACAAGTTTTAGCATGTGATGAACACTAGATTTTAAATTTTAAAGGAAAATAAGACTTACATGGTGAGGCATTGCAACCATCAGAAGATCCCCAGCACTTGTCGGGCCATTTACATTATGCTTATTCCATGCCCAGTTTACATAGCCATTGGTACCATCAGCGCAAAAACTCTGCTTAGGCTTGTACGAATATACGCCAGCATATGAGTCGTGGAAGTTAACATTGGATAAGTCCCCTCTTGCATTCGCTCCGACGTATGCAATCTGCAGGATGCCATTAAATAAGCCACCAGTCATCGGTTCAAAAAAGAGACCGTTCGCATTTCCTATGCAAATCATTGGCTCAGAGAAGTACAGTTTGAACTTTCTTGTCTGACCTGGCAAACTCACTGAAGTTGTTACTGGTTCATCAAGTTCTATGACAAATTCAGCAGTATCAGTTGCAATAACTGTACCCCTTCCTCCGCATTGATATTGGTATGGCTGTGCACCCCAGTCTCCTTCTGGCTTGAGAAAGCGACCTATGACATTAATGGCGTATTTGATTGCTCCTTCAGGGATCGGTTCTGGAGTAAATGTCAGGGTTTTTCCATCACTAGAAAGTGCACATTCACTAGCAGTACATGTAATCATTGGATGCGAAGCTGCCCATTGATCGGCGGTATTCAGAGCAATTTGTACTAGTGTTATGTCACTGATTGGATTTTCAAACTGTAGAATCAATGTAAAATGCTGCTGGCCATTGCCTGCATCAGCGCAAGATGGGTTCTTGCAGAAGTCTGAAGAACATGGGGGAATTTCACCGACAGTTGGTGGTGGGAGTGTAGGACCATTTGTGGCTGGCGGATCAGTAGGTGGATCTGTGACGACTGGGGCATTAGTAGACACAACATCGCCGCATGTGTACGTGAAAGGACTGCCCTGCCAGTCACCTGGTGGCTGGACAAATCTCCCTATTACATTAACCGCGTAGGATATATCAGAGCTGGCGAAGGAATTGCTATACGTAATGGTTCTCATATCTGTAGATAGCTGGCAAAGCCCAGTAGAGCCGCATGTTAGCATAGGTGTCGATGCGCTCCACTCGCTTGTTGGGGCAACTGCGAATTGGATCTGATTCAAGTCTGGAATTGGACTGTCCAACTCTACAACAACTTGGAATTGAGTATTTCCATTACCAGCATCCGAGCAGGATGGTGTGTGGCAAAAAGAGGAGGCACATGCCTGTAGTACGGGGAACGATGCTTTCTCAAGTCCAACATGACGTCGTCTTATGCTGTCGCAAACGGTAGATAGTGGGTTATTAGTCCAGTCGTTTGGTGGTAAAATGTAACGACCTATGACGTTGATTGCATAGTTCATTGTACCTGTTAAAAAAACATTGCTTTACTAACATGACTCAGCAGTCACATGTTGATGTTCAGCTCTAGTTTTGACATTTGCCGTCAAGGGTTGTTAAGAGTCATTCAGAATATTTAACATTACTTGCTTAAACGTCCTCCGTGATAACAACAATTGCCAAGCATTATCTTGTTAACTTTCAGTTCAGAAGTGAATGAACCCGCAGATAACATATTTACAGTAACACCTGTCTTAGCAAACGACACGAAAGATTATTCAAAATTGGGGTAAAAACTCTTTTTTAAAAAAAACGCGTAAGAATTGTGAAAGAAGTGTACATGATTTGAAAACTTCATTTTAAAAGCAGCTTTAAAATGATATATAATTTTAATTAGAGTATTATCTTATATTCCGAAGAATTAAAGTTACATTCATGCGATACCCTAAAAACACAAGTGCGCCAGCTTTTTGCGACGTGTCATGAAATTCACATCCATCGTTATAAAAACAAGGCGAATCATCTGTTTGAAAACATTGTGATTTAAAAGAGGTCACTGCAAATATTGTCGATTTTTCTTCAGAGACAAGTTGCAGGCATACCTGTGGTAGAACAAGCAAATAACCATGCTGTGTGGCCTGTGTTAACCATGTTAACAGTACCATCCAACATGATTAATTTCACTGAAGTTTGGCAGCTGTGGACTTCAGCAGTAATATGATGTAAGAAACTTTTTCTTTTATATCGTTACACCATATCATATTATTGTGTTTAGTGAACTAAAACAATTTATAAGCACCGGGCAAAAGATTTAGACTTCACTCAAGCTAATGGGGATACACTTGTATAATTCAATTTCATTTTTACAGAGAGTCAAAAATGTCCAAATAGATGATCTGGCACTTGCCTCGGGTGCGTCATACATGGTCACGCCCGTGAATATCGTATTTGAAAGAATGACTCATTCAGGGTTAATAAACACACTGGATGCAGTTTTTACATTTAAGATCACTCATAATTGACCAGGTCTAATAGGTACCGCCCTCTGTCGTGAAATGTTCGACAGATAAGTGAATTGAAGTGATTGACTGACAAACACCACGTCTGTGTTTTATTTTAGTATGGTTGTAGGTTCAACTTGTACCTTTGTGTATTTCGGTCACGATGATTAAGGTTAAAAATACATGGGTTAATCAATACCTCTGTCAAAGCTTATCTTTCAAGTTCGCTGATAGGCACACAGGCCAGACAAACCACTTCTAAAATGTTAACGTATAACTGATTCGAATTCACTTTGGTGAAATGTCTCTGGTGTAACCAAGTTCGTATGCATTGTCTGATGGAAACCTTGGAAGCAAATTGAAACATTTAACTTACGTTTCTTTTTATGTGTTTGTGATAAATGATTGTAATGCTCACATGGTCGTTAATAATTTACTACCAGAGCATATGTTTATTTATGTTAATAGTAGCAGACCATATAAGGAAAATGACGTTTTGAAACGTCAACACATAGAGACCCCTGAAAATCGACACCATAAATTAGTCAATTTAACACTCATTCAATCAAGCGTGATTATATTAAACACAACATTTACTTAAAACATGAAAAGATATGTATTTTTTTGTTCTTCAGATATTCATTTCAACGAATTGATGCTGCTACAAAAACAGCACTCGTGCTAAACAAAGGAACCATACAAATTAAAAAACGACTCTGTCGTCTTTGATTAATGTACAGGGGAATCTCTCTCAAATCAATCTATATAGATCGTATTAATCATAAACTAAGACAATTTGTTTTGTGCTAGGTCACCTCCCTATGGCGAGGAGATGGGCACCAATCCCTTCAACATCCGCTCTCACGCATCGGCGTCATGCCTCACTCTAACTTCAGGGGTCTCCTAATTATGCTCGAAGTCATGTGGTATTCAATTAATATCGTGGGATGGTGGAGATAGTTGGTCTACGTGCAAGATGGAACGTTTCTGCGTTCTTTATTACCCCATTCATGAATATGCCCATCACGTAGTCCCAATTGAACCACATTGCGAAATAACATATCATATCAGCCCGGGACTGGACACAGGAAAGAACAATTTTATAACCACAGTAAGTCATATAAATCATATTAATTCTAACAGGTTAACGACTATAATGTACAAACTAAAATAGGAAAAAGCTGGATGCCAAGCGCAAAATGAATATATTACGCAACGCAACGCGTCGATGGAATATGGATATTTTGTTCTTGTTATTGATCAAACATAATCAACCGAGCATCCTTACAATATGAATATAATTAGAAATGTTTTTAAATATTATTTCGAGGGAACATCCCTCGTATATGATTCCAAGAACCTTCAATAGGTCACCTTGAGGCACACCTAGAGTTGGAAAACGTTAACGTATGAATCCTTTGTATGAATACTACATCTGAAATAGAATTAATGACTTCAAATCGGGAGACATTTTTATTACAAAAAATACTTTTACTTCGGGAAAAAACAAAAATGAATAACAAAAATATTTACGCCGGATTTACGTTAAATCATTTTTGTTTATATTTCCAGCAGTTACATCTCAGGGTAATTTCAAGATGTCCAAAATGGCAATGGCAGAACAAGTTCCCAATACAATGAAGAATTTCGGCTTTGGATTGAGAGCCATGAAAAACCATACATGTGTAAGTAGACATTTTGTACCAATAGGAGAAAATTTTGATTTTCAAATAAAACGTCCACGATCTTTGTATTACTGCAATTGATAAAATATAATTCAATTACCAAATCGGGGAGTGGGTTTGTTAAGCATGGACAATAGAGGTCCATGGTCAAGTTGACCCACTAACGGGTATCTATAACGCAAAATACATACTTGTAATTCATTATTCAGTGGAAATCTACCCACACAGAATAAACATTTACTCAATTGCTATGTACAGTTTCATTCTAATCGATATTCGTCGGTTAACAATAAAACAATGCCCTTGGTATGACATTCGCCATTACTAGTCAACTCTTTAATTTCATTTAGAAAAATATCATTACACGTAACATTAACGCCTCTGGTTTTGGGTAAATAGTGAAATCATCTACGATTCTCTCAAAAGAGGTTGATTTATCGGGAAAAGTTCCGATTAATAGTGAAAATGAAACAGAAAGGGTAAAAGCGGCAATATTTTACTGTGGGTCGCCATGACATCATTGTTTATGACAGACTGTTTTTATACCAGTAGCTTATTTTCGATTTACTAAAACAATCTAAACAAAACACTTGCCCTCTAGACTCTCAATCAAATCGAAGTTTCTTCGAACTATATTCATAGGTGGAGTGTTTGCCATCATTTGTAGTTAATGTTTATATTATTTTAACGTCTTTTTGGTTGGATTTTTGTTGAATTTCACTTATATGTGAGAGTAGGACTTTAAGCACATCCCTTGCAATAGCACTACACTTCTATTTTTGTCGAATGGCACTTTTTTTTGGGGGGGGGGGGGTCAAATTCTAAAAATATGATTAGGGTCGTGGCACATTTTGACAATGCTACTAAGCTCATGGATAAACCATTTAATAATACAGCAAACATGAAATGATTTTTCTGTTATTTTCCTGCTATTTAATTTATTTATTGATTCCATTATAGTTGATCCCACTGGTTGGTATCATCGGATTTGCTTGTGGAATGTGTGGAACCTACTGTCTCTATGCAATGGCAACAAAACCAGATGTCAGGTAAGAATCAACAGAATTGTCAGCACAATAGTAATGGGTAGTACAAAACGTTATTCAATGAAGGTGGAATTTAAAGCGATCTGATTGGCCTGACGTATATGCAGATATGCATAATCCTGAAGGCATCATACAATCTGTATTATCCCACCCTAAGTGCTTTATACGATTGTATAATAGCATTGTATAACTGCAATATAAAACCAACACAACGATATACAACTCCTGGATAGCGTATACAACTCCTGGGCAGCGTATACAACTCTTCGACTTGATATACAACTGCTGAATTTAGATTTAACTTTTATTGATTAATGCTTAGGGTGGGATAATAAGATCATATAATGGTTGATTCTGTATATAGGGGTTATGCACTGGGAGGTTTTGGATACAGGGAATATCCCGAGAGATATACAATATATCTTCCCGAGGGACCGAGGGAAGATGTATTGTATATCCCAAGGGATATTCCATGTATCCAAACCGACCGTGCATAACTGGTGTATCTCATACTTGAGTGGGTTTAGGGTAGATATAACCTTTTCCACCTTTTTCAAATGACAAGATATTTACATTTAACATTTTTGTAATATTCTTTTTGTTCAATACAATGAAATTGTAACATTTAAACTTAGAAAAATTAAATTCTAAAATTAAAAAATTAAAACTTTTGATATTTAAACCTTTTTAAACTTTTGAAAAATTCCCGGGAGCGGGATGGATATATTATATCTGCCCGCATTTGGCCTGGAGCGGGACATATACAATATATCCTGCCCGCTCCTCAGATACGAAATATATTCCCGGGTGATATCTACCCCAAACCCACTCAAGTATGAGATACATCGTTTTATCCCATACTTGGACGTGTTACAGGTACATAAAGCCGGTTTGTAAAAACTTATATTTTCATCAGCGGGCAGATATAGCTTTACGTCCCGCTCCGAGCGGGCAGATATAGTATATCTGCCCGCTACGTCATTATCGCCGCTCGCATATTTGTTCATAATTTGTAACGTTCGCGTAATGACTGTAAACGACAACGGCGATCTGTTTGATGGTTTAAAAAATGGAAGGAGCATTCACTTAAAAAATTCGAGAAAATAAATGTGGGAATATTTGAGAGAACAAAAAAATCCGCCCACGGCCAAGAAAACAAAACTGGACATGAATATTCTAGAATATTTCCACGATTGAACAATGTGAACCAGATGACCAAGATTGGTATGGGATAAACATATTATCCTATAGTCGGTTCAGGATATTGGGATTATCCCTTGGCCAATATAATATATTTTCCCTCGGGACCTGCGGCCCTCGGGCAAATATATTATATTTGCCTCGGGATAATCCCAATATCCTGAACCTCATATAGGATAATCTCTATATACTCTCGTGAGTATATGAAATATTCACTCGTTCCCTTCAGTCACTCGTGAATATATCATATAAAGACGATATACGGAATCAACCATTATATAACCTCATATTACACTATGGCACTGACATCACATGTCTGAAATAGATTTTCTAATGATGAAAGACATTCAAAATGCTATATATCCAAAATATCATTGATTAAAACCTGCAGTAATATGGCCCCTAATTATGATGAAGCGATTAAAGCGATCATACCATTGAACGTCTTACATTACATACTGAAATATGAACTTTAGTATTGATTTCATTGTACATCGATCGACCCATTGTTTTAAAAACAGAGAGTACTAAAAACCAACTAGAACCCATTGTTTTCAAGTGCATTTTGTATTGCAGGCTACAAAAGAGCAAAAAGCATATTCCAACGTACGAGGAGGTAGAAGCGGGTGAAATACGAAAGGTCAGTATACATCCGCCTTACGGTGCCATGGTACTTAACAGAAAATGACAAAACAGGAAGTGACAAAACATGCTGCATTTTAGACATTTTTTGAACAAAGATAAGAGAGTTCTGTATTGACCTCCGGTCAATTCAACCAGTTCCTATCATTTACAGGACCAGGATCACAATGTACATGGTCAGAATGACCGTTAACATGATGGAATAACATTTTAAGCCCTCTGAAAATGTGACTGAAAAATAGCTAAAAGTACGAGCTTAGGAAATGTCACTGAACAGAACCTTTTGAATTTTTCAGAAAATGTGCCCATTTGTAGAGCTCTTTGAATTGACTGGAGGTCAAAACAGAACTCTCCTCTTTGTTCGAAAGATGTCTATAAATGCAGCATGTTTTGTCACTTCCAGTTTTGAAACTTCCTGTTAAGTACCATGGCACCTTAACGCACATGACAATCTTACAAAGAAACATTTTTGTTTAATTTGAGGAACGTAAAGTCAAGGTTTTGCTCATATAATGAATCAATGTCATGGGCGCCAAATGTATAGGTCAAGGTCAGGTGCCATAAATTAAATACATAATTTAGCGGTAGGTCACAAAATTCAAGACTCAAGGTCACATGCATCAAATATACACAAGAACATGTAAAAAGTGCTTTGAGTGCAATGGTCAAGGTTGCTCATCAAAAAGCCATTATATTGTTATTTATATCCAAAATTTTTACTTGCAGATAATGGAACCCTCTCCGCAAAAGTACACCTACGACCCAGAGATCTTGAAGCTTCGTCGGGAGATGGGTACATACAAGGCTAACGTATATACCAACGAGTAACGATGCTGACTATAGGAAATTGGGGAGGGTTACGATTTACGAACTGTTTTTACTTTTCTGTTCTGGAACGGCTAGTCCCTTAATTATGCAACAAAATGAAAATGATTTATGGAAGCAAGTGGAATTATCGTACAGATTCCGGATGCAGATGAATATTGCAGTACCAGTGATTGGTCAAAAAGGTTGTGTGCTACTGAGTAGCGTAACACCTTTGTATACCTACAACAATTCAGGGTTCTCTTCGCACATCGACATATCCTAAAATCGTAATCCGAAATGGTTCTAATTTATTTATTAAAAGGAGGACAGTGGCATGGACGTGTGTCTAGTTGAAGTGTATAATATATCTGGCAAAATGTGCCATATTCTGATACCCTAGTCTAATTAAGATATGGTTTTGAATTTCTAAATATGTTTTGTTCCAAATGAGACTTAATGGCAGAACATTTGCTGAAAAAGACATGGAAAGTTACCTGAAGTGGCTTTTACCCAGGCCAAATGCCAAGGTTAGCCTGTGTTAATTTATGAATAATTTAGTTCTAATTCCTGTTTTTTCTTAGTGTTTACCTGTTGCTCATCTGTTACATAGTCAATAATGTATAACAATATAGTATACATTCAGTGTTCCTGTACAAAATCAATGCGACTTAACCAAATAATAGATAATCACAATACAGTGCCATAGGGAACCCCAGCTCTAGCTCTTAACAGAGTATGGTGGAGTAATGCACAATTTTTCTGTTCGTATTTTATATTTAATTGTGTAAATAAAAAATGTATATTGTACGAACTGACTTGCTATGTATTACTTTAACTCAACCAGTGGGATCTACTACATAGAACAAAAACGATATTAAAAAGCTACGTCTTATAGCTTCTATGTGGATTTTATTCAGAGTATTATAAATGCAATAATGGAGTAGCGATAAAACTATTTTATAACCCATAAATCTCCTTGCTATAAATGTAATAAAAACCAGAGACAGATAAGAAACACGTTAAGTCCCTTCGTTATAGTGTCCATGCATTGCAAAGTTCTAAACCATCCACGCATGTTACCCTACGCAGGTCCATAAAATCAAGTGAATCGATAAACATACAGAAATACCACATTCTCAGAGTTATAATAACTATACTCGCAAAACAAATATTCATTTGAGACAGAAAATGTTAATTGAGTCGAAATCATTTTTAAGAGGATAAAAACGTGACGTGACAAGGAATGTCTAATATCCTTCTGAAGCTTGTATGTTTTTTGAGAAAAGTTGCTCGCTATCTCCAATACTCCCTTTATAGCCGTCTGGTGACTTCACGCGTCTCATAAACTATGATAGCAGATGGTAGACTAACCAAGTACATGAGTTGAATTTTAGTAAATATTTTTACCCCAGGAAGAGGTCCACAGACGAATGAACAGATGGAGCCAGTAAATCAAATTAATAAATGGTTAGTTTGTGTGTTGTAGCATCATACATGTATGACATATATTTTGCTATGAGAAGAGTGATCATGTCTAAGTAGTATATGAAATATCCGATTTTAAAACTGGTAACCAAGCAGGGTAATCAACATCAAGAGCATAGCGAAAGGCGGTAGATTGGAAGAACGTATAAAGCCGTATCTATGTCAAGGTGATACAACATAAGACAAGGCATTAAAATGCAAAATGCCACTACCTACCATTTTTAAGATACGCAGACCGCGGAACACCGTCCCAGAAAAGTGGAGACTAACAATATGTTAACACCTCTGGAGGTGACATTAAAATGGAATATTAGATGTATCCATCAGGGGAAGAAAATATGTAAATGGGAAAAACAGACGTCATGTTAGCATCTCAGTGTTAAACGGGTCCTTGTATACTCAATGGCTTAAGAAAATGTGGAAAGCAGATATTAGATGTACCTGATTAAAACAACTTGAACGTTTCCATAGCAACTTACCAATAAATAACAGGTCAGATAATTTACTTAACACTACACCGTTGATCATAAATATGGAATATTGGGCATTTTACAAAAAACACTAAAATGTCTTTATTATGAGAATTACAAAATTTTTAATTATACGAAAGTATGCAAGATTGATTGCTCTAAAATGTCAAACTAGAAAAGGTATTCCAGGAAACCTTTATTAGCCTGATGAATATGTTCTTTTACCAGAATAAATTGGTAAATATTCCATATTTATGAGTAACGGTACTGCATCTTACTAGAGACCTCGACTCAGAAATGTAGATGTAGAAAATGCCCTTTATTGTATTGCTATATATGGCACAATAAATGTTTTAGTGCGATGTGGAATTTAAACGTCAATAAAGATTCATAACAATTAAACATATATTTATCAAATTCCACCTTTTTACAGTGGCTGACATTTCTTGAGATTTCAAATCATCAGATTTAGGGCTTAGGCCAATCTGATCACGTTTAAAACTAGCATTGAAGGTGAGTATAACCTCTGCTAAGACTTACCTCCCTCTGGACAAGTACTGTTGAAGGTCATTATTATTAGTAAACAATATCGGAACAGATTCTTGAAAAGTAGGTCGTACATGTGCCTAGATATACCGCTGACATTTTAAACTAAATGGATTTTAACTATTTCTATTATTTACAAAGCGAACTAGAAAACGGCAACTCCACGGAGTAGCAAACTAACAAAATATTTACAAAACTCTACCATGCCCTTGATTTGCAGATTGAAATACAGATATTGGAAATATATAAGAATTTCCACAAATTCAAGCATTTGAGAGACCCTGAATTAGGAGAATAAAAGGCACAAAGCATAAAGACAATACACTATTTGTGATATAATATAGAATAATTTAACCATAATATGAGATCTTTAAATTATAGTGAATTCACACTTCGGGTAGCCATTTTGAGATAAAAAACAATACCATAAGTGCCTTCTACCTTCAATTCGAGTATAATATGGACATACTTTGAAGAGAATAGGAAAGTATTGGAAAATCCCATATAATGCGGCCATTTTGAATTTTCTGAGGCCCAAATCGGCTAAACGATACAATCGAAACAAACGATACAAATGTCAAAATTAACGATAATTTTTTTCCGACCGAAAACATGGAATAATGTCAAGAAATATATTTTAGGGATAAACTACCACTTTAGGGATAAACTAATTTTCAAAGTTATACTCATTTACTTTGGTAAGTAATGAAAAAACTCAGATTTTCACAAAAAATATCTGAGATTTTCAAAGTGGCGACCATCTTGAAAAAACGGTTTTTAGGTAAAACAATCCACCAATGTTCATCTCTCCACCACCTTTGAAGAAAATCTAACCGTCGTCAGTATTTTTGTTAGCTTGAGAATATCTTAATGTTTTTTTTCTGATGGACGCTTTTTAACACAGATATCAAAACAACCTGACAGAACCATTTTTGTGTGTAATTTACAAAATGATACCTCGGCTAGTTGGCATGGTTACCGATCACTTAGCATTCCAAGCTAAATTAACACAAGCTTATAATGGACTTTTGCAGATAAATCTCCCCCAATATCATCACTGTTGAGCGCGTAGATCTAATAATAGTAATTCAGTCTTTGAACCATTCAATAAGGAAATTGCTATAAAGCTGAATAGATGTCAGCACTTGTTTTTACTTGCTTTGGCTGGGCCGGATTGCTATAGGCTTCAATGGTAAAACTTGCAGCAGTCACAAAATTTCATGATTTATCAAAAAGCGTTGGTTGAATTTGAGTTTGAATTTTTAAACAGCATACTGTGAATGTACATATTGTGATTAATCATTAAAATTGAAACTTCAATATTGCATCAATTTGCAATGGAAATTTGGCGCACACCTCGTTGAAACAGTCATGGGAAATTATTTAAATAACCTAACTGTGTAAATCAGTTAAATGTATTATTATGGAAAACGTTTCACTTAAATATGTATTAAAAAGAAGGAAAAGTGAGTCATCAGAGGTTAAATATGCAAATCTCTTAAATCTCAAGAAAGACAATTAGCCAGATCTCAAAGCTATATATGGAGTAATTCTTCTCTTATGATAGGATTTCTTTTTGCACTGAACTCACAAGACCATGTAAACCATTGGACTGACTCTATTAGTTATTCACAATGCAAAACATGTTCTGTAGACACACCATTTATCTAAAAGTAGATAGTTTTGGTTTGAACTGTTGAACCCTCAAGCCTGTTTTTATTCTCTACTCCCCGTCTATCAGTGTAATTATCAAGTATACAGTACTTAAATTGCTTCATCTCTTGGATTAATCTGCATGCACCAATCACTACGGTAAAGCTAACCCAGCCGAAGACTCATTTATTTCCCTAGGGCTTAACCTATAGATTTCTGCTTCATTTGATTTACGTTACATTTATTTATATTTTCAGTGTTTAATTAAATGTTATAGAAGAGACTGGAGTAGAAATGGAGCGATCGTGTACACCATTCTCGGCATAACAAATACTGATATCATTCTCCTTCGTAGAGTTCATAAGGATTGAATGAGTAATACCAAGAGCCAAGTACATTGTAGATGAAGCTCTCTTTTAAGAAGCAAGATCCTATTTTTGGAAAGGGTATACATGAGTAATGGATGAGATCACATCACATCATCAGAGATGTAATGCATTTTGGGGATAAGTTGGTTTATAATTCAATAGTTATAACCACTGCAAACATACTATATAGTACTTTGTACAGTTGCTGCTGGAGAAAGAAATGATATATGAACGTCCATTACTTTAAATCAAGCACTCTGAAATGAATTCTGTGTCATTAGCTCTGAGAGGATTAATAAAGTATAGGATATCATATTTCCCCTTACATACTACATCATCATTATTCACTTTCTTTGCAATATTCAATGAGAATAAATAATATTTCTTTCTTGAATAACAAAGCCCACATTCAATGAAAAGGTGAGATAAGGCATTAACGTGCAAAATATAACTACCTGCCATTTGTTACAGATGCTGAACACCAACTGCCAAACACAATCCACACAAAGGTGGAGACTATAAAAATATGTCACTACTTTTTGGCGGTGACATAAAAAATTAGGTTTATATGTATGCATTTGCTGCGAATGGTGCAGGAATCATTAGACTGATATTCGCTGTTAACTCTAGGATTTTAGGCAAATTGGAAATGACAAAATAATGTATAAATGATTTCCCATTAAGTGTATCATCTAACAAATCATGTCAGAAGCAAGCATACATTTGTCAAAGTAATAGCATTTAAAATATATCCATCTCATATGGTGTCAGGAGTATCAGGACCATAGCATTGATTTTTCTATTGGGACAATTTATCATTGTCAATGTCTTGAATAATTTAAGATAGGGTGAATAGAACCATTCTAAAGTTTTGTCTTTATGTGACTCATCAATAGTTCAAACTGACTTTTATATAAAATTACAACTTGATATCAGTATTAGATTGATAAATTAAAATGGGACTAATGGTGTTTTAACCATTTGACAAGACACCTCTGTTTCAAAATGTTACTTCTGAAAACCTAGAGAATTTTGTGAATTTCAATTTTGTGATTTTCCTATTTTTCAAAAATGTACAAATACAAGTATAAACTGTGATTTTTGTAGAATGTAATTCTGTGATTTTGAATAATTTGGAATGTAATAAATTATAAATTAAAATGTTTACATTCAATGATACTCTTAGATTGTAGTTAAGTGTCATTGAAACAGTCTCACAGATTTTGTGAATAGCTGGCAAATAAAAAGGGTAATAATTATCCAAAATGACAAAATCAGGAAAATATCTCCCATATAATATTTCTGGATTTTGTATTCCAACTCAAGAAAATAATTCATTAAATGTTCTCAATAATAGCTAATACTTTATTCTTCTATTGCAAATTTTGAAGCAACAACATAATGGTAGTAGATTTAGTAGCAAATGCAAGAGCAGCAACTCCCTATGTTTCATGTCTTGAAGTTCATCAAAGGAAGTTCAATCTTTTAACTCGGCCTTAAAATATTTAATCACCATTTTAAATACAGATGCATTTTTGTTTGCTTTTTCTGCATTCAGTGTCCTTGTATGTATTTCACTGTTTTTTAAGTCAAACCTGACATGACAGACAATCAATGAAATACCTTTAGATATTTCCTTGCTTTTCCTTGCTATTTCTTTTCCTTTCACTTGCTACATTGAATATCTGAATTATTTTAAGAAAAATACTTCTTCGAGTATTTTACTCTCCTCAGCCTCAACTAGTGGATCTTCAGCATCTATAAGGCTCAAGTTGTCATAGCGATGACTTGTGTTTGGACTAGCTACTATAATTGCGCCCCCTAGAAGGTTGGTCTGGCTGCGTTGAAGACTGTGTATGCTACCATTGGAAGAATTGTGGCTCTCTAGCTCATCAACAAGGCCCATAATGGACGATGGTCTATCACTGGAACACAAGCGTTGCAATCAATTATGTGATGGAGAAAACAAACATCACAATCCATTCTTGATGACTTAAAAACATAACAAAGATATATATTGTATGAGAATTTTTTTTTTATAACATTGTTAAAGGTTAACAATATTTTGAGTATTCCTTGTCACACCAATTTTCTAAAACTGAAAATACATGTACATGTAGACATAGTCGGATATTTTTGCCATTAAATCAAGAAGTCAATCCATTTCACATACAGGGTGATCCAGAAGTAACGTCAAAGACATTGTAATTTCAAAAGTATTCATCAGATCTTCATGAAATTTGGTATACATGTACCCACAACATTTCTGAGTTACCATCTCAAAGATTGGAATTCAATCATTTCATTGGTTGAAATTATGGTTGCTATAGTAACCCGATATCGCGTAACCCGGGGCAAATTGAAGAGAAACCATAACGTTTTTGTGAATTTCTCTAATTTAAAAAGTCAGTAACATTTGAAAATGTTCATTGTTTGTTTTCTATGATTTTTATATTTGTTGCCATGGTAACAAATATGTAATAGTTGTGATGTCACAATAGGCATTCATAAAAAGCTTTCAATTTCTTTGAATTGCTTCCATCATCCATGACAAATACTAACATGACCAAGGACACTAACCCACCCAATTCAAGATGGCGCCAAGTCAGAGTAAAATAGAGCAAAGAACAAACATTAAGTTCTGTGTAAAGTTGGGGAAAGGTGTAAAAGAGACTATAAGACAGATAAAGAAGGCATATGGTAAAGCTGCCATTGCTGAGAGAAACATTTACAGGTGGTTTAACAAGTATTCCAGTGGATATGATGAAGTGGTAGACAAGCAGCGAGGAGGCAGGCCAGTGTTGTCATTCGATGATCAAACCATCAAAGCAATTGAAGCTGATGTTATGGACAATAGGCAAATTTCTATCAGAGAATTGGCTGAAAAACACGATCTGAGCTATGGGACTGTGCAACGGATACTGACAAAGAACTGTCTGTTAAAGAAGGTGTCTGCTAAATGGGTGCCGCATGACTTGACACAGGAGCAGAAAGACCGGCGTGTTAAGGCTTCAAGGGACTTTCTTGCAAAATATCGGAGAGATGGAGATGACTTTCTTAACAAGATCATTACGAGTGACGAATCATTGCTATCATTCTACATCCCAGAGACCACGCAACAAAGTTCATCGTGGAAACATGACAACTCCCCAACACCAACCAAGCCTAAAATAGTACCAGGAATTCCACAAAAGAAACAAATGGTTGTGACATTCTTTGACATTAGAGGAATGGTATTAACCCATTTTGTTCCCATTGGCCAGAGAATTAATGCCGTTTACATTGCAAAGGTAAGATATCATTTGTTCTAATAATACATCATACTGTGAATTTTATTTTTAAATTAAAGTATTTAAATGTTGTTCACTGTCAATATAATTATAACTCCATGGCCATGATTCAAATCCAAATCCAATCAATGAAACAACTGGTTTAACAACCATTAAACATTTGTTTTTCAGGTTCTGAAGCGTGATCTTCAACGTTCCCTGAGGAAAAAGCGTCCCGGACATCTGCAGCAGTTTATCTTGCATTGGGACAATGCCCCTACGCACACTGCAATCCTGACCAGCAACACAGTCCAAACACTTGGATTTCAACAACTTGAACATGCCCCTTATTCACCTGATCTTGCCCCCAGTGACTTTTATTTGTATGGGAAACTAAAAAGAAACCTTAGTGGAAATAATTTTCAATCCTGTGAGGAATTGAAAAATGCCGTAGTACTAGCCCTACAAGGAATGAGTTCTAATGGATTTAATTCTGTGTTCAAGGAATGGGTATCCAGACATGAGAAATGTGTTGCAAATGGTGGCAATTATGTAGAATGAACTATTATTAGTAACTGTGCAATAGTATGATTTATATTGTTGTGAAATAAAATGTTGAGGATATAACAATTTCAGATCTTGTTGATATTTTGAGATTACGCATTACACGTTAAGTAATTTGCCCCGGGTTACGCGATATCGGGTTACTATAGCAACCATAATTTCAACCAATGAAATGATTGAATTCCAATCTTTGAGATGGTAACTCAGAAATGTTGTGGGTACATGTATACCAAATTTCATGAAGATCTGATGAATACTTTTGAAATTACAACATCTTTGACGTTACTTCTGGATCACCCTGTATATCATTAGTCAGAATATGGCAGCTACATGATTGATAAATGAACGTGAATCACTTCATTCAATGGAAAAATATAATGGGGTACGAAAATTGTCCCCTTAACTAAGTCAAGTGTATGTTTAACTTCTGCAATATAAAACTGTCAATAATTTTCATCACATTTGATCAAATATCTCTTTTTATGGCAAGGGCACAATGACATGCTCAATGAAAAGATTAGTTCCAACATTTTACATTCTACAGCATATCCTAGGCAGCCACTACAATAATTGAGGAAGTAAACTCTAAAAAATATCAAAATTCTTAAAATAGCAAAAAAACGACTACAAGATCATTGAAATAACATAAATCAGGAAGTACTGTAAACCAAAAAACACTTTATTTCTTAGAATAGCATAAAAATAATTGAAATGACATTGAACATTCCATTCATACTGTTGTTAACCATAAAGCCACAAAACGAAACCGCTGTCTAGTTTCTCAAGCAAACATGACAGATGTTTGTTTTTCAAATAAATATGACTAACTAGTCTATTCAACTCAATTATTCGGTCCAGATTTGAATTCTGTGATTCAAAAATATTATCATACCCACTGAAATGCACAATTTGTAATGATTAAGTATCATAAAATTAGTGTGAAATAATTCGAAAATTTGTTAAAAAGACAAATCACTATTTGCTGAACAGAATTTGTATAACCTATCATAATCATTTAAATAGTCCTTGAGTTTCTGTTAAGAAACCATGGCTTTACATTTATTCGAAACTGCAATGTAAAAGAACATTTTATCAGCAATGTGACATATTGACTAGCATGCCATCTATAAAATGACAATAATTTCAAATCCATTTTTGTTTTAGAAACAAATGCTCAAGTGAAAATTTTCTATATTTTGGTTAACTCTATCAAAAAGATCAAATCTGAAAATTTAAAGACTGATGCACACCCTTTTGAGACCAATGAAATTGATAACTATTGCTATTTACCAAAGTATGCGTACTCAATGACAATGGTAAAAACCAGAAACACAAAATGCAAAATGTCAACAAGGCATTAACATGACAAAATGTCACCACCTGCTATTTGTAACAGACACCAACCGCTGAACACTGTCCACACAAAGGTTGGAAACTATAACAATTTATATTGGATACTAGTAACTTACTGTGATGGGGTGTACCTCGTAGGAGTTGTCTTTTGTCTGTTCAAATAGAGTGGAAGGTTGCCTTGTTTGGTAGGGGTACTGCAACCACTCCTAAAATATGAGAAATATCTGAAACTCATTGTTAATAGCATTTCAGGTCAGAAACATACATTGGTTGCTTATAATTTGGGATCTGACTGAAAATTTGAAAGTTGTGGAATTTGACTTTTTTTAACCTTTAGAACGTACCATTAGGTCCAGGAATATATAAGTTTGACCCTGTATAATGAAGGTTTTTTGGCAATACCTTGTCTTCACTGAAATTGATGTGTTAACAGCACGGGATGGTATTGCCAGCTTTAGACTATGGGGAATGGGGTCCTTTTATAATTTCTTTTAATAAAGTAATATTAAAATTTCTTGTCCACTATGGGGGATATTCTGTAATGGGAGAACAGGTTAAAATATCAAATTTAGATTCCCCAATAGTGGACAAAAAAATTTAACATTGTTTTTCTATATTGTGAGGTTCATTGTGATCCCAATGCTGGACATATCTGTCGATCCCATCTGTGATAGAGCGGATTTGCTGATTCGCGCATTGATACAGTGTCTGATGTTTTCATATAACTTATAGCAAGCCAACTTGTAACTACTAACTTACCCCGGTGGAGTCAGATATATGGCAGGAGACATGTGCCCATTGTTCAATGTGGATGGCTGGGGAGGGGCTATGAGTTGTGGAGGTGGGGATGTACCAACAGATCGCTCCCCAGGGGATTGTCTCATGTCCGGTACTGGCAGAGTGGATATTGGCGATGTTGCAGTATTTCTACGACCTAAATTAAAAGTATTTCAAAACAACATATAATATAATTGTACAACGAAGTAAGCACATTTTAAAATCTAATTGCCAATTGGCAATTATCATCAAACTAAGAAATGAATAAATAATGACAATGCATAGAATCAGACAAAGGTGCTTCTTGAAGAGAAACATTATGCACTCAATATTCTCACAAAACCTTATTATGAACAGACTTTTGAGAGAAACTTGCATGGCCAACATTATATCACTACAGGACACTACAACTGTGACATATATAACACAAAAAAGTTATTTAGCATCCTAATTGATCAAAGGCTCGTGAAAATAACTTATTTCTAATTGATGGAATTGTATGCTAGGCTAACTTAAAACAATATTGATCTTCTTTTAAAATTCTGTACCAATTCATCACAATTCCGTTTCTATTAAGTTAAAAACTTAAAGGTAACAAATGAGAGAATAAGAAAAGCAGTAGAGGCTAAATACCGTATTCTCTCTAATGAGGGCACAATTTCCCTTTAAATATCAATTTGGAAACCACGCTGTGCGCTCATTAGAGAGAATATGGTAGATACATATAATATATAATGCACTTACTTTTTTCAATGGATTTGGTGAGAGATGAAACATCAATTCCATGTTGCGACAGGAAGTGTATGTTCTCCATAGATTCAGTCAACTTATCCTCCTCTCTCAACTGAAGCTGTCTCCTCGCACCCGTTCTCTGATTCACATTCTCGTCACTAGGTGGCACTGTATGTATATCACCATTATAGATGGCAGCACTATTATCCACATTATGGTAACCATTTTGGATTCCATTGCCCATATTTGGATTTTCCTGATTATAATTCAACGGACTTCTGTGTACTTGTCTATTTCTCAATGGCTGTATTGGAGGCGAGGGTGGGTGAGCTTTTTGAAGCTTCATCTCATATTCTATCAACATCTGACGCTTCTTTTCAGAATCGCGTAGATTTTTTAAAGCACTGTTATAAATATTTTTCATACTCTCATGTTCCAAGTCATGAACACTCTGTGGTTTAGTTGCACTGGTGTGATGTTCAATACCATGGTGTATTGCTGGATCGTCATCTTCAATATCATTATCAAATCCATTTTGTTTCAGTCTATTGTCCATGGAATGTAATAACACTTGTTCACTGGATGGGACCTGGGGATGACTTTCAGGCTTTGACTCAAGTACATTATTTTCGTGGTATATGTCTACAGGGTATTGATCTAGGTGATGCATAGGATTCCTAGTTCTACTTGATTGATGTTCATCCATATTAAACTCCACTCTCCTTGCGTTATGTCTAATACTATCCAACTTGTCTTTACTTGTATATATTTCCCGACCAGTGTCAACATGAATCTCCTTTGTGTCCCTTCTTTCTATGGTATCCTGTGTACTAGTCTCACTAACACAGTCTTCTGGGAAATGACCTTTCTCCTCAAAGAAGTTTAATCTTGATCTCTGTTTGTCCTGTTGTTTATGAAGCATTTGCTGCTTCGCTTTTAACTCTGCCTCTTGTTGCATTAATGTCTTCCTCAGTCTCTTCTGTTCTTGCAACAACACCTCTTTCTGTATCATCAACTGGTGTTTCTTGCGCTGTGTTGGACTGAGCATCTCCAGGCTATCTTTCAAGGCTTCTTGTTCCAGATGATCATGGTAGTTCATAGATACAGGGGAGCTGGTTTCAGCTGGGTCTATCTCTGCTGTGTAGTTGTAGTTGAGTGGTTGCTTCATATAGGGATCTGACGAAAGCTGAGATAACTGACTCTGTAGGGAAGATTGGCCACTGGAGTCAGGTACCAGAGACCGATATTCACCTCCTACAGTTCGAGATTGTAAACTCACTCCCTGGGAGCTTGAAGTGTCTGTAGGAAGGGGTCTAAATTCTCCAGAAGACAGTTCTAAATTACCAGCACTCTTCTGAGTGCTACTCAGTATTGGTTGGTGCAAGGACCCCATAGAATAGCCACTATTTGATATTCCACTAGAACTGATTCTTTGCGAGTTTGCTTGACTTTTACTCAGAGTGGTACAGTGTTTTTCTTCGGCAATAATTTCATCCAGAAGGGCAGTGTATGGTTTAGGGGGAGATCTGGTAGGGGATGTTCTAACTACACTTTCTCTGGTGAACCCTTCAGGGCTGGCAAGTCCCACATACTGTGGTCGCCCATTACTAGTCCTATCATAATATGCACTAAGAGGTCTCGTTGTGTTAGCATTTGTAGGCTGTGGGATCACAGGAGGCTCATATTCTGGTTTTGGCATAGCAGAATAATCCTGTTCAGAGGCAATGTCATCGTTATTACTCATAAATTCATCATAACTGTTGTTAACATCTTCCAGGACTTTACGCGTCATCTCTTTCTCTTTTAAATAGGCCTCGTCTCTGAAGATCTTTAAATCCTCGTCCTGATAATCAGAATCTCCACTCGCACCAAATACATTCATGTCATCCAACATACCAGGATGTGCACGAATAATCCCATTGGTCGGTTTAGTAAGGGCATCCCGGACCTGTTGTTGCGCTACATTGGGGTCAGTAGATAGATGAGGTTTGCTATCACTGAGCCCCAAGGCGTGGTTTCGGTACTGTTGGTATAAGGGGTCCTCGGGAAGGTACTTGCCATCACTCTGTAATACACATATATACATTAACAATACATGTACAATGAAAAAGAAAATACCCCAGTACTCAAAATTGTAAATCACCCCACTATCAAAGTGAATAATAAAAATACCCACATTTAAAGGGAACACAATTTTGCATAATTAATTCTAAGCTTTTCGACAACTAGACTAGACTAGGGAATTTCAAAAATTTTGATCATCATTAATTCTCATTAATATACAAATCATAATTTCATGATTTATCCTATGCATGGACTTACAAATGCTTGTATATAAAAATCTTGCAATGCAGGGGTTTCATTAGCAGCAGACAACAGGCAATTTTCACTGGTTGTTTTCAGAAAATCGCCTGTTATTTTTAGGGACTTTTCAACTTTTCCATGTTAAATTCCATTAATTTTGCCTGTTGTTTTCATTTATTTAGCCTGTAGTGAGAAATTCTATTGAAACCCCTGCAATCTCTTTCTCTGATACATTTCTTTTAAGACAAATATAAAGAATGTTCCCATACCATCTTTCTGATCTTGTTCTTGCGTCTCAATGGGGTGGGGACAATTCTGGTTATAGGGCTTCTGGTGGGTACACCTCTCTTACTATTGGTGCTGGGGCTTCTAGGAGCTTCACCTCTCTTACTGCTGCTCCTTAGCTGAGAATCCTGGGAAGTATAAGAAAAAACAATTAGAAATCCATAAAAGTGTTAAAGATCGATCAGAGTCAAAAATCCTTTAAACATACATGCCATGGCACTAAAATGTATTTGTCACGCACTATAAGTTGTTGAAAACACACAGTATATATCAATGTTTAATAGAATCCGTGGCAACCAAAGGAAGTCAAGTCACCTTCCCTGGCAACCAATTTATCACTAGGAAATAAAGTCCCCTGAAGTGTACTTCAACTGGTTGGTTGGCATCAACAGCAAAATCAATATATAGAATAGTAGAACTCCCCAATCAGGTAAAATAAAATGAGTGTATAAAAGTCGCAAGAAGCAGATGCAATGCTGCATTGAGCTGAGGAAACTATTAAAATTTTCTCATTCACTATTAGAATTACTCTGATGATTCCTCTAGAAGTTATTTAATACTTTTGTTTTAATACCTATGTTTGTTTATAAAATCAGTTTTCTTACCCTGTTTCGCAAAATAAAACTGAAGATGACAAATGACTGACTGTAACCTTACCTGTATGAATTATTTCAATGAAATGTTTATGTTTGTATTTATATTTATAAACAAGCCCCTAAGTGAGCTTCATTCTACTGATATCTCACTAAATTAGCAATTAATTTAAATCTGCCTAATAAATCATGACTATCAGATAAACGGACAATCTTATATCATGATAAAATTCTCTATTGAACTGAATAACGGTTTTCTACCTAATTTCTAATTTTATTTATTGTACATATAATCCGCATTGTGATACACTATTGACACTTAAATTTTTCAATAAAAAGGTGTCATGTTGACAACTGAACTTAAAGTAGTAAATTCAATTCGGCACATTCCATAACTGATTTGGTTAAAAGACTACAACTTAAAAATCATGTACTTCAATCCTTGAGAATTCTTCATTCTTTTCAAATAATGGCGAAACTGCTATAAAGTTCAGCATGTCGTTGCCAAGGAAACAATTCATTGTGTTCATTAAATCAAAGTAAAGATTGGACCACCTGTGGTTTGTGTTGCATATTCCAGGCACTCTATCCAGATGTACTAATAAAAAAGTGGAATCTATGCCAATTTGTAAAGTAGCTGTTACATTAGCCATGTGGGCTCACTGTTTGCCACTGTGTGGCTAATTTTGGGGATTCAGTTTGTAATTAATTTCGTATTTGGTGTGATGAGGATATCTTGCTGTAGAACTATTCGTTTTGCACTCGGTATACCAATGCCATTTCTCACTATCTGCCCTAAAGTATTCACACGATGGCAAATGGTGAGCCCACACAACCTATGTGTGACAGCTCCATAAAAATTGGTTAGATTCTATATTTTTTTCCAGATTGATACTAAGTCTTGTCATACTTAGTCAATTTTGCTGGCTGTTTTTACCCAAATGGCCTCCTGACTTGTTTTGAGTAATTTTTCTGTTTTCACGTTGAAACTAAATTTTCAATAATTGTGCATGTTGCCTATTGTCAGGATTTCTATTGAACCCCCCCCCTCCCACAGGTGTATTCCACAGTGACTTACATGTTATCATTCTATGAGGGAGATTGACTAATCTTACACTAAACTATGATAATATTGCCTAATGACAACTTTGAACAAGATAAAAAATAATCCGCCTTTATCACTGACATTTGCAATTATGTTGGCGTTTAGTTATCATTTACTAAATGCACTAATATCAACAATTGAAATTACCATATCAGAACTACCATCAAAGCTCATCAAATAATCAAATTTTTACAAATAAATGAGATTTAAGTGACTGAAGATTCTGTTTAAGATGCCAGTATACTAGCATCAATCAAAATTTAAGCGCAAACTCACTTGATCTGATAGTCCTTCAATCCATCTTTACATCAACTCCAAAGATTTACCAATTCCACAAGTAATAATTACATTCTGCAAACTTTGAGCCATTTACAAATCATTGGTAATTATGTTATACAATATGCATGACTTAAATAATAGTACTAGAGCAGGTAACCAATAACTAGGCTATTAGAATGTTCAATATTAATTACTGAAATGCTACATTGGGCCATAGCATGTAAGAAGTATACATGTCTGATTCCTGATGACAATTAATCAATAATTAATCAATTATTAATCAGCAATTAATTAATCAACTCTAAAAGACAATATGGTCCTTAAATTACCTGTTCTGTATGGCAAGTTATCGTATACCATTTTGAGTGTGTATCAACATTCCAAATGAAAAACTACTCATTCCAGTTCCAATGGTCATCATACTGTTATTCCTTGTCCATTTTTACTCCTTATGAAGGTACAGTTTGTAGAATTATAATACCAATTCGTTAACTCAGTCCAATATCAAATCCACGCATAAAAATGTCCATCAAATATCCTATGGTCAATGTTTAGATACGTTCAATACATTCTTGCATTACCTCCATAACTGTTATTATTTAATCTTTTATATTCTGCTATTTACACATGCTTAACAAATTAAATGTAAATCCAGTACCTGATGGGATTAGAAGCGAACGGACAGGGCCTATACAAATCCGATAACCAGCAAATTCCAAGCCCATTCACCAAAATAAACCAATAATTTGAGGCTCTTGAATCCATTTTTGGAGGTACATACGTCTTTGTCAGGATATAATCCTTTATTAATTGACATAAGAGAAATTTTATTAGGTTTTTCTGAATAGCTACTTTAAGACTACTTCTAGTAAGCTCTGAATTGGTTATAGCATACAGCGCACAATTTTGGACAGCTAAACAAAGTTTATATTTATTTTTGCAAAGAATTATTTTTCAATTGAACTTCTATTCCTTGATCGTATTAACAATGACAGGTTTTTAATAGTGACCCCTTGACCAGATTAAAGGGAGTCACAGTGGTAAAAAACATTTTCAAAAATGATTATCGTAATTTTTTGCTCATACATCTTATCTATAATACAAAAACTTAGGAAAATATGTTTCAATATTTGTTTTTTATTATATTTTAATATTTGTACAATTATTGCATATTGAAACTTTTAATTATGAATTTATCTGTGATGATTTTTTAACAAATGAAAACACATACCCTTTTGCAGGAAGTCTATGATCTATCCTATTAACACAATATCCTTATTTACTTGTTTATTCAGGAATATGTATTCTAATACTTTTCTATTCAATCCATTTGAATAAAAATAATAAAAAAATTCAATTTTTTCTCATAAAAATATCTATAGTGATTTATCACCCCTTATCCCACAAATGTACATACAGTCACATTCTTTGCTTTCAATAGTGCATGAATGCCTTGTTTGATCAAATATAAGGTAAGAATTATAAAAGAAAGTACAACAAACACTCACAAGCACTTAACAACATATATCAGCTTGTATCGCAACTTAAGTTCTGTGTTATAATTGATGGAGAAACAATTACTAGAATCTGCATTCAAAATTTGAGATTATTCCCTTTAATACTTCCAATGAGTATATAAGGTTATTTTCACAATACTTCTAAAGTTCAACAACACATTTAATTTCACATTCAGGCAAAATTAGCAACGGTTTCCTTTATACAATAATAACAAATATTATTCTAAAATTAGCTACCCCAACAAGAGTATAATGATCAATATTATCTTAAATTAAGAATAACAATAGTATTCAATACTTTTTCTATTCACCACCAGACTGCCAGTTCCAATGATTTACTATACACACATACATTACATGTATTAATTATAGAAAATCTGTATCATTTGAGAGTAAACAGTACAACTGGTTTTAGTTGAGATATTGATAAAACTACTGTTGCATGTGTACTGTGTAGTACATAAGAAAAACAATTAAGGTATCAATCCACCATTGATTTGCTAAGTAACACTCTATCTTGCCTATATTTGGTGTTGATTTTTGTGCAGGGTTGGCCAAAAAATGTAACCTAAATAAATGTTAATAACTCAGTCATCCAGAATAGATTTTTAGTCATATTTGCCACAATTGAACCTTGTTCAAAAATGCAGATGCGAGTAGGTAGCTACCAGTTTCACCACCAGGTGGCTCGTTTGGGTCTGATAGCATGGTGGGTATAGTAGAAAGTTCCATTTAACTTAAATTACATCTGTTTTAGAGTGGTTCAATTTTTATATAACCTTTATGTATCAAATAGTTATGCAAATTAATATATCTCCAGTAAAGGAAAATGTTATATGTCCAATACAAGAAAAGATATTTCACTTTTTGTGATTTTGTAACATAGAGTCTATGGGGAATCACCCCAAACTAAAAGTCACATTTTCAAAAAAAATTAAATTTTCAAAGTTGATAAACAATTTTCAAAACCATTTTTCTAGATGTACTTTTACAAGTAGATTTCAAATGAATTTTGAATATTGAATAATCTAAATCCAGATTATTTCTACTTGTATCTTGCCAATTCTCTTTCATTCTTCTAAGTTTCATTCCCAATGGACACGCTTTTATGGCCATTTTACAAACATGCTCCAATTGCTGAAACATACCAAACCAAACTCACCCGATATGGACCCCTAGACTCAAAAGATAATGCCTATACCATGGGCGTAGCGCTATTTTTCTAAGTAGTACGCCACCACGGGAGCCTGCATGGGAGCAAGATTTGAGAGAAGTAAAAAAGCGTTCAGTAGGGTCTGTGGGGTTCTCCCCCTTGGAAAATTTGTAAAACATTTTGAAATTTGGTTGCATATGGAGCGAATTTGAAACCATCTGGTACGCCTGTGCGTACCCAGCGTACCGGGCACTACGCCCATGTATACTTACAACCCTAGAAGCAACAGGGAGTTGAACAAGTGAGTTATTAACATTTGTTAAGGTTAACTTTTTGGCTCACCTTGTATGTGAGAGTAAAATTGGTCCAAAAATGCCAGTTTTCTATATTTTTCTGTTTTCAAATGAAAGCAAATTGGCATTTACTAAGTAAATGTAAATCAATTTTTAAAAGGTCAAGTGGGTGCAGCTCTCTCTCTTGCTTTAATACAAGGGTGGTCACTGATCTCTATATTGTCAGTATTGGACACTGTATTGTATCGTATTGTATTGTTTTGTATTGTATTGTATGGTATCGTATCGTATCGTTTTGTATTGTATAGGGGATATACAAGAATGCCTACCTTATACATGGGATGTTTTACAGTTGGTGTGTTCTCCAAGGAAGCGTGTCTATCTGACTGCAGAATCTTATTCTGGTAGTTCACCAGAAGGTTCTGAGTCTCCAGAAACTGTTTTTGAACATGTTTGAATAGTTAAGGGTAGTACAACTATAGATACCATAGCAGTGTTCTCCCCAAAAAAAATTTTCAACTGGGTGCAAGATTTCAAGTCTGAAAAAATCAGCAATCGCTACGCTCACAATATCTCAGTGTAGGTGCTTACTTCACTCATTTTTCAAATCAGAAGTTGAAGTGCAGATTCCAACTGGGTGCCAACTGGGGGGCCTTTGGTTTCAAGTAGGGGGAGCCCCCGGTAAAAGTGACATGGGGAGATCACTGCATAGAGAAATTCATATTAATCCTTTATATATTACTATTTTTGATGTAACTGTTACTCCATTCATTACATCAATAACATTTCAAAGAGTGATATTTCAGTTAATGATTTTAAAGATTTTAAAAATTTCACTTCATATTCCCCAAGAATGCAATGGAATTCCATTTGAGAAATTCTTGAAAGTTGTACACTATAAATATGAATATATGTACCTGGTTCAACTGAAAAGTTCTTACTTTCTATTTGCTACACCTTTTAGCTACAACCTATTGATTGGTCATGTTTTTGCAAACAACTTTTCAAATACACAATTATATCAAGTAAAAGGAATAATATAACAAGACATTAACCATGCAAAATGTTACCACTTGCCATTTGTTAAAGACACAAACTCTAACATGAAAAAAAGTTGGAGACTTCTGGTGGTGACATAAAGATACATACCTAATATTAATATTTATCTTGACTAATTTGTAACTCTGAAAATATGTCCACCACAACCTTAATATTTCCTAGTGAGAATACATTCATATTATAAAAGGATATCTTCCCTCTCTTTGAGGATAGCTTCTTGATGCTCTAGAAGTTTCTGTATTTTTGTTTCAAAGGTGACCCTTTCCTTGTTGAGTTGTTCTTCAGCCTGATCCTTCTGTTCTCCAACCCTATATGTAATTTATGTTATTAACATGATAAAAATCTGGTAAGTTATTGTACAAGTGATTACAAGTGTAACGATTTGAAACAGAAGCTGACAAAAATATGGCTTTAATATGTTGTAATGCATACAAGGTATAAACCTGCAAAATGTCACAACCTGCCATTTGTTATAGATGCCAACCGCTGAATACAAATCCCTGAACACTGCCCACCTATGGTGGTGACATAAAAAAGCCAGTCATATATACATGTGGTACTTTTACACTTTAAATGTGGGGAGAGTGATATAAACTGAATTAATTTTAAAGTCAATTTCTTTTTTGAAGGTTAATTTCTCGAACGCCATATTAAAATTGGCTAGTATCAAGTCACCACAGCAATCAGTAAACATGTGAAACATTTACATGTGAACTCACATATAAATCATGATGATGATCTCACAATGTCCATTCCCAATGCAAATAATTAATGTTGGTTAGATTAATAGATTATCTTGCAAGTTGTCTTGAACCTTTTACCAACAGGCTGGACACTTAGATACCATTCCACTAGACACATGAGGCAAACTTTGATCCATAGGTGGTCTAATTTGCCAATGCCTAGGGGCTGATACTGGTTTAATGTACTGCCACATCCTAAATTGTTAACCCAAGGCCCACCTTAACTGATCTGATAAAACAATATTGAACCTACTTAGCAAGTTCCTGGACCAAGTTAGCCACTCTTTTCTTGTCTTCCGAACAAAGATCTTTAAGAGACACCTTACGTTCATGTCTTTTCAAATTCTCTTTGCTAGTACTGCCATCTTTCTTCTGAAAGAAATATTAAAATTATTTTATTTTATTTTTTCGCCATCTTTTAAAAGCTCATTATCCTATTTTGCAGAATATGTGTTATCATCTTATAGTTTACATGATCAGCCAATTTCATAGTTTAGCAAGAAAGCTGGTGGTCAAAAGGTTGTGTAAAATGCAACAATATTATGAACAAGGCAAGGAATAAAATAACAAGGCATTAACATGCAAAATATCACCACCTACCATTTGTTATAGACGATGACAACCACAAACTAACCGCCGAACACTGTTCAGGCCTCGCGCTTAACTTTTTTTGTCAGGTAGTTGTTTCACTACTCAGTGAATTTTCCAGGAAGCTATTTCAGAGAAGCGGGAAGTGATAATTTTGATGAGAGTTATCTTTATTCTTATGACTTAGCAGCGCAATTAATATAAAATATTACATTGTAAATAAATGTAGACTTATCAAGATATTACTATGTTTTGAGGCAATTATATTATAAAAGTTGTGAATCAGCGCCAACAAGAAGTAACAAAGATCAGCTGATCGGCAAATCAATCAAAAATTTGTATATTTTCACATGGAGAGTTGTTACTTGAGGTACTAGTGAAGTTAGCTAGTTGGAGAAAATGACAAGTAGTGTTTTTGGGAAAACAGGTAGCAAATCACTACCTTAGCAATGCTAATTTCGAGGCCTACTGTTACAAAAAAAGTTGACATAACTAGACCTAATCCTTCAACTTTAAATCAAGACACAAGTAAATGTATGATATAACACCGTTAGAATGGTTTGTTACCTTAATATATTTTCTATTGAGGTTTTTTTTAGGAGTGACATCCTCTACTACAGGTTGGCGTCTTGGTACTTTAGGTTTAATTTCATGGGTCTGTCTTCCTTTCACTGGCATTATCTTTGCTTTGGTTACTCCTGAATTACAATAAAATATTTTGCAATGTGTGAAGGAACTTAAGCATATGACTCAATGAATCCTAGATGATTTAATCTCTCACGTCTTGTATCAGACGTATTCTAGACTTTAAAATCATTTTGCTGCACTCACACAAAGTCTGAAAACTAGACATTCCTTGTAAAATCATCCTACAATTCCTTGAGTTCTGGGCTTAAATCATTTAAACGACTCCATTCATCTTTTCCCAGATATATATTTAGCTGCATAAATTTTTGATTGAGATGTTTTTTGGACATGCAAATATTTACACCCGAAAATGCGTACACACTTGTGACTTTTCAGAGTGTCTTCCTATGAATCTCAGAGAAGGTGTCTTAGTTTTTGGATGAACTCGCATAATTAGTTCCAAAACAAACTCACTTGAATCATGTTTTCAATTTGAATAAATGAACATACCTGGAACATACACCAAGGAGGATGAACTACTGTACAAATCTGAATCTGAAAAAAATTGAGAGGTTGGTTTACATGTCTTTCTGTTTACCACAACTGTATTTTCGTATGCCTTTATTTCATGGAAATACGTTGGCTTTCTTTCTCTTCAATATTGTGCTTACTTATGCTTCATGGTAGACAAAATTATGGTGATATAGGTTAATTCACGAGTGCTTAGTACTAAGTGACAGTTACATTCATTAGGTAACTCTTATTTTTTTACATTTAGGGACATACTGAAAGCTGGCTATGCCCCTGGCCCTTGGGGATATCCATCGAACTTCGACGTATTGGGTTACTTCGTCATGGGACTACTTATTTTGACCATTTTGGATCTAATAAAACACTGAAATAGCCTATAGTCAGAGACATTAATAAACCTCAACCATCAAAAGTTGACACAATGAGGCATGAGCTAAATTCTAAATTTCATGTCTCAAACTCTCCCAAGCAGTAGAAAAATAATTCCCGTTCACTCGAAGTAGCACAATAAATGAATCCAAAGCTTCATGTGTATGTCCCCGCGACCAGTCGCAATGACTACCACGTGTACATGTGTTAGTTATCCTTTTGAGATCCTCTTGTATCATTTCGTAAACTTTTATAATAGTTAACCTAGGCATGTGATATCGCAAAATAAGGTCCACATCATCATATATTTGAAGAGGATCTGTACGATCTGTAAATACGCGTTCTCTACTCAGAGCATTACGGTTGAAATCAACCATCAGTTGCGCCATTTTGAAAGAATAAACGCTACCAGCAGATGATTAGATAATTTAAAAATATCATGGATCGAATATCAAACTATACTTCTTAAAATTTCTATATACACCCTATGCAGACAGAGCCTGTGGGAAATATTGGGTGCGGAACAAATGAGCGGAGGGTGCGGAGCTAATGGTCATTTTTGAATTTAAATTTGGAATATTTCTGAAGAGGAGGAGCTCCATTAACGTACCTCCGCACCCAATATTTAGAGGGGGCTCATATCTGAAAAAATTTCCGAATTTTTATAAAATCACACAGATACTGCCTGGCTTCCAAGATGCAAAAATAATTTGCATGGGTAGTGTATCTTGAACACCATTTTTTATGAATGCTGGGGACGCAGTATTAAAAGGATAGTCTCAAAATATATAGGTCTGGGAAATGTTTAAGGCATACTGCGTTGCTATAAAATGAATTGCACTACTATTTTCACAATTTTATTGATATTTGGTGTCAAATACACATATCTTGGTATATTTGAAGTCCCAAAACGGCTTAGTTTCAGAAATATCCCAATTTTAAATTCAAAAATGACCGTTAGCTCCACACCCTCCGCTCATTTGCGCCGCACCCAATATTTCCCACAGGCTCTGTCTGCATAGGGTGATATAATTTCATAAAAAAATTCAATTAATTTTAGACATTTTTCTTAAACTAAAATCACTGTGACTGGGTACCACCGGTCGCTTAAATTTGTTGAACGAGATTGATGAATAGGATGTAATGGCTAAAAAGGGCCCTTGTCTCAAGAGATAGAACCATGTAGCAGTAATTATCTTTTTCAAATGAAGGACATTATTGCATTAGAAATCTCTTATTTGTACAGGACCGTAGCCAGGATGTGCCAATCCTGATGTCAGTTATAAAAGATAGATGTCATTTCTGTGCTATTTTCATACTTTTATTTGTTTAGTGCAAAAGGTTCACATGCAGTATGGCAAGTGATTTTAGACGGTCATATATTTTTTTGCAATTTGCAAGCGATTCTGACCATGTTTTAAGTATCAAAATAATGCTTAGAGTATTGAGACTCAACTGAAGTTAAAAAATAAGGTGAAACAGTGATTATGACCAAACAAAACGGGAGTCCAAACCAGAAGTCAAAAGAGTAACAGCACTTTCAGTCTAATATTGAATAATGAAGATTGATAGTGGTCACTGTGGTGTTTACCTGTAACCACATCAAATTTCCCTTGAGAGAAAAGTTTATTATCTAAAACATTATTCACATGATGTCCGACAGTCGAAAAATCCATTTTTAGAAAAAGTTCAAATGCCTGAATCGAATCATTTGGTCTACTTACTCATATTTACATTATTTTTTGAAGTCAAATGTGTGCATATTCACCTAGTCAGTAGACAGATTCTTGAAATTGGATCCAAATACAGTAAAAAACTAAGTCATTTTCTTCAGACATGCTCCTCTCGACTTCTGTTTGAGTGACATCAGAGTAACAAGAAATCTCAAAATCTGGACGAGTTCATTTGGCAGGGGTTGGAATATTCAGCTTTGTAGTCATCTCCTTCTCAAGTGCCCGGTGGAGACGGACAACTAAGTCCGAGAACTTCTTCTTTTCCACATAAAGTGAGGAACTGTGCCTGTAACTCGCCATTGCAAAGAAAGATGGCAGCGTTTGATATATACATACCTTGTCCCCTACGTTTTGACAAGTCCATTTTCGATGACGTCATTTTCTTAGAATCTCTTCCATGTTGGAATTCGAGACGAAATACGAAGAGAAATGATTTGCGTGATATCACTAGATTCTATCAGATTTCTCTTCAATTTCCTGTGATCAACTGACGAAAGGTAGGAGGTGTAGATAAGTCATCGGCCAAATTTATAATATATGGGGGAAAAACTTAAGAATAAGCTTACGATATCGCTTGATTCATTGACAGAGACTGAGATGTAAGATAAGAAATGAACTACGAACGAAGGCTATTGACAGTGACACAGTCACACACAGTTCAGAAAAATCAAAAAGATAATTTTTTTTTTGAAAATGAAATAGATCTAGCCTTATTTCAATATTTGGTAAATAAATGGCAAAGTAGATAAATTAGGCGCGAGGAATTGGTTCTATATGTTTATATTCATAAAACACATATGTTGGTACTAACCATCTCGCGTCCAATAAGCTTCAAAAGATCGAAGCGTATCTTTGGACGAATTTTCGTCTTCCGCCATGTTGAAAATAAGCGCCCTTTTATTACGCATGCGCAAAAAGGGCACGATATTGATTTCGTTTAGTGCGAAGAAAATCTCCCGGGTTGGTGAATGATAGGCCTGACCCTACTACTTCATTCGGTGCCAGGAGACTATACTTCATCGTCACTGTGTAAGACCCATATTCTAATCCCCTTGAATATTTTTTTCGAAAACCTTACTTGGTGAATGAGCGTTTTGTACGGCCAAAACAGTTCTATTCTGATAAAACTAATTCGGTGTAGACTGATAGATGCAAGTGGAAACTCCCGAATGAATAAATGCGCGAAAGGATTGGTATCGATATGGAGAACTGACGGCCCAACTATATGCTCATAACTTCAGCAATATTGACAACCCAAATTGTACCTGTGGACATCCACAAACAGTTAAACACTTCTTTTTCAATTGTGCTCTTTTGACACATGCTAAGCTTAATACATGGAAAACCTGATCCCTGAAATTTTTCACAGGCAAATCTACCAGCATAAATATCTTGAAGTTCTGAAATATGGCTCAGCAGAAATCTCTATCGAACTAAATTCGAAAATGATGATAGATCCAGGCAAGATTATTTTTTAGAAGAATCAGTTGCTCAATTAGCCTAATAATTAATATTATTCTTTGAGCCTATGATCCTACTACAGAACAATCTGGCCAACATCTGTGAAAATGATGACCAGGCCAGCTTCCTTTATAAAAGCCAATACATGATTTTCCCTCCTGAAACATCTTTCCTTATATTATATTCAAAAGCGCATCAATGTCTTCTATAATGCCACGCATGCATTTGGCGATTGAAGATAATTTTGTAAATGTAACTAATGATGATAATTGATAAATAAAAATTCCGAACATATGATACCAAGAACAAAAGAAGTGTCCGGTGTGTTTTCTATAGAAAAAAGTCAAATTATATTGTTACCATTCAAAAGATGACCATTGGATTGACAATGTGTAAAACTTTCAAAATTTTTTGATGACTAGTTTAGAGATTCGGCAACGTACAAAAGGGATGAGACATCAAGAAAGATATTGAGAGCGTCCTTGTTGAGAGCAAAGGAAAATACGACGAAATAGTCAGTAACGAATTTAGCTGTCTCACTTATTGTATTAGCTCCAGTAGACCGTTCGCCACCGTGTGAACACTTTGTAGCTTTGCCCAAGTCGTTTTTTTTACTTATCTGATCTTGAATTATTACCGGTCATAATAGGGGGGGGGGGCATAATAGAAATCACAATAAGTAAAAGAGACCGACTTGGGCAAGGCTAAATACTTTATGACAGACAGCGAAACACGGCGTGGATAGTAAGCTTACATAGTGGGCAAAACAAATAGTTATACAACAAGATGTTCTTCGTCACACCAAATAAAAAATATTAATTAATGAATCAAAAACTAACACCAAAATTAGCCACACGATAGTGAACGGTGTGAGATTACCCGACTTATGTGAAAAAGATCACTTACAAATATAAAGTTCACAAAATGTTTTGTTCCGGAAGAGAAAAAATCTATGGCATTCACGTCCAAAAATTGGCCACAGCCATAGTTAAAGATTAAAGCATTTGTTGTCGTCTAAAATTTAATTTACCTAAAACAACAAACAAAATAAACAAGAGTTGATTAACCCATGACAAAAAAGCAAGTACACTCTTAACATAAATTAAAACGAGTCCACAAGACGTCATCTAATACACCACTCCGCGTTCTGGAATTTCACGATCATATTACTGTGCGCTTTCTAATCACATCTCATAAATCTTAAACCACATTACTCTTAAGTCCGACATGAAGTATTTCTCACTGCATTGACATCAACTTTTTTTGTTGATTGTACTTTGTTGATATCATATAATTTAAAGGACTCTCAAAAGGACATAAACTAGGCGTAACCATTTAGAAAAACGTCATTGTAATTGTGTCCGAATCACTTCGGGATTAAGGGTCACTCCTTACGGCTGGTTTTATAAATCTCTTTTGGCATAACTTACCAAAAATGTTTTGGATTAGACCATTTCAATTAATAGGGATATTCTTACTTTATCAAGTAACAGTAAATGGTAAGTTATTCAATTTATGTTTATTTAAGGTATCGATGTTCACCTTGGAAAATCAAAATATCTTGTGTCAAAAGATTTCAGAATAAAATATTAAATATACCAAATTTAGATTTCCATCAAACGATTTTATTTTTTTAAGTTTTGCCTTTAATTGCATGTAACAATTGTTGTCCTAGCTAAACGTCACTGTAACTTCGGTGACATCTAAGTTGGCGCAGTGGCAACAACGCGCAGTGACATTTACAAAAATGTCTTCCCAAATGATGACTGTAACACAGGTACATTCCCGGTGTTTTTCTATATTCAGCACAACCATATTCAAAAAAGACTCCGGAAAAACAGCCCCCTCTATTAGTAGATGACCTAGAACTACCCGGAGCCAAAGATCTATCAACAGATGACACGACGCAACGCTTAGATGGACAAGGTAACATGGATAAATGATTTAAAAAAAAATCATAACTATATTTCATTGTAAATACAACTAAAAACTAAGGAAGGAAAAGAGCAGAGCATAGATATGGAAATACCCGTCTCAAACTTTTAACTCTATGAAAAAATAGTATAATCGAAAAGTCCACAAGTTAGCGTAAGTAATTATATAAAAGCCGTTTTAATTTTGTTCCAAAAGGACTAAAGGCAAGTTATCGCAATTTTTATGAATGCATTATAATTGCCAAATACTAACGGGCTTTAAACACGTGGTTGAAAAAGGGGACTTTCAGTCCAGGCTTTCAGTTCCAAATTCTTGAAAAGGATATGTAGCTAGCCCAATAATATACTTTATAGCACTGTAGGCCACATCCTGGACTATGTAATAAGTATTGCGAAATAATATTTTTGATGCGATAAATAAAGAACACATTTTTTACTCAGGAAATGACGGAATCATTTTAAAATCATCATTTCCCATGTCATTAGTAATTAAAACGTATCCAGGTGACGTTAACATAAATGTTTGTTTCAATAATAAACCACTTGAAGTAAAGTATCCGAGCATAAGGTTCGAATTTGCGGTCGGGTCCGAATAGGTTACCTCGGTCATCAAAGAGTTCATTATCAAAAAATAAATTCAAGTATACTTCATATGGGGTGGTTTGACTTATCGATTCAATTTATGCATTAAAACTACTTTATTGTAATTTTAGCTTCAATTTGATATGATTTATAGGTCCTGCTTGAAGTTCAATATCTACAAAATGTCCTTTTAATTTATAAGATAAATTATTTATCAACACCTCTGATCTTTAATTGTCAATATTGATTTTCGATTATGTTAAAGTGACTTAGAGTTGACACATGGGGATCTGAAAACTAAGAAGGGGTGGGGCAAATTTCAAGTCTGAAAAAATATTTCCTTGCTTGCTTTGTCATGTCTTTTTTCTAAAAATCCCAAAAGGACATACTTTTTTATTCCAGAAAACTAATGATTTTAACAAAGATTTAAAATAAAATGTTCTATTTTTATGGTAACCATTCTAATCATTTGAGACAATTTGAACACCCTTTCCACATTTTTTACACATTGAATCCTTACCACCAATTCGCGATCTTTTTGAAGATATTGTTTTTGAGATCATAAGGAACTTATTGGTAAGCCAGTTTGTACACGTTGCTTGAAATTTTGTCACCCCCTATAGATTTGATCATGATTCTGCCTCAAATGACAATTTTCAGAGGACTGAAATGCAAAAATGCTTTTACCAGATGTTTTAACCTATTTATGTTTCAGGCTACACGCAAGCGTGTACTCTAACTCGCTGCTTCAATGGAGGAACATGTTTATCATTAAAAGCTATAAATGATGACATTGTATCAGTAACAGACTATTGCAAATGCCCAGTGGGCTTCGCAGGAAAATATTGTGAAAACTTTATCCTCGCAAACAGATATCAAAGACTACGTCATAACAGGAATCAGAGATTGAAGAGACAGATCGAAATACCCGCTGGTAAGTTGCCACACCAGTAGTTGATAAGATACTGTTTTATTTCGCACCAAAAATATTGAGTATGTATAATACCTTAGACTAGAATACATACCCCAGCCTGGGTACAAATGTAGAAATTAACTATTGCCACTCCGTTCTATGGGCCCCTAAATTGTATTCCGTCAACAATTAACTAATCCAGACTTTAATTGTTTTTGTTTATTGTTGAAGCCATTTCTCAAAATAGCAAACCGCAAATCCCCAATGAGGTTAGCTTTTGAAACTTGGGAAGGATCCTAAACTTATATACATCATTCAACGTCTTATAGTCCCCAACATATGGACGCCTGGCTGGACGGCGTACATCAGGGTCGCGGTGTTCAAAGATGGGTTTATTTTGCATCACATAAAAATGGAAAATGTTAAGCTTTCCCCTGAAATACAATTATTGTACAACAAGCTCTTAATACGAGGGTTGTCCCAGAAGTATTGCACTATATGCTCTAACTTTATCAATAATTGATATTTTTCCATGAAATTTTCAGTAAATGTTCCTTAGAGACATTTTGATTATTCTCAAAAATTTCATGTTGACTGAAAAAACTATATTGATGTTATAATAAAATCAAGTTGGTGAGTTTGGGTAGGGCGGGGCAGGTTATACAGTCACGTCAAAAGGAATAAAAAAAATTAAAATATGAAATAATTAATCAACAAATACCATTTTGTGTAGCCATAAGATATATGCTCAAAAATACATTTTAAGATACCAAATTACTATGAGCACATCCTAGTTTTAATGGATGTATATTGCAAAGTGTTCCATTTCACATTTTCTCAAAATATTGCCCTTTGCATGTTATGTACTTTTGATGCCTGTCAGGTCAAACACTCTTGGCAATTTCTTCCATTTTGACTTGTGGAGTTTTTGCCTCCCATGTTTGAGGTTGTCATCCAGGGTCAAATCATCTCTTTTAAATCTCTTCTGCGACCCCATAGTTGTAGTTCTATCTGGTATATACTTCTTATATACTTTCTTCATGGTAGCATTGTTTTGGGTGGCTGTGAGTCCAAGTGAAGTATGAAATTAGGCTACAAAACGCAAGGCCTTCTGTTATCAGGTGAGAATTGCAGCCATTTTTGCAATTTCTTGACTGTGACTGTATTTGAATTCGTGACTATTGAAATGTGGTATTATTACATCACAGTGCTAAATGTCATTATTTGTACTTGGTTAACATCATGCTGAATAAATTTGACAAATTCCCAAACATTTTGACCGTTTAAAGGTAAGAAATATTAATAAAATAACACTTTAGATCTTTTTATAATTTGAAAAATTGGTACCTGCCCCGCCCACCCCTACCCCCATGTTGTTATAGCAACCATATTAAGACTCAATATTAGTGTTTGATGCTGAAACTTCAGGATATAATAGATAAAACTTCACTTGTTATATACACAAAATTTCAGCTGAATTGAAGAATATTAAAGAAAGTTAGAGCATATAGTGCATTACTTCTGGGACAACCCTCGTATAGCACCAAATAAAAGCTTTCCTTACATAAAAAGCTATATTTATTTATTTATTCATTTACTTATCACACTATTTTAGGGAATCCGTGTGAAAGTTTCCCATGTCAGAATGAAGGAACTTGTCGCTGGGAATTTGAAATTATCGGGGGACAATACAACTTTAAAGATGAGTACACTTGTATCTGTCACCCCGGTTACTCAGGAACACACTGTGAACTAGGTTTGTAGCTTTACCATTGTTCATGGAACCTTTGATATTATCAAGTATTTGTTCTCTCTGTGACAACACAGTTTCGGAATTTTCCTGTGTGCACATGTCTAGGTGCATTGTTTATTGGCACATTTTGCATTATAACTTTTGAACCATTATGTACCTCCATCTGCAAGACAATCAAAAATATACTAACAGGTCACAAGCTATACCAAATGAGGTTCATAAAACAATACTATGAAACAAGCTTTCCATCCTCCGATCACAGGGCAGCTTAGGAGGATGCAAGCTTTTCAAATCGTATAAGTTGGGTTGTGCTCTATTGTTTAATTTCAGATTCCAATGTAAGTGACCCCTGTGATAGCTCACCCTGTACTAATGGCGGTACATGTGCGTCTTCAAGTGGCGGCACGTCCTTCTCATGTTCATGCCCAACTTCACACACAGGAGACCTCTGCGAATTAGGTAGCGACACTTTTATCAATATCAGTAGTGACAGAGAATCAACAAAATTAGATTGGTTAACTGGTCGATTCAGCGGGCAATTTTATAAATACCAGTTCTACCTCTTTAAGTATTGCGGCAAGTTATCTCAACTTAAACAATGACACAAAATGTTCCCTTTTGGCTAACCATGTGGTTTACTTCTTTTGGGGGAACATTTCTGTGTAAAATTGATATTGCTTTGGCTGTGTTAATAGCGCAACATACACACAACAATAATTTGCAACGTAGAATAAGAGTATTTAAGAATGTAGTACTATAGTATTATGCTATATATTAAGAAAAATTTATAGACCCTTTATAAACATAGGACACATTCCCACCCAAGATTATTCAAGTTTATTGTAAACCAAATACTGAAGTGGGTAATTAAAGTGCAAAATTCATGATCAAGCTCAAAGATCAAAAGCTTTTAATATTGAAGCATCTTTACATGCATTATGTTAATTGTTTCTTGTCCCATATCATTCAAATCCATATCATAACAGAAAAATTCTAGGTCAAGTGTTGGGATCTCAGATTAAATTTTATAATATTGAAGCATTTTAAATTGTTTTTGCCTCCAGAGAGTCCATGTCATCCAAATCCCTGTGAGAACAGTGGTGCATGTACAGTGGATTGGATTGTTAGACAGAAGAGAGACGTAGAAGAGATACCCCGGGGTCCGGATGATGTATACAACTTTACCTGCCAGTGCACTGACGGCTATAGTGGCGCCAAATGTGATATCAGTAAGTATTATTTTGTTTCTTCAGTCGTTGATCTATTAAACTTACAATATATTAATATGTCTAGATCAAAACCTACGTGTATTATGACATACCTATAGATAAATAATTCGTATCATAAATGCCATCAATATGTTTTAAATATTTGTAATTTGTTTGTTACAATTTGTTGTATTTTGTCCCAGTTCTATCATGTCTCCATTTGTGTCCTTGGTATTGTTCTATTATTGATCATAGAATCAGGTAATCAGATGATATTATAATTTCTTTGTACATGATTCCCTTCTAGCTGACGATCCATGTACATCGAACCCTTGTCAGAATGGTGCCACGTGTGTGGTGGAGGCGGGTAAGAGGAAGAAACGAGGCGTACAAGAGATGCAGAGACGTTCTGGGGATTTCGACGACTGGGACTGGGATTGGGCAGATATTTATGTTTGCGAATGCGAACAAGGTTTCCATGGTGTAAATTGTGAAGAGGGTAAGTGAAATGCAAAATTAGTGATTTTTGTTGTTGATGCAATGAAAAACCTGTTCGAGGTCCGGCAACATCAATCTCTAAACCTCATGAGTTACATATCATCCAGATTTAAAGTTCGTATGTTTCAACATAAATCCCAAATCTGATTTGACTTCTTATTACTATTCTAGGTGCAGCAATTATTAATTGTCCCAATCCCACAGTTAAACCGAACAGCGCAATCGTAGCTTTGACTGGCAAAAGCGTCGGTGATACAGTTGAATACACATGTGATGATACATTCGTATTGTCCAGTGGGGATCTGAGAAGGGAATGCCTTAATGATGGGACGTGGTCTGGAGAGGCCCCAGCCTGTGGTTAGTACTCTTTCGATATTGATTTCACACGATTTCCAGATAAAATACATTGTACTTTCTTTGACCTATGATATCATGGTGAATCGTGGCATCTTGATGAATGATTGTACATGTTTGTTTTTATTTGACCATCTATTCTAAGCTAATTTCAAGTGACATTTATATTCAAGCTGTCCCAGTAAGTTGTCCCAATCCCACAGTTAAACCGAATACTGCAATAGTTGCTGTGACTGGCAATAGGGTCGGTGATACAGTTGAATACACATGCGATGATACATTCGTATTGTCCAGTGGGGATCTGAGAAGGGAATGCCTTGATGATGGGACGTGGTCTGGAGAGGCCCCAACATGTGGTTAGTACTCTTTCGATATTGATTTCACACGATTTCCAGATAAAATACATTGTACTTTCTTTTGACCTATGATATCATGGTGAATCGTGGCATCTTGATGAATGATTGTATATGTTTGTTTTTATTTGACCATCTATTCTAAGCTTATTTCAAGTGACATTTATATTCAAGCTGTCCCAGTAAGTTGTCCCAATCCCACAGTTAAACCGAATACTGCAATAGTAGCTTTGACTGGCAACAGCGTCGGTGATATAGTTGAATACACATGCGATGATACATTCGTATTGTCCAGTGGGGATCTGAGAAGGGAATGCCTTGATGATGGGACGTGGTCCGGAGAGGCCCCAACATGTGGTTAGTACTCTTTCGATATTGATTTCACACGATTTCCAGATAAAATACATTGTACTTTCTTTTGACCTATGATATGGTGAATCGTGGCATCTTGATGAATGATTGTATATGTTTGTTTTTATTTGACCATCTATTCTAAGCTAATTTCAAGTGACATTTATATTCAAGCTGTCCCAGTAAGTTGTCCCAATCCAACAGTTAAACCGAATACTGCAATAGTAGCTGTGACTGGCAATAGGGTCGGTGATACAGTTGAATACACGTGTGATGATACATTTGTATTATCCAGTGGGGATCTTAGGAGAGAATGTCTCAGTGATGGGACATGGTCTGGAGAGGCTCCAACATGTGGTTAGTATTTTGATATTTTATTTATCTCACGATTTCCATACTTTTAATGATATTTGAAAAATTGCACTGTATTTGAATCTTTTCACCTGTGATATAAATGACCGTTTATTGAATTAGAACTAGACCCCAAAGCTTAAGTATATGCTTTTCCATTTATAAGTCTGAAAAAAGATATAATGATATCCAGCTTCAGACACAAATAAAACAGGGACTATGACTGCAGACCCAATGTTATATGTTTGTTTTTATTTTACCATCTACTCTAGGCTTATTGTAAATGATATTTATATTCAAGCCGTCGCAGTAAGTTGTCCCGATCCCACAGTTAAACCGAACAGTGCAATAGTAGTTATGACTGGCAATAGTGTCGGTGATACAGTTGAATACACGTGTGATGATACATTCACTCTGTCCAGTGGGGATGTAAGCAGGGAATGTCTCGATGATGGGACGTGGTCTGGAGAGGCCCCAACATGCGCAGGTTTGTAAAAATGCTCCCCACTCGTTTCTCAATTAACAATCAGAGCACAAGAACGTTGCAAAACTGGTTTTTATGCTTGTTTCTTGTTATATCAGATTTGCAATATTTTTTATTGTAGCAATCAAGTGCCCTGACCCATTATATGAGCCAAATAGTGTCATATTGACAGTGAGTGGGAACACTATAGGAGATGTTGTGGTGTATGAATGTGATGACATGTTTAAATTGGAGTCGGGGGATTTAACAAGAGAGTGCCTTGCTGATGGTTCCTGGTCAGGAGAAGCTCCAAAATGTGAAGGTGAGAATCCCATTTGTTTATTCTGTCTCATACAGTCAGTATTGGTTGTTAATAAAGCCAACGTGTTTTAACATCTCTCCCTATGTTCCAGCCGTTGATATTGAAAATGACAAGTGCGCTTCCCTAGTTCACCCTGACAACATAATTGTGATTGGTGCCGGAGAGGGCTTTGTCTATGAGACTGTTGTCTACTTCTGTGAGAATGGATACAATTGGACAGGTGGCGATATGTTCAGGATATGTATGCCTGATCTAACTTGGACTGGGCAGGAGCCGGTCTGCACATGTAAGTTAATAACAAACCATGGCCAGGTTGTTATGTTGTTGAATCAATTTCTTTTTGAGCCAAAGAATTGCCATTGTTTGACTTTTGAAATATGATTCCATTTCCAGTGATAACCTGTGATGCGCCCGTGATACCTACCAACACACGCATTTTGGAAATTGTAACTTCACTTACAATTACCTTGAACAATAGAGGAAAACGGTTTGCTATCAATGAAATCCCTCGTATAGAAGATTTAAGTGGATCAGGAGGAAACAATTTGGATGGCTCTGGAGGATCTGAGAGTGGTGATAAGGACATATCAGGGGATGATTCGTCAGGTGATTCTGATATATCAGGGGATGATTCGTCGGGTGATACTGATATATCAGGGGATGATTCGTCAGGTGATTCTGATATATCAGGAGATGATTCGTCGGGTGATTCTGATATATCAGGGGATGATTCGTCAGGCGATTCTGATATATCAGGGGATGATTCGTCGGGTGATCCTGATATATCAGGGGATGGTTCTTTGGAAAACTCTGGGAGTGGTTCGACGGAGGAACCGAATGATGCTGGATCTGGCTCAGAGGAAGGTAGCGGCTCAGAGGATGATGAATATACTGTTGGGCAAGAGATCATATATGAGTGTTTATCTGGATACGAAATAGCAGATGGAGATCTCATAAGAGTTTGTAGTGATAAGGGCACATGGACTGGTAGTGACCCTGTATGTACAGGTGAGGTTATTATTACATATCTCTATATCTTCTGTGATATATAAAACCCAAAATACTGGATGAAAAACAGAATCAGTGAAAGTTGAATTTAAACTAGTTCACTTGCATTTTCTATATTAACTGAAAATTAAGCGTAAATTAGTGCTGAAAATGAGCACATTTTTATCACTAGCTTTGGCTATTTCTGGCCAATCCACTTGAAGACCCACATAATGAAATAAAGGTTATTAAAAAAGACCACATGTTAGTCATGCCGTTAATAAAACGTATGAATTGGTTATAACAAGAGAGCTTGTTAATCATAATCCAACTACACTTTCTGTTACAGCAATCCAAACAACATTGACTCCACCTACAACTCAAGTCCCTCTCTTTTGTGATATTCCCGAACAACCCCCAAATACCGAGACTGTGGGGATTGATAACCTTGACGCAATCATCGTGTACAAATGCTATGCTGGTATGGTCCTTATGTCTGGGGATACCACCCGAACATGCTCCACCAATGGTTCGTGGAGTGGGGAGCCTCCTGTATGCATCGGTAAGGACACTCTTATTCAAATACTTAGTTAGACAATAATGATCTTCTTTCCCTCAATTCGGACCTCGATAGGCCTTTAGTATCACATTTCTGTAGTTTTTAGGATTTGTGAGACATATTTGGAAAACAAGGAAATGGCACTAAGCAAGAACCAATCCATAAATTAGAAATAAAGATTAAAAGAATCCATGAACGAGGACAATCCAAATACAGTGTAGGCTACTGATTTGAAGTGATCATCAAATGTTACAACTTAGATATTGTCTTCTGTTACAGATCCTACAAAAATAGAATGCGGAGATTTAGAAACTCCCGAGAATGTTGTTATCACAAATTACAATGGGAACAGACTTGGAAGCGTTATATTCTATGAATGTGAGGATAATTACGTGTTGACCGAAGGGGATTTGCACAGAGTTTGTTTCGTGGATGGCACATGGAGTAATGTGGCTCCAGTTTGCACAGGTATGTAATCCTTGGGAAAAGGAATTAAGTTTTTTTCGTATTTTCTTAGCATTTATACAAATGTTTGTATGAAGCTCATCGGCCAAATAAAAGAGGAGGCCCAGAAAGTATAAAAAATGTTTAAAAAAGGAACATTGAGAAGCAGAACCATTTTTTACCAATAATTGCAAAAACGAAACACTGTCATTTGAGCACCATCACCATCCACTATCCCCAGCGTATAGTACATTACTTGTTATTTGTACAACCTGCAGCCAATTACTGTGAGGTGCCACCAATGCCCGAAAATGCAGTGATTGTGAATGAAGAGGAAGGAAGTGAATCTGGCTCAGGGGATACATCCGAGTCAGGAGAGATTTCCGGTTCCGGTTCGGAAGAAGACTCTGGTGATGTTGAGATACGAAATGGGACATACCAAGCTGGAAGTAAGATAACCTACTCTTGTGACGAAGGATATGGATTAGAGTCGGGTGATTTAGAGAGGACGTGCACATTAGGTGGAATATGGACTGGAAGCCCTCCATTGTGTACAGGTACAGTCGTAGTTTATCTTGAATTCTAGAACATCATCAACATCATTACATTATTATCGACATTATTTTCCTCTATACCTATAAGAAGTTTATGATAAGTGGAACACACGTTTGACTTGTATTTAAAAATTCTGTTTGTTCAGCTTTGTTCTGCGCCAATGCCACCAAATTCATGACCGACAATGTTGAGTATGTGAGTGGAGATAGTTATGTTGGTGATACTTTAGTTCTTGCTTGTGCCACTGGATATGAACTGACATCGGGTTCACTCAACATAGAATGTACAAGGGGAGGTATCTGGAAAGGGGATGCACCTGTTTGTACAAGTAAGCCTAAAGTATTTTGTCTTTAAAAGTGTCAATTGCTTGGTCAAATGTCATCTGTATCCTGAATTTCTATTTATTGATAGAGTGTATGGAAGAAATGTTGGATGGTCACGTTAACTGAACGGTCACGGTCACGGTCAGGTTTTTTTTCTTGATGTTTTGTTATAGTGTTTGCCTAAGCTCATGTGCTTACATGTTATAACTTTTATTGCAGGAATAGTTTGTCAGGACCCTGGGATTCCTGATAACTCAGTCAGAACTGGAGATGATTTCGTATTTGGGGCTATAGTTTCATATGCATGTATGGATGATTACTTTCTGGCATCTGGTTATACCGAGAGAGAGTGCAAGGAAGATGGAGTGTGGTCTGGAGAGGCCCCTGTGTGTGAGAAAACAAAATATCCACCAACTATCCCTGATTGGGGTAAGTTGATAGATTATTATAATTATTCAAAATAATTGTTTCAATAAAATCGTAGGAACATGTAACTTGCACCTTCGACGGATTATGATTAAGTACGAAACTATCCTCTCTGAAAATATCAGAGCTCAAAAATTGCTCACGCACCCAAAGAGCGACATGACAAGTACTAAAACTGTAACTCAAGTATGTCTGTCTTAAAATGTTTCACGTATGTTCTAGGTGGTAAGACGATCATAATCAGCATTAGTATAGAGATCAACATGGAATGGAATCCTTCTTATGGACCTTGTATCACAAACCAATGTGGAGATTTGGTCTCGAATATAAAGGCGTCTGTAAGTATTACCATGAATTGATCTATAAGAGGAATCACATAATTGATCAAAATAAATGATTGCAAATATATTTATGTTGACCCAGTTAAGGTTTTCTTGTACCTGATTTCGACAATGTGCGATTAAAACAATGCATTGAATTTCCAGTTGGATCTCATCTTCCAAAGCAACCTACCATGCACGTGTTTCACTGGCACTAATATCAAGTCATTGAGGTAAATCATTTTATAGTTTAAAACTTAACAACGGATAGAGGATAGAGACGCATCTCATCGTTGATAGCAATTTTCCAAGAAGCACGTGTCCTTTGCTGTTTCAAATACTTTCTGTGTTTTCAAATCAAATTCTTAATTATTTTATTTATTTGTTTATTTTAATTTTGGAATAACAAAAGTAGAAAGTTGATAACAATAAAAGTAGGATGATAATAGGTTGCAATTCGTTTTGTTTTTTCTTAAATCAATATTATGTCCTCATCACGAATTGATCTTAAAGTACCACAAATTGCAAGAAAATAATAAACAATGTCTGCCATATATTCCAGTCAAGGAAGTGTGATAGCCGACTATGATGTTGAGTTTGATGCCGACCAAGCTATAGATGCATACGGACAGAACGCTGCATCTGAGCTAGCAAATCAGACTAAATATGTGGTAGCACTTATTGATGACATTACAATTGGTGACAAAACATACACTACTGATGAGGGCCACAGAGAAAGTGTGGTAGAAGGTTTAGATAACTGTAAGTAATAATTTCTTCTCAGACAATAAACTGTCGTTGACAATTTTTATTTAATTCTAAGTGAAAAGTGAAAGTGAAATGGTGTTTTCTGTTTTGTATACAGTCTACTTGGGTATTAATATATTTTGATTGAAACTAATGCAAACCATATTCACTGATACCGTTTTTTATGTCACCACCAAAAATGGTGACATATTGCAATGGTCTCCAACTTTTTCGCGACGGCGTTCGGCGGTTGGCATTTGGCGTCTGTGACAAATGGCAGGTGGCGACATTTTGCAAGTTGATGCCTTGTTCTGTTTTGTTTCAATATTTTGATGTTGCGAGTTTGACATGGTTGGATACTTCAACGATTACATGTATTACTGTATATGATTGCAGATATACCAGACTACTGCGTTGCAATACCAGATATTTGTAGCGCTGGATATAAATGTCAGCAGACGACACCTACCGACGGGAACTATTTAGATGGTGTCAGATGTTATCATTCATGCGAGACACATACATGTGACTTAGATAACGGGGAGTGCTACCTAAATCCTAATTATGAGCCAGATTGCAGGTAATTAAACGCCACTAATCAGCTTTTTATCATATACCCTGAGTAAATAGTTAAGTGGCAGTAATTTAGTGATTCTTCTCATAGATTACGTATGTTTTTTTTAATTAGTATTCACTTTACATTCGTATTTATAATACACCAAGACACAGGGGTGTATACTGAGAAAGTTTGGGATATAAAGAGTATCCGTAATGTACGCTAAGCGATCCAAAAAGATAAAAGGGTTCGAAAATACTAAATAAGAAATATTAAACGTATATTCCTAACAGAAGAAATGCCAACTTAATTCGTGAAACATAGCATTGAATTATTTTACTGTTTTACGAGATCTTGTACAATGGATCTCAGTACTTTATTCTTCTCTAGCTCTATTTGTACTTTTCCTATCCATAGGTGTATCAGTGGTTACTTCATGAGCAGCAATACCTGCATCAGCAATGCCTTATTGATTGGCGTTATAGCTGGGACACTCGGGGCAATCCTGCTCGTTGTTGCTATCATTGTCATCGTGCAGTTATACAGGAGGAAATATACTCGCAAGGGATCTTTGATATCAAGAAGGTACGGCAAATATGTACATCTCTCTCTGCGCGCAGGGTACAAATATGTATACCTTGGTAAAACACCCATGAAGCATTGTCACTTGGTTAAAATATAAACAATTGTAATGTGTACATGAATCTAAAAAGTAAATTTATTGATTCAGCAAATTGTCAAAAATCTAAGTAAAATATTATCGATTAAATGGTATCTAGTAAAATGTGGCAAGGAACCTTCGAACCGAAGACGCATCGACGTTTACCATTTTGTACCATACTTATAACATTTTTGTGTTTCAGGTCGTCTTTAGAAAGTTTAATGAAAGAACCGATATATTCTGATAGCGATCTTCATCCTGTTCTCTTCGAAGGTTACTTTGGTAAAAATCCATCACCAAGTGATAATAAGGTATATCACCTTTCATGTTATCGTATGCTTACTTGGTGGTTTTAAAATCAACATCTAACGATTCTGTAGCAATTACTACAATATGTTAATCGTTGAACAAGCCTATCATGGGGTCTAATTTTACATAAATGTTATTTACTGATCATTAGGTTTAGATTTCTTCTTGTACACCTGCTGGTTACATAATTATGTCACCACCACAAGTGGTGACATATTGTTTTAGTCTTGTGGAGAGGTTCTGCGGTTGGCGTCTGTAACAAATGGCAAGTGGTGACATGTACACATTAATGCCTTGTTAAATTTTGTAATATGTTATTCGCATTTTTATCATTTAAAATGCTTTCCAGGGCTATGCAACAGATGAGCCATTACACAGAAATGACACTGCTACCTCTGAGAAGCCTTACGTTTCAACTATACCCGTGACATACAACGAGGCCACTGGACAATATGGCCTACATGGAGAGGCGATGATTCATACCTATAAGGGTCAAAATACATTTGATAATAAACAGCAAGATGTCGATCCCTCAACGGATTATTTTTAGTTCAGCAGTGAAAGTCTAACGAAGCAAAACCAGTGAACCTGAATCATCTATATCAAAAAATTATTTTTACTGGAGGTGTCACGGAACAGAAATTTTTCGGAAATGTTCAGAACATTCGACTTCAGAATGGAAAAATTCTAGCTTGGTTCGATACCACAGTGAACGCGGGAGTTAACTTTCTATGTATGAAACTTCATTTTGGAGAGAATTAACATGGTTGAGATCTTCAATAAGTCTGGCCTGACAATTTACTCTCTATTGATTCCATCAGTATGTAAAATGGAAATATCAATGACTTGTCATTTTGAGCTGACATATTTGGATATCCAGTGGAACATATTCATTGGTATCCATGACATCTTTAAATTTTATAATCATTTTCTATGGTATCATCCATGTATAGTTGATAGTATCCCAAAATAAGTTTTTTTCAGAAACTTTAATCTCGTAGTATATTTTATTTTTGTATGCATGAAATGAAAAAGGGGCACAACAAATGCACGCACGAGGGTGTAAGCACGCAGAACTTTAACTGAACTAAGTGTGGTGTGGTGATAATATTTTTGTGTGAGACAAAAGAGTATATGGCCAAATGTCTAAGAGTGTCCTTAAAAACCTATTCGTCATTTCTAGCAAACGAAAGAAGTTTGCCAATTTACCAAAAGTGAAAATAAAAGAACTTCATCGAACAGTGAATTACCAAAGTCAACGTGTCCGATGAGAAAGGAAGAATGGCCATCATTTGAGAAGCTACACAAAACAAACCCAAATGAAACGTATGACACATGAGAAACTTGAACATTATTAAAGGAGTATTTATAAAACTAATTTAGGAAGCAGCAAATGATGAACCGAATTAACTGATGGTGAAATCTTTGCTAACAGCATTCCAGGACATGCATTTTTCAAAATCTGCGGCAAACGTTTTAAATTTATTTTAGTTTATGTTTTTGATAATTCTAACCAGTGGTCATTTCCATTAAGACCGATTTGATATTTACAGATAGCACTTCTAATATATTGATATATAGTAGCACTATTTATTATCTGTATTGCACAGTACAATCCATCAATTCGGAGTATTCTGAATTGCATGATTGGTGTCCAAATAGCTCAATTCAGGCCCACTTAAAGGCCAAAAAAGAAATGACACAAATGAATGAATGAATGAAACAATTTTCCTCAAATCAGAAATTACCCAACAACAATATCTTGCATAATATGAATCAGATAATAAACCTATTATTGTAAAATAGTTATTCCTATACCATCGTCATACATAACCAGGTAAATAAGTAAATGAAGGTTTAAAAGAGGGGGGAAAGTATCGTAACAGTTTTCGGACAATCATTTAAGTCAGTCTTTTAAAGGAATAAGTTATTCTTCTTCGATAAAGTGGAAAACAATATTTCCCATGTTATTTTCCCGAAGGGAAAACTCATGCGATCCATTGCTTTCAGCTAATTTTGGTCACCCATAATAGATATCTTTAAAACACCTGAAGGAATTACTTATTCCTTTAAAGGGGTTAATTGTGTGTCAAATGCAACATATTGATGCAACAAAATTGAAAAAACAGGGGTGGAAGGGGTTGAAAATCAGGACAACATTTCCGAAAAACATGTGGGTGGGCTGTTTGCATCTTCCCTGTCTCAAAGTTGAAATTATTTTATCATCTCTATGAGTGCTTTTCCTGTAAGTAATGCATTGGCTTAACATATGCACCGTTTAAGCCCTCAGTAAATAGCCAAAATCAAGCATATGACTGTTTGAAATCTGTTGCGATACTTTCCCTCCTATTTAACATGGCAGATCACTAGCTAGTGTGTTTTGCTCCTGAATTCCATCCAACGTATGATTTACGTGTTTAATTGCTCAAATAAAGCTCAAAATATATGCAAAAATAATAATAAATATTTGTTATTAATCTTACAGTGGGGTCAACTGAAGTTATCCCCCTTCCACACTGTGGGTGATTATGAGTGAACAATTACATGAAACAGGGTTGTGAATTTGTCACGAGGCATATCCCACATACATGTACTAGGCTCTGATGAAAATCAAAATGCAAAAATGGTTATGTATCCAATATACAAGCAAGCACTCAATACAAGAATATAGGAAGTTTTAATGATATCTCCTTATCAGAATATACATCCTATCAGTTAGCAGGGTGAACCTAAATTGTAGGATTGTCCAATGATAAGATACTATCTATAAGTATAAGCTATCACCTAACATATGTGCTTCATTATCAAATATCAAAGATGATACGGACTGTTCTATTACTGGCGATTGTCTCTCTTTCATGGGTAAGACATTGATTAACATATCATTCAACTAGATTCTGTATAAACTTATCTTTAAAGTTTGATATTATTGTTGACCATTGTAAAAGTGAAGTTAAATAAGACAAGGCATTATGCAAAATGTCACCACCTGCCAATTGTTACAGACGCCGTAATTTGTTGCAGACCCATATTACGAACGAATGCCATCCACTAATAAGTTTTAGACAATAACAATATAAAAATGTCAATGACGCTAACTTTCACCAGCATTCCAATTCATTCAAAAAATATTATACTTGTTCCACTCGAACTAGGGATTGGAGGGGGTTATATCATATATCCAGCCCGTTCATATTTTCATCATTTTATTCCCTTCGTCTCCTGGAAAGATACAGATATTTCCACCAGGATAAACTCTATACATCAGTAATCGTTTAAATTTTATATTATTTAATCACATCCAGTACTCCCTACTTTATGCTATTATTAGGTTTCCTCGGCCCCAACGCTCGAGGAAGGAGATTTGTTTGAAGGAGATATCGTGCTGCCAGATGGTGTAGAGGACCCATACAGTGAGGAAGACAACTACAATGCCATCAGAAGGGCCTCCGCACTCTGGCCAGGTGGCGTCGTACCTTACACCATGTCCGCAACCATGAGTGAGTGTCCATTAGCAGCGCCTTATTCATGTTCGCAAGCATGAGAAAAAATGATAATTATCGAATTGAGCCTAACATACCTACCACCATATGTTCGCAATGAACGAGTATCATGATGCTTTATACAATACACTCAAATGGACGAGTGCCAAAACGCAAATGAACGAGTGTTAATTATCTTGCGTCTTATACTCTTGCAGGCTCTAAGGATCGAACTACTTTCAACGCCGCAATCGCCGACTACGAACGTTACACCTGTCTTCGATGGGTACCAAGAACTACAGAAAGCGCATATGTCGACATCATTAGAGCTGGAGGGTAAAACAATATGTCTTCTTCAGACTATATATTCTATTTCGACTATTACTAACTTGTAAAATCGGGGCTAAACATAAGCTTACTATTATAGCTTTCCGGGGATGAAGCAAGCGTAGTTATACCCCAATATGGAATGAGGAAACGCTAAATACATATTCTCGACTTCTGAGGTGGCATATGTGAATGTTGAATTTGGACATCTGAAACCTTGTGAAGATTCGCCACAGAGATAAAAAAGACAGACTTAATTTCAATTGCATTTTAGGTGCTACTCCTCAGTTGGTCGCACAGGAAGGAAGCAATCACTAAGTCTGGGAAACGGTTGTTGGAACAAGGGAATCATAATACACGAAATGATGCACGCCATCGGTTTCTGGCACGAGCAAAGTAGGCTCGATAGAGACAACTACATTACCATAGCTTACCAGAACATCCGTAAAGGTATACATCCGTGTGACTTGGGTATCTTTAGTGCCGGTGTGAAAGAAATAATGGTCCCCCAGGGATTATGGTCCCCTTTCTTAACGGCCCTTACTGGCCCCGATTGCGTATAAGATAATGAAGGAAAGTGTTGTATTTAGGTCACCATATAAATTAATGGAGAGTAGGACCATAATTTGACCTCCTACCCTTTTACACCTGGTGTGTGTACCCGTGAATGCATATAGAAAGCACAACTAGATATACAGTTGCCCTATGCAGTAAAATCTGTGTATAGTGAACACCTATGAAGCTACAAAAATGTGTTCACTCTAGTCTCGGTAGGTATTCATTACGGAGAGGGTAAGGGTATCCACTAGGGACAAGTGTTCACTAGAGAGAAGGGGAGAGAGGTGTTCACTGATAGACAGGTTTTACTGTTTATCAAATGTGAACCATCCCATCACAAAGAAGAGCGCGGTTGCATGTCATTAGTAGTCTATTTTTTTTCATTTTGATGATATTTTGATAGATATTGAATACTTCAGAACATGTGTATATCTATTGTAAAGGTATGGAACACAACTTTAAGAAAATGACATCGTCCCAAGCGACTGACATTCTGTCGTACGACTATGGTTCCATTATGCACTACGGAGAAAGGGCCTTCTCCGTCAACAGACAGCCAACTTTAATAGCCAAGCGAAAAGGTGTCGCCATGGGACAACGCGCAGGTTTCTCCGCATTGGACTCACAGAAGATCGGTAAGCTGTACGCAGGTGTTTGCGGAAGCGGCAAGGGTGGAATCACAAGCAGACCAACAGTTAGACCAACCATTAGACCAACCCCAAGACCAGGTGGCGTATGCAATGGTGCCTCTGGACGACGTTCCGGTTCAGGAGGAAGGCCGATAAGAGCTGTGAGTATCAGAATAGTGAATTTTTCAACAATCTGCATCTGTTTTATTTTTTCAGCTATGACGATGGATTACAAATACTATGCACTGCATTTAGGCTATCTGGTTCCAATCTGATTTTACATCAGTATTTACATTATATTTGTAATCCTTCGTCATAGCTGAAAACGATCGATGTTTGAAAAACATTTAACACCAATTACTCAGATGCGAGTTGGTAGTTACCAGTTTCGCCACCAGGTGGCTGATTCGGGGGAAATAACATGGCAGGGTATTACAAAATTCCCTTAAACTTGAATATTCATCAGTTTTAGTAGTTCACTTTTCATATTACCCTAATGTATTTGATAGTTATACAAATCAAAATATGTCCAGTAAAAGAAAATATTATCTGCCCAACACAAGAAAAGATATTTCCATTTTTGTGATTTTACAACATGGAGGCTATGGGGAATCTCCCCGACCTCGAAGTCATATTTTCAAAGAGAATTACATTTTCAAAGTTGATTAACTCTTTTTAAAACCATAATTCTAGATGTACTTTTACATGTAGATTCCAAATATGACATCAGTTTGACTTAATTTTGAATTTTTAATGACGTAAATCAAGATTATTTCTACTCGCATCTAGGCTATTACTGTTGATTTTGTAGACATTCATCAACAGAACTAACAGGACTGTCAGGCTTCACTGGGTGAATTTCAATGGTGGACTCTCTGCAGGTTGGTTAATCGGTGCTGGAAGGCGAATCCTTATAAACACCAACACCAACCATCCATTCGTCGCTCGTGTCGAGAGAGGGCAATGGTTGAAGGTGGGAGGAGAATGCGCCCACGCACCACGTTCCAGCGTCATTTCAATCACATATTAATGTAATTTATTAGATGTAGTTTTAACACGTTTTGAACAACACCAACTGTTTTTGTCTAAATAGGGTTGGGGGAGATTTGTTGTTTTTATTCCAACCACATGGTCTTGAATTTGACCAAGCTACTGTATGGTTGCTTAAGTTGTGCAGGCATACATTGGGGTTAATTGAAGTTGATCCTTGCTACTGTATGTAGATATTTATCCGATGGATACTTAATATATATGAGGATAAAGACACAAGATAATATTGGTATGCCTATGCCACTAAAATCGTATCCGACTCATATGACGTCTTGAAAATAGTATCCGTCGGGTACGATTTTTCATTAGTTTTGAATTTGGCGCCAAATAACTTGATCTGGAACAATATAGTTCCAAGGTTTCATCAGCAAAAATGAGTTAATTTTTTTCATGCAATCATTTTGTAAAAATAAGTTCACAGAAAATATAATTTAAAAAAATTAGAAAAGAAAGTTTCATAGGTCAAATTTCCATACAAAATAGCGACCATAGGATAAATATGATATCCTATGATTTTCGGGCTTTCATTTTTATCCACTTTTAGATCGCCGATCTCAACTTATTCGTTAGTTTGTTTTCTAGTTTAGGTATCATATCCGTGTCCTCTTATATTTTGATACTTCTCTGCCATGTTATTTTCCATTCTGATACTCATAGCATCTTTCTGTTTCACCTGAGGGCTGAGAAGAAATGAGATGTCATGGTATATCATGATGGTTATTTTCGGAAAAATTAACATGGCTGAAACTCCCTAAATTACTGCACATGATACATTACTATCTGAAATATACAAAAGTTAGGATGAATATAAATGTTTCTATTTACATTACATAAACTGTTTTAATATGCTCATTTGATTGCTCGTTTTTTAAATTCAAAGTAGTCACAAACATTTCTGTTTTGACTATAGGCTATGTACAAAAAGGTAATGCAAAATTAGTCGAGATGTTGGTTAACAAACTTTGATAAACCTAACAACGCAAAAAGCACTCATTTTTGAGAACGATCGGCCTACTTTAAAAAATGATGCCAAAAATATTATTATTTTGATCGAAAATGATTATTGAAAATTTAGATCTAGATAATGATTTTCTCTTTCGCAATCCGAACGAAATTTTATTTCGAATTTTTACGCGCTCGTAATTCTAATGTAACCTACAATGCATATGTGGTGTCTCTCAATAGAAAAATTTTGCTCGGGAAGTTCAAAATCAGACATCTAGCATTCAGTAGGAATCCTACTGTAGGATTGCGTCTGCGACTTCTAGAGAAGGCAAGTAATTTAGTATTTAGCAAATATTTAATTTGGCAAGTCAAAATACCAATATTTCTTACGGAACGTGTTATGGTTTTAGATCAAAGTCAAATCAAATTTTTCAAGCCCGATTTCTTTTCGTCAATAGATCTAATCCTGGGCTTTCAACAAGATAAGGAATCAGATTGCAAAGTGAATTAATGTTTCTGATCAATTTTTCAGCATAATATTTTTTTGGAAATCCCCCGTTCGAAGCTCCGTGATCTTCCCCAAATTGTGATCCCACCCTATGTCCTAACCAAACTCGTCTGGCCAAGTTATCTACTCCTGACATCGTAGATCTGGGCCAGACGAGGTCCAGTGCAAAAATGGGGTATTTACTCCGGAAAAAACACACTGGTTTTTCAATGTATAATACGTGCTGATAAATGAATAAACATCATAAAAGTCACTTACGTGTTTGTTCCTTGTATCAAACTTTGTATTTATATTAGGTTTCCATCGCTGGATGACGGCTAATAAATAAGAACGAAACGATTAAACGCAGCAAAAAGAGAAATTCTTCTGCAATCTGTTCGTGATCTCGTAGAATATTGAGAAGTCTCAGCTGCATATTTCGTTCAGTACTACATTCGGTCAGTTCAACAAATTGAAAAATCGTATTTTAATGTCCACTATATTTCTTTCCAGTCTAAATACAACACAGATACGTCTGTTTTATAAAGTAATCTACATTTTGATAACAAATCTGCTGAACAAATCGTAATATTTGGAATGTATTGATTCCCGGGAAATGTATTTTCGTTCCATGAAAGTTTAAAAATTATCGCGTCACACTCGTGTTACGTCACATCACGTGACTTTATTCAGTGCAGAGAACTGACGAAATATTGATGAAATGTTGTTCCAATTTCAACATCAAAATAACAAACTAAACACCACATTTACGTGTAAGTTATGTACTCTTTATTTCAAATAAATACTTGGGTTTACATGTAGCCCGATGTTTTGGTTGGATGGCTGATAGGGAATGAATAATAAGTGATGATTCAGCGACATGTTTTTTCCTGAGTAAATCCCCCCTTTTTGCATTGGACCTCGTCTGGCCCAGATCTACGATATCGAGAGTAGATAACTGGGCCAGACGGGTTTGGTTACCTATGTCCTAGGTTGGCGGTTGCCAAATCTTTGGAGAGAAGTGTAACTTTTCTATGACACGTTTTTAAAAAAAAGTCTTGTGTTCACAAAAACATATATAAATTTATTTACTGGTCATATAGCCTACACTTTTCAAATTGAAAAGTGAATTAATTTTTCTCAGATGACTAACAAAGATACAGCCATCTTTACCCCATGCAAGATATTGCCATCTTTCATCCTAAAAAGTCACACGTGCAAGATGAGACATCACTGGTCTATAAACATCAACAACATGGCAACGGACACACCGTTGCTATCCGTATCCATGCTAATTCTACAAAACTAAGTTGTGACGTCATAACAATGTAGCTTTGTTGCCACGTGTATCTATGTATTTTCTTCAATATTGTTATGACGTCATAACAATTGAAAGTTGAAGTTCAATTAATTTGAAGCTATTTTTCACTCAGTTTTATGATAAAATGGTGAAAATATGGCATACTACAGAGCAGAGACATGTAAAAAACGTTCTTGTACTTGTACCTATGCAATATCGTCCATTCTTGACTAGCTTTGATAATGTTTCTTTATCTCGTCTTCGACCCGATAAAGAAGAATTATCAAAGCTCATCAAGAATGGACGATCTTGCACAGGTACTCATATAAGAACCTCTATTTCTTATGATTCTGATAAACTTTTTTTGGAAATCCTGACTTGGGGTTTGATCTAACCCACCTAACCCCCGGTGCCAACGGCTATGGGAAGTGCCATTCAAAATGGCTGATTAGGTAAATTAATTTGCATATTTGTAACAATCCCCTAGCTTTATTTCCACTTGACAATATATTATGTTACTTTTTGTAGCATTTAATTGTACCTTACTACTTAATTGAATTGTTGCTACGTTGATTTTTGGGAAGTGAAGCTTCCTAGAATTGATAATTTTGTGCAGAAAATTTCCTGTTTTTTCCCACACGAGAGACATGATGATATATAGACTGAATTCTCAAGATTCGGTCTATTGGATATAGACTACTATGGAATAGGCTTGTCACATTTGTTTGTTTTTAAATACCCCAAAGTCACATTTAGTCACATTTTTAGGGGACAGGTCGCCTTATCACATACCCCTTGAGGAACCCCTTTATTAGCTTATATATGGCAAATCATTAGGCAACTGCCAAGTTGTCAAATTATGTGATTGTGATTCAAAGATATGATGAATCGCATAAACTATGATGTCAGTCACATACCCCATCAAATATCACTGTTGATTCTATATTAATATTTGAAGTCATTAACATGTTTACCTAACCAACATTAAAACAAGCGTTCGGCATCGAATTTAGCACACTTTCTTTCAATTTCTTTATCTGGCTTGTTGGACCTATGCTTTGGCGTTGCCATTGTTCTGGTTATTCCCCTGGGGCGCCCTCGGGTCATTATACATTACAATGCACCCATATGCCTTTATTTATGGATCTGTCTTCTGTCTAGTCGTAAAATAAAGCCGGAATTGTAGAAATGTTAATAATTAGAGCTATTTTGAGATTTAAAAATCTTTAAAATTGAACCCTTCAATGACTGTATCATGTCCCATGTAGGTGGGTAGGGTGGTATCTCTGGGAGAATGTTTCTTGTGATGTTTAGAAGTGATAGAGGTAAGCAATATATGTGTACCTATCTAGTGCTGTTCAATTTCTCCTTTTGAAATATAATGCTGCTTCCTATGCAGTGCGCACAGACCAGAATCGAAGAAATGGTCTTGGTACGAGATAAGAGAATTAGAGTGCAATGTAAACTATACCCTCCAGTCTGATATTATTTTTGGTTGGAAATATTCAGACGTAACCTGTCTTATGTTAATGTTGGTGTTAATTACTGCAATTACCACACGACAGAGAATAAGAGTAACAGACTGAGTTCTAAGTTCTAACTCAGTCTGTTGGATACAGACTAGTGCAATGGGAAGGGTCTGCATTCTGTTCTGTACAGACTCTGTACTCTTATTGGGAATACTTAGGCCTGGTATGATATAAGGCAAGGATTATCTCTTCATCAAGAAGTGTAGATGAAGCTCTCTTTTGAAAGAGTGAAACTATTGAAAAGTGTAAATGCTGAAACACTACAGTTAAGCTGTAAATCATTAGTTATTCAGATAACCTCTAAAGTATAGAATCAGAATATAATTCAGACAGGATGTAGATTGAAATTTATGAATGATGGAGTACACAGTTGGAAATCAATGATATATTCATTATCATGATCGTGATCATTGTCACAATTTCCTATGAGTTTCTTTTTATATTTGCCTACCAGGGTGGAGCTGTAAGTCAAGAGAAGGGGGTGGCAAATCTGATAAATTGGGCCGAATTTCTGAAGAATTTCATTGGGGCCGGGGGGGGGGGGGTATCTAAGGGAGGGAGGGAGAAGGGGGGGGGGGGGGGGTCGGCGGGCCCCTAGCCCCACCCCCATATCTGCCTCTCTACTTACTGTTAGATCTGGAGGGATGGAGAGGAAGGAGTTCTATTCTGTCCTCGTTTTCAAACATTGTTTTAAAACACATTTCCATATGTATATTTTTAGATATTTAATTCAGAGCCGATCAATTGCTGCAGCTGATTATACCAGCATATTATAGTCTTCAATATAACATTGATACATTTCTCTGAGCATAAATACATACAGTACATATGTAGATAGAGAGTGGAAGTTGCAGTGGCTGGATATATATTGTTTGCAAAAGAGTTGGATGAAAATCTGGATTCAGTTATAACTTCATTAATAGCAACTTAAAGGCCTTGTGTAAAGTTTCAAAAGATAGTTTAATCATTCAATTATTACTTTCCATGGCTTGTATAGAAACATTTTGATATCAGCATTAAGACTATGATACAATTCAAAATGATTTAAACTTTATATGGGGCCTTTAAGGTTCAGCTGGAAAGTAACATTTTGGTAAAAAATTGCTATACCTGCACATGTTATTTTCTGGTACATAATTAAGTATGAAGGCATGTGTGTATTTCCTTGCTTTTTTCAGGAAAGTATCATTACTCTGTCTACTTTTAGTAAACCTGGAAACAGGTCAATGGTAGCTCCTGTGTTGTCTGGAAACTTTGAAAGAAAATTTGGAAAAACAGGAAGTGTGAAATATCAGAATTCCCTGGAGTTCCCTTTGAACGCCTACCAGATATTCTAAAAGAAGACAATGTAATGATACTTTCCTGAAAAAAGCAAGAAAATTGATACATGCCTTCATACTTTATTTTGTACCAGAAAATAACATGTGCAGGTATAGCAATTTTTTACCAAAATGTTACTTTCCAGCTGTACCTTAAATAGGAGGATTTTAGCTTTGTGATTTTATTAGGCACTGTGATATTTAAGGACAACACTATAGACAGTTGATATTCAAGGCATATAAAAAAAGTCACAGCGGTATTCAATGATACAGGTAGAAGATGCATCCCCAGTGTACAATTGCTTTTATAAAACTCTAATAAAATAGACATTTTCCCAAACAACAGCAGCTGATAGGTCTTATAAGTATTTGTCATTGAGACAGCATGAGGTAACCTACTCTCCAGGAAGCATTTGTTAATGTGGTTACATTGGGCAATTATAAACTGAAGACAGCTAAGAAAGTTAATGACCATATTCACTTGGGTTAGCTTCTAGAATCCTAAATGTTCTGAGCAATTCTTTATTACTACACAGGGTAATGGAGCTAGCTTGAGCCACGTCCCAGTAGCCAAACCACCACCCAAGTACACATCATGCCTCCTGGTGTCAAGAAGAAACGTTCGAAGATGTCTCGAGACAAGGATTATGAGGCAAAGGCAAGACTTATGGATAGTGACAGTGAGGAAGAGATTTGGTCACGTAAGTTTTCAATAATTTCTAAACATTGTAATGTACTATACACCAAGGCTTAGATTCATGACTCTGGACCCCTCCCCATTAACTACTTCAACAACCGTTGTTGAAGTAGAGAAGGGGAGGGGTTTTGAAGCAATGCTAAAGCTGAAAGGATGTATATAACTACTTGGAAAACAATAAAAATGAGTTTTTTGAAGAATATCATCAGTTAGATTCATTTTCATCAATTAAATGCAATAAAAACGCTTTCGTTATCCAATCATATGTGAAAGTACTCTAATAACGAAATGAAAGTATTTGGCCGTTGATAGGAATTGTATAGCTATATACAACCTTTAAGGTGACAAGTAGTAATTACTACATATAGTTGAAGCTCTTTTGAAAAAGCAAAATTTCATGAATTAAATTTTGGATGTATGATATTCGTCCCACCTCAATATTCGAAATTTATTTATTACTTATTTTTTTACCATACATCAGTAGTTTGATATGCTCCCTTATGCCTAAATTGTTTGAATGAGAGTTGTTTGTGTGTATGTGGTTTTGTTTGTCTCATGTTTGAATCAAGTGTGCTATTGCAGAATAACTCTTGTTCTTGCTTGTGTAGATTATGAGCTTTTGCCTGATATATTCAAGTACAGAACTTTTACCTCATGGTACATGTTATTAAAGGGAAAATGATTTTTAAGGGAAAATGATTTTTAATCTCCGGTTGATCAGAGAATTGTTAGGAAAATCGAGGAAAATGATTTTTGACAATTGTAAATTATAGTAGATTGCTCCAAGGCTCTGATTAAATGATTAAGAATAAAATTAAAAAATGATGAATAAAACATAAGATTAAAAATGGTTTTGATTAATTCTAACAATTATGGCAATATACAGGGTAACTCCACAAAATGCGACACAATGTGACTGCTTAATTTTGGAATAGCTTTCTTAATTAGGATGGAATGTTCTGGTCTAGATATCTAGTGTTCAGTTGAGCAAACAATGGTGGATGTCAATGTTAGCGACACTACTGTTTGCATTGAACATTCCCTGTAGTGAAAAATATTCCAGAAAATTATATCAAAATTGAGAGTTAAGGTGCTATGGAAGTTAACAGGAAATGACAAAACAGGAAGTGACAAAAGCCATGCTGGATTTTGAAAATTTTTTGAACCAAGATAACAGAGTTCTGTTTGGACCTCCAGTCAGTTTAACTAGTTCCACATATCATTTACATGACCGGGAACACAACGGAAATGGTCAGAATGACCATAAATATGATGAAATAACCTTTTCAGCCCTCTGAAAATGTGCCGGAAAAACAGCTAAGAGTAGCTGCTCAGGAAAGGTCACTGAACAGAATCTTTTGACTTTTTCAGAAAATCTGCCCAATATATTGCTTAAAATGATACAATTTAAAAAAATTTGATATCATTCTTAGAAAAAGAAAAAAATGAAAAAAACTGAATTGAAAATCGATCGATTTACCTTTTTACTACAGTCATTATTGTTTCAGACAATTTTTTAAAATTTCAAAGATTGTATCATTTGGAGCAATATATTGGACACGTTTTCTGAAAAAATCGAAAGATTCTGTTCAGTGAATTTTCCTGAGCACCTACTTTTAGCTATTTTTCAGTCACATTTTCAGAGGGCTGAAAAGGTTATTTCATCATTTTTATAGTCATTCTGACCATTTCCATTGTGTTCCCAGTCATGTAAATGATATGTGGAACTAGTAAAACTGACTAGAGGTCCAAACAGAACTCTGATATCTTGCTTCAAAAAATTTTCAAAATCCAGCATGGCTTTGTCACTTCCTGTTTTGTCATTTCCTGTTAACTTCCATGGCACCTTAAGGTCACATGTGACTCTATTGAGAATTGATCATTACCTTAATCTCGAGAATTAAATTGTTGCATTTTTGGTATCACCCTGTATACATCATGGTATATTGTATTGAAACTACTGTATCAGTTGTACATATTCACATTAATTCTATCAATAAAGCTTCCATACAAATATTGTTAGGTTTAAACTTGCTTTATGATACTAAAATATAAAGCCATTCAAGTGAATAGTTTCTCACAGTAAACTTGTATTGAACTTGAATGAACTGTGCTGGCTAAGCCATTGACTACAAATACGTATGTGTAGGGGACCATGTATGTGCACAGTTGTTTGCTGGCAAAAACTTTGATTATGTCAAAATGGGTCAAAAGTAGACATTTATATAAAAGGATGTAGTAACATCATCTAATCTGGAAAGAGAATTACATTTACATGTGCATTTAGAAATAGGTGAGTTTGATTATACTAGGCAATATACTAAGGTACAGCTGGAAAGTAACATTTTGGTAAAAAATTGCTATACCTGCACATGTTATTTTCTGGTACAAAATTAAGTATGAAGGCATGTGTGTATTTTCTTGCTTTTTTCAAGAAAGTATCTTGACACTATCTACTTTTAGTAAACCTGGAAACAGGTCAATGGTAGCTCCTGTGTTGTCTGGAAACTTTGAAAGAAAATTTGGAAAAACAGAAAGTGTGAAATATCAGAATTTCCTGGAGTTCCCATTGAACCCCTGCCAGATATTCTAAAAGAAGACAATGTAATGATACTTTTCTGAAAAAAGCAAGGAAATTGACACATGGCTTCATACTCTATTTTGCACCAGAAAATAACATGTGCAGGTATAGCAATTTTTTACCAAAATGTTACTTTCCAGCTGAACCTTAATGAAAAAGAGGTAAATAAAATAGATTACTTTTATATTGAACACAATTTTAATACAAAATTAAAGTCCATTTCACTGTTTAACTGCGTCAGTTAAAGCTAAAAAATAAGAAATCAAAATATCATTTTGCAATCATATATGGAAAAATATATTCCCATTGTACATGAATGACATTTGTATATCTTGGATTGCTTCTAGTTTGGCTTATAAAGTGTGTGGCCTCTTATATTTGGATGCTTCTCTGCCATGTTATTTTCAATAAGATTAACATGGCTGAAATTCTTCAAATTACAAGACGGCACAGGCTTATTACACAAAAAACTAAAAAATCTGAAATATACAAATGTCATTCATGTACATTATGAATATACTTTTCCATATATTATTGCACAATGGTCTTCCAATTTCTTATTTTTGCCATTCTACTGACGCAATGAAGCAGTGAAATGGACTCTACAAAGCAGTAGCTTTCAATGAACATTTGAAATGAAGGTTTAAACAATACTAATACATATCAAACTCACTGAATTATTAGCTTGATTTGGATAATTGGATAATTGCATATTGGTTTTATGAAACTACATGTATTTGATATTTTTATAACTGCATATAGTTGGATATCAACAAGTCGGGGCCTTGATCTGCTTGGACGTATATATGTATATGATCTGAATGCTATAATTTCTTGATTTCAAGACAAACCATTAAGCTGATTGAAATGTAAGCAGATGGTTATCATACATATCATAACTTGATAGCAGAAAAATAGCAGCAATAACATGTACCTTACCATGTATCTGATTGTCTGAGTTCAATTTAGGAATAGCAAAAACAACTAATGAAGCTTAAACATTGGCTTGTCCTAATTCTCGCAAGTTGATATTGAGAAAATGTCACGGAGTGGGTCAGTCGACAAAATGAGAGTGAGGCTGGGGTCGGAAGGATACAAAACAATCAGCGACGGCAAGGATGCTGATAAAGACCTTGAAATAGAAGAAGGTAAAAACCTGAAATAATGAAATCCCGAGAGTATTCCAAGAATAAAATGCATGAGTCAAAAGTTTATGTTAGACCCCCAATGCAGGGAGGGTCAGGAATTGGACATGCATTATTGTCCCAGGGGTCGCTTTTGCTAACCTGGAAATTTCATTGTATATCAATGGTATTCATAGGGGTCCCTGACAGTCAGGGTAAAGGTAAACCTTAGACAAAGTTAATATCCTGACTTGTTAGACAAAGTTAATATTCTGACTTGTTACAAAGTTAATCTTCTACTATCAGTAATCTTCTACTATCAGTAAACAATTATGTGAACTCACTATAGTGATTAATTAAATAGGTAACTGTCATTTAAAGATACATTTGTACAAAAATGACAAATTAAAGTATGACAGGGACAGCATACATGTACATGTACAATTATTATACATCAACTATCAAAGCAAATTATAAAGTAACATTGTTGTTTTTAATGTAACAAAAATCAGGAGTTTGAAGAATGCATTATGCAAAGAATGACTCGGAGTGTAATTCAATGTATTTTAATTCAAATATTTTGGTTACAGTTTGGAACAAAATAAATGACAGGTGGATTTTCTATCACCATATCCAAACCATGTGGTTTTGAAAGTCCTATAGTCTCAAATATTGTCTAGATACAAATTCCTTAAAATTTGTATATTTTACATTTTGTATACTCTCATCCACTGAAAATTCTCTTTTTAACATGGGAAATCCTCACATCAGAAAATCCATGTGTCATTATGTTTGTTCCAAACTGTAAATACTGTATCTACCATATTACATGTAAACATAGAAAAATGTGAAAAATAAAATTTTTCATAAGTAATTATAATCATGAAAATTATAATAATGCAGATCTTAACCTTAAAGAATTCTTAGAGTTTACTTTTGAATGACAATTATTATAGAATGACAGGTAAGTGAGACTGTATGGATGAATGCTAGAATGTCTGAATGAATGACAGTCCATGCGTGTTAGAGAATTGTAGTTAAATGAATGGCAAAAGTGTATGAAACTGTGACAAGATGTTTCAAGGTTCCAAAAATGACAAGAATACATTAAACACGATAAGAATATTTAAAGTTTTAAGTTAGCATCTTAATAATGGTTAGGTTTAAAGTTTGCCAAACAGTATATTTGTATTATATTATATTGTATTGTATTGTATTGTATAGTATTGCATCACATTGCATTGCATTGTATTGTATTGTATTGTATTGTATTGCACCACATTGTATTGTATTGTACAGTTTATTGTATAATTAAGTGTTCATCTATAAGATCATGATTTCATTGAGCTACAATGCAGCATTATCTGATAGAATGAAACATTTGTGCCAGTATAAATATACTAAAAGACATTAAATGTAAATACAGCACCTCATAACATTCCAAGGTGTAATAAACGATTTGGTGCCAAATAACAGAAATTACTTGAGTTGAAATGATAATTAAATCTTTTTATTGCAGATAAATCTAAAAAGAAGCCAAGTAAGATAGGATGCAGTAGTACAGAGCAACAGTTGGTTGTTGTACTTATCGTGTGTATATTCATCATATTAGCCATGGGAGTCTTCCTCTTGTACCAGCAATTCAAAGTCAAATCCATGGAGCAGGTAAGGCTAATTGAAGGTCCTTTAGGCCAGGCAACAGAATATCGAGTTTGAGTAAACCTGCCATCTCCAGCGGGGGGGGGGGGGGGGGGGGGTTCAACCCCCTGGTTATGGGCCTGCCAGGGTATAAGAAAATGTCAAGGCTGGCAACTAGTGACAAGGCAAACTGTAATTGAAGAAAATGATATTTGCTAGAAGAATTTCACAGTGTCATTTGAAAGAATGTCTGAACTAATATTTTTCTGTAAAAGTACCATTATACTTGGCTATAATCCCATAAATGCAAAGTGTATGTGATTAATTGTACTTAATGCTTAGGATCAAATCAATATGTAGCAATAATGTTGACTAGAGCAGGTGTATAAACGGGACAACTCTACCAGTATTACTTTTCTCAGTTTTCTGTTAAACATAAAAGTGATGTGTGGGTTTTAAATCTCATTTACTTGCTGGAATTTTATCTTCAAATCTAAAACAGTAGAAGGCTCTATGATTGATTCAATGATTTACGAAATTTTAACAGCCCATAAATGGTAGAATTTTTATAACGACACCCAGAGGGAACTTTTTTTTAAACAACTACTAGGTATGTAGTTTACCATGACAAGTAACTAGTTTCATAAAATGTTAAAAAATATTGGCTGTTACATTAATGATTGGCAATCATAAAAATTTACATAAAATCTCATCATGTGGATCTACCTTAAAGGCCCTATGTAAAGTTTGAAAATACAGTTTAACTTTTAACAGATTAAACTCCTTTGAACAGATCAGGCAAAAACCTATTTTTAATCTATGATTTTATGCATATTATAAACAATTTGCGCATTTGTTAAGGTGTGCGACACTCCTAACTGTGTGAGGACGACAGGGAGCCTGCTAACGAACATGGACCTAAATGCAGATCCTTGTGTGGACTACTACGAATACGCCTGTGGCAGGTACGCTGAAGAGACGACTATTCCTCCAGAAAAAAGCAAGTTTGGAAGCTTTAATAGGGTTCTAGTGAAGAATCTAGCTACAGTGAAAAAGGTGAGATCACTAATGCTAAGGTCATCATTTGTTCGAATTCATTCTGCGGCGCCTGGCCGATTGTAGTATTTTTCAGAACTGATTTCAACTTGCTTCAAATTGACCAGACTTTTTTTCATACAGTATATTCACATTCTCTGTTGTTTACATCTGACCTCACATTTGATATTTGACCTTCAATTTTGAACAGAGGATGGAGGAGGGGATTATCTGATTGCTTGAAATGCCACTACAATAATAGTATATTTTATAATCACAGTGGATGATGTAAGTAAATTAAATAGAATGTTTTAATGAAAAGTGCCTTGAAATAGCACTTTGATATCCTAGCCAAACCTTCCTGGCCCAGTTATCTACTGATTGTGGATCTGGGCCAGATGTTGTCCAATGGAAAAAGTTCACTTGCATTGGACAACGTCTAGCCCAGATCTATAACTCAGGGAGTACGATAACTGGGCCAGACAGGTTTGGTAATGTGATATCCCTAACAATGAATGATTCAACAGTTTATCAAATATAAAAATGACTGTATCTGATCTTCAGTTGTTAGATAAAGAGGGCGCTGAATATCAGGGAAAGAACTCAACATCAATCAAAAAAGCCAAGGATTATTACAAAGCGTGTATGAATACCTCAAGAGTAGATGAGAGGGGAGCTGCACCCCTGAGGAAGGTAAGAGCTTAATTCAGCTATTCGCATCTTGCAATGTGAACAAAATACTTGACAGGCCCGTAGCCAGAATTTTCCAAGGGGGGGTTCGTTTTTCTAAAAAATTCTAGGGGGGGTTCACTTTGGCAAATATGGCCAAAAATCACTCAAAAAGTAGTCAGAATGGTGAAAAACTGCATGATTTTGAAAGAAATTTTGGCCAGGGGGGGTTCGCCCGAACCCCCCGAACCCCCCCTGGCTACGGGCCTGCTTGAGATTATGATCATCCTCCGATCATAGGGCTTCAAAATCCAGAATATATTCTTCCTTTTTATATGATAGAAACAAGAAATTCAGCATGAAGCATTGAAGGTACCAGGCCCGCAGCCAGGATTTGCCAAGGGGGGTTCACTTTTTGAAAAATTCCATGGGGTTCACTTGTGACAGTGCTGGTCCAAAATGGCCAAAATCACTTAAAAAGTGCTCAGAATGGTGAAAAACTGCATAATTTTGAAAGATTTTTTGGCCTGCTCGAACCCATCGAAACCCCCTGGCTATGGGCCTGGGTACCTTGGGTTGTACAAGGAACACCTCAGATCAAGTCATTATTTCAATGTTGCCTTATTAGGAATGCTCAAGTTCAAGGTCAGTTTTTATGTCACCATCACATTTTGCATGTTTTAATTACAGAGATGATAACACCATTTAAAAATCTGTTATTACCAAAATAATGTATCTCAATCTCTTAATTATACTGTTACAAGGTATAATTTTGCACAAATTCAAATAAACCTCTAGGTATCATTTTCTCATCCAGTTTTATATCTTGCAGTTATTGAAGGACTTTGGTTCCTGGACCGTGACATCAGGGGACTCTGGAACCTGGGATGAAAGTTCATGGAGGTTAAATGACACTCTGGTGCTCCTTCATCAACATAACATACAGTCTTTCTTTGAAATGGGGGTCAGCATGGACTCCAAGAATACATCAAATAATATCATTGCAGTAAGAAAATCATCCTTGGGTACCCTCCAAGGGTATATCAATTCTTTCAATAGTTGCTATAGCAGTAAAGCCTGATCTTGATAGATGACAGTATTCCATCCTTAGTCCAAGGGTATTTCAATTCTTTCTATAGCTGCTATAGCAGTAAAGCCTGATCTTGATAGATGACAGTATTCCATCCTTAGTCCAAGGGTATTTCTTTTCTTTCAATAGCTACTATAGCAGTGAAGCCTGATCTTGATAGATGACAGTATTCCATCCTTAGTCCAAGGGTATTTCATTTCTTTCAAATGCTACTATAGCAGCAAAGCCTAATCTTGAAGAATTGGCAATTGACATTTTTGATTAAAATCTATAAGAATCTGAAATAAAGTAATAAAGATTATCATAATCTTGAACAGAAATGTTAATCAAAATTTTCTAGATGCCAAGAAATCCAAAGCTTAAATTGGAACATTTCAGTTTGAACAGTCTGGTTTAACATTGGATGAGAGTAACTTCTACGATGGAGACTCAGCTAAAAAGTTAAAGAAAGCATATATAGACTACTTTACCCAAGTTGGAGTACTGCTGGGAGCTAAGCGTGCAGATGTCAACATGGTAGCCAATGAGGTCTATGATTTTGAATATAAACTTGCTAAAGTAAGTATTTGTCATGCAGTTGGAAAACTCATCATTTACATGTACAGTAAAACTTGTCTTAGTGAATACCTCTCTAGTGAACACCTGCCTCTAATGGACACCCTTCCTCCTAACATATTCTCCTAACGTCTGTATATCTGTAATGATGTAATGAACACCTATCTACAGTGAACACATTTTTGTGGCTCCATAGGTGTTCACTGTATGCTGCAGGAATTACTGAACATGTGCATGCATAAAATGACATACTTTTAAATAAATGGAAATATGGTGATTACACTGATTGCTGATTAGGGGCCAGTATTTGTAACTTGATAAATCAAATATACTGCTTTTACTCTATACATATATAAATATGTCTTTGAATGTTTTTTTATTAAATTAATTGGAATACTGAAAGTATTTATTTCATTTACACTTATTTGGAAATTATATGCAACACTTTTATCCTCAATATTTATGATTACAGCACAGATTGCTTAAATTGCCTTATTGTTTCACTTGCAGGCATTTATTCCGAAGGAAGAACTCTTAGATCCTGTGCAATATTATCACAAAGTACCATTGAGGAATCTCACTGAAACTATAGGCAGCATGGTATGTTCCTTTTTTGAGAAATCTAATTTTGGATCTAAATTCTAGCTTTTTGGTATAAAGTATGAAAATAACAACATTTAGATAATATTGTCATTTTTGTTGCATCAAAATCAGAACTAAGTTTGGCACTTTGGAAAATTGAATCCTGGATTTTTGCGGATTGGTTGTATGTAATTTACATCAACTTCTGTCTTCTGCTTCTGTATGAAATGAATAAAATGAACTAATTTCCTCTTAGGTTAGTTCCATAACATTAAAATAAATCATTCCAAAGACTAAGTGTTTATTTTATTTTAAAGCAAAGAAACACCCATTCTCAAACACTTACAAAACACACGAGTACAATGTGGATGGCTTGTGCGCGACCTATCTGGTCCGCATAAGAAGCCGAAGTGACCAATTTACCTGAATAATCCATGACCAATCACACGACAGTACACCCAACAAACAAATTCGAGCCTCGGTATTGCATTTAGCGCCAAATTCAAAAGTGTTATAACACTTCAGTTAATGCATTAAATCATATTCGAACTTATTCACTACGTTCAATCGTTAGAAAATACATATATTGCCACAACACATGGTAATATATTGTTATAGTCTCCAACATTTTGTGGATGGTGTTTGGCAGTTGCCAGTTGGTGTTTTGTGGTTTATGTTAAGTTTATTGGTCGGCATTTGCTGGTCATTGTCTGTAACAAATGACAGGTGGTGACAATTTGCATGTTAATGCCTTCTGGATTCAAAATTCATGCGTTCATGTTTCAGTTCTCAATGAAGGATTACATGCGTGCAATGTTTGGCAAAGAAATACCAGAGACAGAGCTTGTTCTAAGCTACACTCCTTCATACTTCACTAAGATGGTTGCAATTGTACGCAGCACACCACCCAGGTGAGAATAACAGGCGTCTTATGTTTTATACTAGCAGCCCCATAACCAGCTTTTGCCAAGGGGGTTCACTTTTCCAAAAATTTCAGGGAGGTTCACATTTGACAACTTGAATGCTAGTACTTCGTTGTGCTTATACTGTATAGTTTATTCAGAATGGGTTGTTTTAAAGGATGTCTTAGTTCAGGAATTAAAACTAATATATAATTTAAATAATCCTAAACCAGAAATGATATTGCCCCATTGGTTTTCACATACAACAGTATATGTGTGAACTTAAAACAAATAAATATGTTATTTTCAGAACTCTGGCAAATTACATGATGTGGAATGTGGTTGATGCATCAATAGGCTACCTGCCAGTACCCTTCAGAGAAGCTGCCCTCATCCTTACCAATGCACTCTCAGGTAAATCACTATGAAATGAATGTAGCCTAATGTATCAAACACTAATGCTGTCCACCATTGTTTATTTATTAAAGGAATAGATAGTACCCCACACATAATTTTGTCACCAACTTCAATTTAAGATTTTAGTGCTTTCCCATTTATATATCTTCATGAAATTGAGCATACTTAAAAATGCTAAATTTCATGAAGATATATAAATGGGAAAGCACTAAAAGATGGTGACAAAATTATGTGTGGGGTACTAATGAAAGGCCATTCAATATGGTGAAATTCAGCACTAGTTTGACAGAATATCGTACCAAGAACAAACTGAAGTTGAGTGCATTCTGTTTAAAGATTTTGAACTGTAACATTTGTCATTATGATATATCTTTGAAATATTTTAGGAGTTGAAGTATAGTATAGAAGTTTAAGTTTAGTATAGTATTGTGTTGAAAAAATATGACACTGATTATATCATATTCTACTGGCATGATTCCGTAGCTTGGAAATTTTCGGGGGGTAACCGACCCATCGCATCATGAATAAGGCTTAAATCAGCATTTAGCACAACACCAATATCTCTTTCTATTTAGGAGTGTCTGCTCTGTCCCCTACTTGGGAGAGATGTGTTGCTAAGACCACAGATGTGGTGGGATTTGCATCCAGTGCTCTTTTCCTTGAACAGCACTTCACAGAGAAAGATAAAAATCTGGTATGTACTAATTACCCATTGTAATGATTCACATTCTTTGATTGGTTGAACATTGATCACATGACATAATATTTTTCAGGCTTCTGGGAAGATTAGTTTTGAGAGATGTGCATGTTATCTATCAATAGATTAGGTTATCTGTTTGGGTGAGGGCCTACTAATTGAACTATTGATACATGTATTTAAAGGGGGCTCTGAAAATAATAAAGAAATTATGCAATTCAAAATCTCATTTATTTTAAGTTGTTTACAGTAAACTAGGAATACAAACTTTGAGGGTTACTATGGGAACCTATATTATTTTGTAGAATATCAAGGCAACCATGCAAATAAATGAAACATGCATATGGCCATCCTCCAAATGCAGGGCTCCTGACATCATCCACTGTGATGATGTCCTTTCTTTATGGAGTGGAAGATGTCAAAAGCGCTGCTTTCAAAGGATGGCACTTTGTATGAATTCTGAATTTTGCAATTAATTTGTGCATGTAGACAGAGAACTTGGTCAAACGGTTACGTGAGGCCCTCATTGACAACCTCCCATCAGTTGAATGGATGGACAAGACAACAAGGGACAGAGCTAAGGACAAGGCTGAGGCAATTGTTCAGTTCATAGGATATCCAGATTTTGTCAAAAATGTTGACAAGTTGGATGAACATTATAAGGAGGTAAATTTGGAAAAACTAAATTGTGTGGAAATGAAATTAGGTTACATTTTGTCTACATAAAAATATGAGTGAATTTAACATTTGCATCTCAAATATTTATTTCACTTTGATCCATGCCCGTAGCCAGGTTTTGTCAAGGGGGTGGTTCACTTTTTAAAAAATACCAAGGGGCCTTCAATTTTGACAATTTGGACCCAAAATCATTGAAAAAGTGCACAAAATGTTGAAAACTGCTTGATTGTGAAAGTATCTTTGGCTTGAACCCCGAACCCCCTAACCACGAGCCTGTGATCATTGCACTACAAAAAAATACTAGTATTGCTCTGATGTATGAATATGAACTGTATTATCCATACTCTCTGTAAATCATGTTGGTCAGAGGAACCTAAATCGGGAGTCATTTGTACATTCTTTATTTTTAATTCCAGCTTAATGTGTCAGATGATGAATTTTTTGAGAATATGTTGAGGGCCAGGAGATATGGTAACCGCAGGAATATAAAAGACTATGGGAAACCACCAGATAAAACTAGGTATGTATATTTTGTCTGTTACTATGGGCTGTACATTTGGTTCGGTTCAGTGCCTGTGATGAGCTGACTGATTGTTCCAACAAACTGATGGAACAATTAATGCTCTTAAATCATACAGTAATATTTATATTATACTTCAGTTATTCTTTAACAAGATCATGGCATTTGAATTTCAAATGATCTAAGTTTTAAATGTTAAGTTTATAATTTTGCGTAGTCACTGAATGTGTAAGGAACACTATGATACAAAGCCCCTGGGATATTATTGTAATATTCTGTAGAAGGAATGAAGATCAACTTATACATACTTGCTTATTCCTTTGTTTTCCAGATGGAGCATGAAACCAACTGAAGTGAATGCATACTATAGTAGTACATCCAACAAAATTGTCTTTCCTGCTGGTATTCTACAGAAGCCATTTTACTCATCAGAGTTCCCGATGGTTATCAACTTTGGGGCTATGGGCATGGTAGTTGGTCATGAACTGACTCATGGCTTTGATAATAGAGGTAATAATATCACCCCATTGTTATTAACTTAGATTTTAATTAGACTATCACCCAATTGTTGATCAAGTTTGATGGTAGTGGAAATGGTTATAGAAATATAACATTTAAAAGTCAATGATATACTTTGACCATTTTGCCCTTATCCTTTAGACGCATCAGAGCAGTGCACAGAATGTATGTATATGGTGTCTTCCACTCATTAATGATTTAACACATAAACCTTTTCGAGCATTTTGATGTTAGATACACAGACATAAATTATATATGCCATATCCTTCATTAACTGGTGCTATTTGGTAATAATAATAACTTTATATTCTTGATATATTCTCTTACAGGTAGAAAATTTGACAAGGTTGGTAACATGGTGAATTGGTGGACAAATAAATCTGCTGAAGCTTATGAGGTTCGGAGCAAGTGTATAGAAGATCAGTACTCTAAATATACCATTCTTGGGAAACATGTGAGTATGTTACACTCAAGTTAAACATAGGAGTGCAAATATTCCGGTTGCATGTCTTGCAAAGAACTGTAGTTTTTGACTCACTAAGTAGATTATCATCAAACTTTCACATGAATGAACTAAATAATTCTGAAATTTCAAGGCATGGACTGTAGGACACTCTGTACTTGATTCAGTTTACTTCAATAATATGATGTAATCTAATACTGTTATGATCTAGATGAAGATATACAAGTATATTATCTTTTGTACATTTAAGTACTATCTTTAAGGCTTTATATATTGTATCGCAAATTACATATAAAATCCAATATTACAGTGAAACCTGTATATCGGAACACCTCTCTCAAGTGAGCACCTCTCAATTTGAACACTATTTCTCGGTTTCTCATCTTCCATTGACTAGTGACTACCATGGTAGAAAAACCTTGAAATGTGAACACCTGCTAATCTGAACACTTTTGGCTGGTCCTAAGGGTGTTTGGATTAGACAGGTTTTACTGTATTGCAATATAGGTGAATGGTAAGACAACACTTGGAGAGAACATAGCTGACAATGGAGGGGTCAACATAGCATTTAAGGCCTATGAGAAATGGCGGAGTGAACAATCGGGAAACCAGCCAGTCCTGCCTGCCCTCAACATGACTAATAACCAGCTTTTCTACCTGGGATTTGCTCAAGTATGTTATTTTTAGCGTTTTCAGGGACTCACCATGTGAAGTTTATGTAACATTGCAACATTGATATTTTGAAGTCAAGAGTATGTAATTTGTCTGAATGATGTTTGATGAAAATGGATTTAACTAAAATATTAAGGCTACTAAGTTGTTACTCTATTCTCAATAACCAATAAAATCATGAAAATAGCCAAAGGCTGTTAGCTTTATTTTGTATTTTGTTTCTATATTCTCTTTTTACTTAGGGAAATTCTGACATATCTTTTCTCAAAAAATAATTTCGTGGACAAAGCTGACAATCATTGTCAACTTTTGGCAATTTTAAACCCTCCTTGAAGCCCCTATGAACATTGGATCCCAAGAGGAAATGAATACAGTCTTGAAAAAGGTTTGTGGGGCCATTTTGTTAACCATTTATTATGCATCTTCCAGGTATGGTGTTCGTACTATACACCCACATACGCCAAGAATGCATTAGTGACAGATGTGCATGGACCTGTCAAATGGAGGTATTACAGGTTTTGTTTGGTTTTACTTAGATTAATTTTATGACACATAAATTCAGCAAACATTTTTAAGGGGAACATGGGGGTTAAATAAGTCGAAACACAAATTTTTGTTTTTTGTTGGTTGCTAATTGATTACTTAAATATTGAATTGAAAAAATTTGAACTTATTCTGTACTTAAAAACAGAAATAAAGATAAGGAAATTATAATATGGCAATGCTAGGACCTCAGAAATACAGTAGTTTAATCCAAACAGCTTATGCAACCAGTGTGAGAGAATTCGACTGCGGAGAAGATGTTCTCACATTAGAACAAGAATAAATCAGTGAATACGTTTTTGTATCATATCAGTTTGATTTATACAGTACTTTATTGTTTTTCTTCAGGGTGAATGGTGTATTATCAAACAATAAAGACTTTGCTAAGGCGTACAAATGTGCAGAGAATAGTCCCATGAACCCAGCAAAGAAGTGTGTAGTTTGGTGATGGGATATAAACGTTTGCTAGGCAAACGTAATTGTGAACAAACATGTGATGTCATGATTGAAATTGTGAATGAACCTCACAATATAAGGGCAGGGATAAGTTAACAATACAGATTATAAAAATGAAAGTAAATTGCTAGCAAGCTCAGGGTGTGCAATTCTTACAATTGTGAACAAATACAACATAAATTATTAATATTGAACAAACACGATACAAAATGATCATCTTACATAAAAAATTGTGAATAAACACAACTATTTATGCATATAAATTTAAACATGAAATGATGAGAATCGTGTACGCTTGCTCAATGTGACACGGTTCACTAAGTGTTAAATTTACAATGCATTAGTTACTGTAGTTTGCAATTTTAAATTCTATGTTTTATAAGAAAGCAAAATTAGAAGAGAAAAGATCTGTATTTCTATGAATTAAGAATTAGATTAAAGCTTAGTTTATAGGAGGTTAAGTCTCAATGCAACATTGCAGTTATATTTTATTTCAAGACATCAACTGATTGCTGTTATAATGTGGGATTCAGTGCATGTGTATTAGGTACTCAAGATTCTCACTTATAGACCATGGGCACTTACTTGAAAAAGAGGTACTATTTTTGATAGAAAATGCCATTGGGTGAAGTTTTTGAGGAATTGAATCATCATACACACAAAGCGCATTATTAGCTATTGAAAGAAATGAAAGAACAATCAACCATATGAGTTCTGTCAGAATGTCATATTTAAAAGTCACCCCTGGCCTTTAAAAAGTGTATATACAGTGTAAGCTGTTAAGTGGAATACCTCTTTTATTGGAATACCTCACAAGTGAAACACTTTTTAAAGGTGCCAAAGGTGTTCCACTAAGACAGGTTTTACTGTACATGTATGTGATGTATTGTTCGATAATATTGAAGGGAGTGTGCAATACCAGGTCAAGTATTGAACTAACGAAATGATAGCAAATAGCAATAATAGCAATGATTAGGGTGTCATAAGTGTTGTACACCTTCAGGTCAAAACGAAGATTATGGACCACTTTTCCCTAAATATGCCGAAAAGGGCAAAGATAAAAAATAACTGGCTTCCGACCTCAGGGCCTGATGTTGAATGTGGTCCATTTCTTCAATGTTCTTACTATATTTTCCTTTTCGGGGTCAAGGAACAATGCACCGGGGTGATCAAGGTGCGGTATGGTTGCTCACCGTGAGTATTATACATGTAAATAAGGTCATAACTTTTGTATTTAATCTCACATAAATATGTTTTACTTGCCCATATGGTTTAGGAACTTGCCATGTAAACTCACGCTTATGTTTTCACACAATTTACTCGTAACACACCAGAAATTTTTTAGAGAAGGGCCAGGGCATTTACACAGTGTTAAAATGACTGGATGGATATTGTGCCACTAAAATGGGTGATTGATTATGAGTTCATTATCTAAATACACTGTTGCTCAAAAATATGGAATATCTACCAATTTAACATTGATTTCCTTGTTTTCAATCATTCAATGTACTTTCAAATTTTAGTGCATGGAGATTTTTCAATTATTTTTTCATAAATCCGTCAGGATAAATGAACTGGACACATTTATAATTCACAATATTTTTTCATTTTCCAAGAATTAATCTGTCAGAATCCATTGAAATCTTGGAGAATATTCTGGTAATAGAGCATATTCTTCAGACTAACAAAGGTTTCTTGGAACATCTTTTGTACCTTGTCATTCTGGAGGAATCATTCTTGCATACTTTCATAAAGTTAAAACTTTTGTTAAATCTTACAATAAAGACGATTTACTGATTTTTATGAAATGCCCAATATTCCATTTTATGATCAACAGTGTATGTATTATCTGATCTGAGACATTTGTTTTTTAATCTTGCCTTATATGGGATGCCCCAGGGTTGTTTGTGTTAGCATTTAAATATGCATATTTTTAATGATAGAGGACTAGAAACCAGCCTAATTTATTTTATTTTCCAAATTGCAAAAATATATAGGTAAAAAAATTGACAGGGAAACATACATTACAAGGTCATTTCTTGTAACAATGGTATGGACTACTCAGTGTTGTTTGTAAATATTTGAGGGGATAGGTGATGGTTGAACTTGTTTATTATTTATTTTCATAAATGAGAGGAAGAGGGTTATCTGTTATTTAATATTACAACAAAGAGAACTTTTGTATTTTCTGTATTTACTGTTATCATTCCACTTTTCTATCGTATTTTAATGAGATTTTTATTAATATACTATGTAGGTCTTAGGGGATGCTGTCCAACTATCAGCAGTCATTGAGATATATAGTTAATTTCATTATGATTAATGCCCCCTCCCTCCCGTCTTCTAACAAAATTTGAAAATGTTGAACTGTCTTTCACTTGAACATCAAAAAATCAACACTCTCCATTAGCAATATAATCTTTTACCCCCTCCCCTTAACAAAATAAACATTGTAATTCAACAATTGCTGGTAATTGGACATCATCCCCAAATCTTCCATTCAACATTTTTTTTGAAATATAAAAATGTTGCATTAAAAAATTCTGCTTTGTGCTTTTATTGCAGGATTTCATTCATTGTTCTGCGTGACCAAAATGTCAAATCACAATTACAGGCACAATTAACATTATGTCTTGCATATTTATAGAGAAATATAAAAGGGAAGAGGGATCCATGTTTGAATATGGTTTTACGATAAAATGTTTCAAGAAAACTTGAGGAATAGATGTTTAAAACCTGAATGAATTCTTATTAATTCCAAAACATTATTTTTCTGATAAACTGCATGTATTATATTATCAATGTAAAACTTTAGTTGCATCATTTAATCCAATTTGTGCACCAAATATTTTGATAATAAATCAATTTGAAAATGTTTATAGTTGAAAAAAGTGTTTTTTTTCTGAGGATTTATTTTTGGGAATTTATGGTATTATATATATACCTGTATGTAGATCTGAAGCTGTTGCAAATATATATTTATATTTTTTGTTTGTTAACTTTTTCTTGAATACTATTGTAAAATAGACATAATAGGTGCATATTTTTTATTAAAATACAGTATTTTTTGATGAAAACATCATCAGAAATTTTGTTAATAAAAGTAAAATGAATGCAAAGAATTTTGTTTGTTTTTTTGGTGTAAAACCTAGTACTATATTGTCAAATCAATCAGGCCTGGGCCAGAATTTGCCAAGGGGGGTTCACTTTTTGAAAAATTCCAGGGGGGTTCACTTGTGACAATTTTGGTCCAAAAATGGCCAAAATCACTTAAAAAGTTCTCAGAATGGTGAAAAAGTGCATGATTTTGAAAGATTTTTTGGCAAGGGGGTTCGAACTCCACCTGGCTAACAGGCCTGCCAATAATACAATTGATAGGCACATACTTGTATAACATTCAACAGTAAGATAAGTTTGGCAAGTCAGTTTTTATGATACAGTATTTCAAAATGACAATGGTAATATACCAATAATAAAATCAGTTCATTTTCAAATATAATTCAATGATTTTGCAAATTCACACATTTACCTGAGAAATATCTCCCAAAACATAATTGACCGTGAAAGTACATATTTACTCGTATAACATTATTGCCTGTCAATAATTCCAGGGATATCATCATGTCATGTCAAGAGTATAATAGAATAACAGGAAGAAACGTTTTGAGAAATATAATGCAGGTCACAGGGTGTCTGAAAAGAATACACCATTTATATTCAAGCTGTCTTAATATTTCCATCATTGCTTGCATATAGTATACCATGAGATAGATAATTCAAATTCCAATGAAATAACATGTATATCCCCCAGTCTGCACAGTAAGCACCAAAGAATGCAAATATATACAAATCTAATAATGTCATGTTGCACATATCACAGTAATCCATGGGTTAAGACGAGGCATATAGATCATGTTTGTCTCCCTGATAGTATACATTTGTTAAAATATTCTTGCACATTGTATATAGAGAGCTAGAGGTCAGCTAGATCATTTAAAAATTATCCTAGTGGTAGGGGCAAATATATGTCCATCTTGCCCCAGGTTCCCCTTACTTTGTAACAAAGAAAGCACGGGGTAAATTGCAATCACATAAGAAAATTTACAGATATATTTTTCAAATATTGATTAAAGGAATATTTCGGGCATTTTTTAGTCAAAACTGATAAATGTAAATTAGCACCAAAATCCTGAGGAAAACCGTACTGTATTTCTCAGATCCCCAAATTCTCTAGATCTGTCACTAAGAAAGCACTGAAGTGATTGCATTTAAAAAGTATAGACTAGTCTACCCCAGTCTCATTAGCTGCAGTCTATACTGCACTGCAGTCTATCATATTGCAGTCTCGCATACTACAGTTTAGCCCTAGTGTAGTCTCATTTACCGCAGTCTATCCTATACTGAAGTATATCACACTGCAGTCTATCAATACAGTTTAGCCTTACTGTAGTCTGGTAAGGCTGATTGGTACATTTGTACTGATATTCAGAATGAAAGGCCCTTCATTGCCTGGGTAGAAAGTACATGGTCTGATGTTATACACCCCTCCTGGTAGGCTTTCCAATGATAAACACACAAACCCCTTCCTGAAAGCCAATGCAAAAAAAATCATAAAATTAACAAAATCTCAAACATAACTTGAATTCTGGTACAAATGATTGCAACTGTTAGCAATGTGTGTAAGTTTAAAATAGAACAAATATTTTTGGAATAAAAAAAATTCCATAAAAGAACATTAACATTGATTCTGTACCTGAAATCTCCTGATTGTTTTTTAGTGAAGGCACCCGGTGCACTAGGGTTACTACAAGACACTGCTATCACCTCAAAGCCAACACTGTACTGCCTGCAATAAGGGTTCTATATTGTGATCAGTTTGCCGGGGGGGGGGGGGGGTCTGCTGGGTGGGTGTCCCAATAAATCTTGTTTTATATGTACTGTAAATCCCCTTTGGTGTCTATGTTACATACCATGTGCTAGTTTTCAAAATAACTTTTTTAACCTGATACATAAACACATACATGTACACATGTAAGTGCACCAAAGAAGAAAATTCACACATGCCTTGTATTTCCCTTAAAAATTTCTCATGATTCTGGTACTACCCGATTAACTTCAATTTCTTAGCTTGATAACAGTGGGTAAAGCTCTCATAATAGTTCAAGACATTGTCTCATATTTGCATTTTGCAATACAATCAATGACGATTTTATGTGTACTATAGATGAAGTAACTTAATGGAAAGAGTACTTACTTTGGGCCTTTCAGCTCAATTAGTATACAGTTAGCTGTACTTGTGTTGTCTATCTTCACCTGATAGATGGGGTTGTTCTGATAGGTCTCTCTGTAGTTGCCACATCCCCCTGCTGTTTTACCTTTCCACTCCCCACTACACTGTAATGAGTTTAATACAACAATTTATCGATTTTAAGCGAGTTGATTAATTCATTCCACTTTTTGAATACACAAACTTTTCAGATGAAGAAACATTCATATAGCGCATAAATTCTAATGCCAGTCACCCGAGGGCATTGTTGACATCAATATGTACTCTTGGCAATATTTGACACAAATAATATTTTGTGATTTTGAAATCTTGGTACTATTAATTTTTCCTGAGATTAGTTTTTTATATTTAGATACTATTACTTTTGCTGATTGGGTGATTTCTCAAAATTTGTTTTGCATTCAGTTTTTACAGTTCTTCATGTGTAAATATATTTTAGAGTACTTACCGTATTCTCTGTAATTAGCGCCCAGGGCGTTTAGAAAATTGAAAATACATTATTTAGACCATTCTAATAAGCGCCCATGTATGAAAGAAATCAGAAATCCCGAGGAATTTCATGTATGGCAATTTTTCTTGACAAGAATGCATTTTCTTCAACATATTTTTATAATAATATGACAAGTGCTGTTATTGGAGAGAATACGGTAAAGATCGCTTAGACAATATTGACAGTGGTTGAAGACCCGTCTATGTCTAATTTATTTCCGGCACGCCCACTTTGTCATTATCGCCGATTACCTTCAATATTTCCACTAGAGACTGCTGGATATCGATCTAAAGTTATACATTATTTCTAATTTGATGAGAGATCATCATAATTCGTGCAAAAGTCGTGTAAAAGTCGAGAAACATTAAAAAGAAACCAGAAAGTTCACGACCTTGACATGCGCAGAACATCTGCGCAGTAGCTTTTGAAATTTCTGAATGCCGATAAAGAACAATTCCTTCATTCATTATGGACTATTTGGAGACAATATTAGCATGGTATGGTGTGGGAAGCACCCATCGATAGATATGTATCGAGAGGATGCATAGAATTACAAAACGCGTCGTGTTTACAGCAGTTTTAGGGTAAGTACTCTATTATCGCCCGCTCCTGGATTTTGAGAAATATTTTTTTCCTGATATATTCTTCAATTCTTGTTGATTCCTCGATGTTTCTTGGACTTTGTGAAGCGGGGTGGGCGCTTATTAGAGAGTGGGCGGTAATTACAGAGAATACGGTATATGTATTAAACTCACTGATTTTTCATATTTTGGAATGTAAGGTTCTCCAATCTTGTCCAATGAGAAAGGAGCCGTGGAGTAAACTCTGAGGGTGTAGTGAATGGTATTGCTCTTCTCATACTGAGAGATGACTAGAGTGTATTGGGACGTCCCGGCAGGCTCCACCATTTGGCACAAGTAATGGGGACTGTTGATTCTTACGCCATCTTTATATGGCGCTGGCTCATCTGGAGAAAACATAAATTAGACTTTTAAGAAATGTAACATTGCTACCACTACAATTCAGGTAGAGCATCAAACCTTGGATTTACAGTTAGTAGAGCATCAGACTTCAGATTTGAAGGTCTTAAATGTGATTCAGGGCAAGTAATTCAGTTTTTTTCAGTTCAGGCTTGTTACACTGCACTTAGCATACCCAGGAGGGTATCCCGTCTGGTCGCTATGTTCACTATCAATATACTCACAAGGATTGACTATTGACTAGACTATCTAAAACCCACAAGCATATAATATTTATTGAATATTCTACCACAGGGCAGGATATACTAAATGTACTCACAAGGGCAGAATATTTACTAAATGTACTCACAAGGGCAGAATATTTACTAAATGTAACTCACAAGGGCAGAATATTTCCTAAATGTACTCACAAGGGCAGAATATTTCCTAAATGTACTCACAAGTGCAGAATATTTACTAAATGTAACTCACAAGGGTAGAATATTTCCTATAAATGTACTCACAAGGGCAGAATATTTACTAAATGTACTCACAAGGGCAGAATATTTACTAAATGTAACTCACAAGGGCAGAATATTTCCTAAATGTAACTCACAAGGGCAGAATATTTCCTATAAATGTACTCACAAGGGCAGAATATTTACTAAATGTAACTCACAAGGGTAGAATATTTTCTTGCCAGCAGGTTTATAGACTACAACTGTTATAAACTCCCTGTTGTCAGCAAAGTCATCCTGAAATAATACACAATAGTCAAAGATCACACTTAGACTTAGAGGTTCTGAAATGTGCAACAACAGGGGACTCAAATTAAGAAATGATTACCAAAGTTATATGTGCTGTATATAAAATAGGGCTGATCAACAAATAACGCAAGTAGAGCCCTATCTCATGCAAGTTATATGTGCTGTATATAAAAGGGCTGATCAACAAATAACGCAAGTAGAGCCCTATCTCATGCAAGTTATATGTGCTGTATATAAAAGGGCTGATCAACAAATAATGCAAGTAGAGCCCTATCTCATGCAAGTTATATGTGCTGTATATAAAAGGGCTGATCAACAAATAACGCAAGTAGAGCCCTATCTTATGCAAGTTATATGTGCTGTATATAAAAGGGCTGATCAACAAATAACGCAAGTAGAGCCCTATCTCATGCAAGTTATATGTGCTGTATATAAAAAGGGCTGATCAACAAATAACGCAAGTAGAGCCCTATCTCATGCAAGTTATATGTGCTGTATATAAAAAGGGCTGATCAACAAATAACGCAAGTAGAGCCCTATCTCATGAAACAGGTGATTGTATGTCAAGTGTTAGGAATCAGAATTGTGTTTCAGGAAATGAAGGTAGTTAAAAGGTGAACAAAAAGCAAGATGAACTTCAGCCAAAAAATAGTGTAACTGATCTTAGTTTACTGATATTATTCTGCCCAGCATCAGCCCTCTTTGATTACACTAATCACAATGCCAGTTAACATAGGTAATGCGAAAGGATAAAATGTACACAGTACTGTATACTTAACCTTGATAGATAAAAAAAAAATTAGTCCTTAGTGTAAAGGGCCAAGGGTAGTCGAATTTACCTTATCAGTGATATGTCTCGTAAGGAGAATCCAGACCACACAGGGCTGAGGTGCCCTGACTTCCAACTTATACTGGGGATTGTCTCCTATGGTGTAAGCATCCTTGCGGGGGCCATCTTTAGCAGTCCAAGTGCTACAACATTACAACATAATAGAATATTTATCATAAAATATAGTAAACCTAATAACAGGAGTGATGAGGATACAAATATGAATATTAGCCTGGGAGAGGGGGAAATTGGATTTCATAGAATACAAAATTCAATTCATTCATTTTTTGAGTGTTATAAAAATGTCATCACATTTAAGAATTATTAGTTTATTACAATAAGGTCAGCTAAAATAATTGATGCAACATCTTTGTTTTATCATAATACGTGTATAATGAACATTCAGTACTTTTGTTCATATACACATACAAATGTTACACTGTATGGAAAATGAAAATCTTAGACTTAGGCATGGAACCTAAACTAATGATAATGATGAGACAGAATAAACTGTACTTACTGATGCATACAAGTAGTGTGACTGAATATATCTGGATTCCAATTAAGATATATAACTTCATAGAACTTCATCATTGATTCATAGTCTATCCAGAATACTCCTGGAAACAAAACACAAATACAAGTTTAGTACTGGTATAACTCTACATGCAAACTATAGTCCACAAAAACAGCCAGTTTTTATGAGGTACATATCTTGATATTATGAGGCTAATAGCCATCAATTCTAGTCAAGAAGATATGTTTTTTCTACAATGGTGTACGTACCATTGTCATATTGCTGGGCACTTTTGGGGTCATAATTGCATAGTCTCTGGAGCTCAGGTGTCCAGTGAGTGGTATCATGCTCTGAGAAATTACCCTTCCATCTTAGATGACTCCATGGGTTCTTCAACATGAACAGTTTCTGTCCCTACAATAGAAATTGAAGTTTAACAACTCCATTTCCGGCAAGGTTGTTCATAAGACAAAAGACATCTTGTGGCTCATCTTCCTTCTTATCTTTTGTTCCGATGTTTCAAGGGTTGTTAGTGTGGATAAAAGTCTTGGGGGATTAATTTAAGGTGGGTGATTTTGGTATTTGGAGCATATTTTGTAAATGTCCATGAAATCGTGACCATATAGCCAGTAAGAGATAGATCAATGAAACTGGGTAGAATGGAAGAATGCTTAACAAGGTTTAATTTTATAAAAACCCATGCTGAATGATTGAGGAATTAACATACATTTGTTTGTATATTCCCATCTTAAGCAATTTCCTATGATGTTGTTTCCCATGCAGATCCAAAACTCACCTTGACCTCTCTGACATCCAGCATAGCATACGCATGAGTGGGAACAAGTCCAGCGCGATCTGCCTCGACTTCAGTTAAATCTCCAGTCGCTACAGTAACCAGACAATGTCCTTTGTGAAATCTATCTTGTATTTTCTTAAACACTTTCTCAGCATCAAACTCCTTGGCACTTGATTTGATTCCAATTCTCTCTGGTATCCAGCCTGTCAGTGCATGGAGGTCAATATTCTGCAAGAGAATGTAAGAAAAATCAATTTCATTACGTCCCATCTAATATATACTTCATTTAAATTTCAATTAGTAAGATCCAGCGATATTGATGCTGGTTCTTTAACAGAAGAGGCAGAAAATGACAATACAACCAAAAACGGCAAAACAACAAACATTTGCTGGAACCCTCGAATGCCCTCAGCTACAGGCCGTGGAAATATTCGATTAAATTCTTATACCTCTTAACTCCACCAAATATTAATTTGCACTATATTCAGCATGAAAGCATTTATGTACTGTAAAGTATCTCATTACAAACAAGGGACCTACTGTATACTTACAGAATTAGATCCAGGAAAGTCATAGCCTCCCATGACCTTGAGATAGGCTTTCTCCAAGAGGGACACCCACAGTTCATTTCTGTTATTAGAGTAGGAACACAATAGTTGACCATCAGCACTCATTGGTAGGTAATCATCTATAATAACCTGCAATGATCAATTGATGCAAGGGTTGAGTTAAGGTTCTAAGAGCAGCTGGTCAAAATGGCATAATACGGACCAGTTGCTATGTAATTTTCCCATACCTACTGCAAAAATCAACTGGTCTGTTTCAAAAATAATCTGGGAATGACCAGTGGACCAGTCCTTAGCTCAAGCTATGAATAGATGACACTACTATGTACATCCTCCGATCGAAGGGCTCCAAGAGACCCAAATATCTGAGGTACAGATTCTGAACACCTGCTTTAGGAGGATGTACTCTGTATTGAACATAATTGAAAAGCACATTTTTGAATGCACTCTTGCACGCCTAACCATCGCGTAAGCAGGCGTCACCGTACAGCGTCAAAAAATAGCGGAGTACAGTTTTCTGTACGGTAACGCAAATTAACTGCTTTGAAACAAAAACTATGACAAGGGTTTAAAAAAATTAATTTGATGAAAACTAATACGATTTCATGTGAAATAAAAACAGCATTCTCTTAGAAATTGTTTTAACTTACTGATTATGATAAACGTTTTACGAGCACTGTTCGGATTTTTTCTGAGTGAATCGGCCCACATAATCGACCCAAGTGAAAAAAGGTTGTTTTTTCACATTTCCTTTGGTTATTATTTTCCCTGCCGTCTGAGAGTATGGATTATTTTTATGAGAATATGTTTTTGTTGACTACACTTTTTAGAACGGGCGAAGATTCAGCAAACAACCATGCATTATGTATATTTAAAAAAGATCAAATTTGTACGGTGACGCACCAGCTGTACGGTGACGCTATGCTTTGATGAACTAAATGAGACTAAGATTGTATGATATGGAAACTCTGGAGTATGATCATTTGTTCATATATAGTGCATGGGCGCTTAATGGAAGGTTACTGGAAATGTATGATACGGTAAAGATCATGAAACCAAAAACTCTCTTGTTGCTATGTTATTGATGTTTTAAAACAAGGGATGTCACAAGTAAATCTCATCTTGCACGTGTGACTTTTTAGGATGAAAGATGCAATATCTTGCATGGGGTAAAGATGGCTGTGTAGGCTATCTTTGTTAGTCATATGAGAAAAGTCTGGTTTAGTTCAAATGATACCAAAGCATTACGTCAACTTTCAAATAGTTAATTCCATGAAAACTAAAAATATCGAAATTAATACTTCCTGTCCGCCATCTTAAATGCGAAGGTGACGGCTGTAACCTTCGCTTGATACTTACCAGTGATAATGTACATGTATATCTGACGCTTCTTTACCTCTTGTTCGAACAGTAAGCTTAGAGCACTTCATAAAATCTAAGGAAGCGTCACCGTACAGCTGATGCGTCACCGTATAGTTCTGATCTTTTTTAAATAAATACACTGAATGATTTTTTGCCGAATATTCATCTGTTCTAAAATGTGTAGATAACAAATACATATTCTCATAAAAATAATCCATACTCTCAGACGACAGGGAAAATAATAACCAAACGAAAAGTGAAAAAAACAACATTTTTCTCTCGAGTCGATTATGTGGGCCGATCCAGTCAGAAAAAATCTGAGCAGTGCTCGAAAAACTTTTATCATAATTAGAAAGTTAAAACCATCCCTAAGAGAATGCTGTTTTTATTACACCCGAAATCGTATTTATTTTCATCGAATTAATCTTTTTAAAACCCTCATTATAGTTTTTGCTTCAACTCAGTTAATTTTCGTCACCGTACAGAAAACTGTACTACTGTATTTTTTGACGCTGTACGGTGACGCCTGCTTACGCGATGGTTAGGCGTGTCTTGCAGAGTTTTAAGCAGAAACACTATTATAACTGCCTTAACCTCTTGACTACCCAGAGTGACGAGATTTCTTGTCACCTCAGAAATAACATTGAAACCCAGAGTGACGAGATAATCCGTCACAAAATTTTTCACTAAAATTGCTCTTATTTGAACAATTTTTATCCAATTTGCACAAAAATTGTTTTAAAATGTCTAGAAATGATCTCTGCCGTCTAATTTTACTAAATTGAACATTGTCTGTTGTATATGTATGTAAATGTCAAAAGCTGGCAAAAAATGAAAAATTATATGGTTTCAACATATTTTAGAACCTAGGATTCAAGAGGTTAATAATAATTTGACCTTGACATTGTATGAGCCCAATGATATTGTTAATTGTTATGGATACAAACATACCTTTCTTGGCACACCATTGATGTTAAGCTTGACCATGTATTTGCCACAAGGATTGTATTGGGGCTCCCCTTGTCTGTTCTGCGGGTAGATAATGCTGGAATAGTAAACACAACTTCCATTAAGTTGGGTCAGTTACTTTTCTTGAAGAGCAGGCAAGCATGGTTGATACCTCAAGGCCAATAGACTTCCTTGGCATGAATTCTTGTTTATTCAATGAGTTCAAGTATGTGTATAGAAGGGACCAATTTTGGCCCATTGCTTTAAATGGCCAAGCAGACCTACATGTAAATTATGTGACCAATACCCACAACTAGAATGTTATAAAAATCTCAAGTCTGATCTCAATTGCAATGATAAATCTCATTGATTTTTTTTTGATTTTTTTTATCTTTTATTTTTTTCTTATTAAATCTCATTGATGATTGATTCAGTCATTTCCAACTTTCAGCCATCTTTCAAATACATGTAGGTAATAATTTGAGATAATATGTTACTTATCATTTTTGTTTATCAATTTAACAACTTACCTGGTTATGAGTTTCTTCTTGAATCTCCTCTCATATTGAGCACTAATAGCAACAGATGCCACAAAGGAGCAGTCGGAAACAATGGTCTGCAAACATGCCATGGAGTACATGTGTGTTAAAATACAGGACATCATATTATATTTTCCACAAGCTAAGGGCGATAGAAACAATTTTCAAATAAAGATGGCATGGTGATCGATACTCTTAATCTTTATATCTTTGACTATGAAAGAAGTATACTTTATGTCTATGATGATTGACTATTTTAGGATAATGTCCGATGAATTTCGCTAGTGTACCAAGTACAAATATAGATCAAGATCAGAATAGTCTGTTTACAAGTTTTCCTGTACAGTCGTGATTGTATTCATACCTGTTTTATACTAAAGCTTGATATAGCTAAGATCATAGTAGGGCTATCTAAGAAATCATCTGGTCTCACCCACTTGTTAAACCTGTTCTTTTGCTTTGGAGACAGGGCTAACTTTCCCTCCTTATCTCTATAATGTGAAAATGAATAAATAAAATTTTAAAAAGTGTTTTAAAAAGTTTCAAACATTCAAAAAATAATTATTCAAAAGCTCATGTAATACAGTAAATGTTAATGTAAATAAGAATGGATAATGATTCACACAATAACCTTTCATAATCCATGAATCTATTATATTTCATACTGCTTTTATTACATACATGTAATCTTAAGGGTTTTCAGTTGTTTTGGTCTTTAAGTGCCACCACACCTAAAATGTTGGTACTGTGTCAATATACTGGAAAGCCCGCGCCCAGTAACTTCCTGATTGGTCAAGGTGCTGACGTCATAACCAATCAATCGAAGATAAAACTGCGCAAGCAATTTTTCTCAACTCATTTCAATCATTTTCAAACCATTTGTTTGTCAATTCTATAAGAAAACGGTACTCTCTGACCAGTCTACATCATCATAGGTATGTTATAAATCATTTATGTCACTATCGTGGTACATATGCCCTCGGCATATATGCCACGATAGTGACATAACCTCTAACTACTGGTCTTTATCTATAAATTGAGACATTACGTACGTGAAAGGGATTGGAAATCCAAACTTTTCTCTGACATCCACAGACATAAATGGTACATATTCCCTTCTATTCACATATGAGGTGTGTCTGCAATATATAAATCTTTGTTCAAGAGTAATTGAACATTGGTATCATGTTTTTCTTACAATAAGGATTTTATCAGCTAATGTGTTCAACATTATATAGGAGCAGGTCATTTTTCCAAGATTTTTATACAATCTATTTTTTAATTCAAAAGCTGTTTTTTAATTTATAATAACAATTCTAATTTACCTCAAGACTTCGATTTCTTCTTTGGTATAACCTCCTGCCCCCTGGGTAGCTACTGCTCGGGGCCTACCCTGGGATGGAGACCTTGCACCCCCATTAGATCCATTACCCACGGGTGCATCAGCAAACGCTCCAAACCCTTGATGGAAAAAATAAGACCAGGAGTTTCCCAAATTCATCAGCACATGTAAACTTTAAATGACACTATTGCAAAAACATATATTACCTGTTTAAATTTTAATATTTTTAGGTAAACATAATGACATGGCTCTTTTTGAAATTCCATAGTCATGGAAACAACTGAAATTAAGGCATTGATTTATTAACACTCACCTAAAGGGGGCATTGCACGGCCTGCCTCAGGTGGCTTGGGTTTTAACTGAGCTTTAGGACCAGTGCCTTTCAGTTTTTCAGCTCTGGAAAGAAAATGAAACAATGAAATAGGTTAAGAAAATGTCGCATAACCTACAGCTTGTTACTAAATTGCATAAGGTCTATTATGAAATTAAAAGTTCAGGATCTTAAAGGCTATCTAAAAGAGGAATATTGAAAGGTTGTCACCTCTCGATCGCTTGCAGTGCCAGTTTCCCAACCTTTTCCTTATCAGTAGAGCTCTCTTTTTGCTGAAAAGTAAAATGTACCATTTATCTCTTTTTGGACCATTTAATTGGAGTTGGACCCGTGGCCTGCCATTTTATGATAATATGTGTTTTGGTTGAGAAATTACCTCATCAGCAGACCACAGAGGGAGTTCAAATTGGCAAGATACATATATATCAGTAATTCAGCTACAAGCCCATGTGACCCCCTCCCACCACTTGACTACACACTTTCACAAACAGGAGGGAGGGGGAGGTGTGACGAGGGGGAGGGGTCACAGGGACTTGTAGCTAGACTAGTATATTAGATTGGTAAGAGTTACATGTTAAAAATAAGAAACAATAGTACTGGACCATAATATGACATAAATATTTTGGTTCAATATTTCTTTTAAACTTAGATGTAGCTAAATCAATTTAATTCAACAAATTCATAATTGTAATTACAATCAGAATACACAGATTCACATACTATTTTGAGGAACATCTCTGCTGCTTCCATATAGAGTTCAATTGCTTCATCTTTGTTACCTCCTTCATCCTCATCAAATGCTTCTCTAATTGTATACTCAGCTCTCTCCATGTTAAGCTGAAATACACGTAGACAGTTCATAGACATGAGTATACAACAAATATATCAATTCTTAATTTCAGAAATATAAGATGCTTACTATAGCATATGCACATATGTCCAGTTCAGAGTTCTACATTGTACCTACAATTTTTTCTAAACTAGATGTCAAATATTAATTTAGCTATTACAACTTAAAGAAGTGTTCAATATTGGATCAATTATTTCAATTTTGGCAGGAAATTTTCAACTCCAGTAGATGCATTACATGTAGTGTCCTGCATCTTCAACCTGCATCATTCAATGCTGGATTTAATTAATACATATACATGTACGTGCATTCTGATTTTGTGTCTTCACTGGAGCATGAACATTATACCTGATGTTGTGTTTTAACAGGAGCCTGGAAACTGCTTCCAGTACCAGTGTGGCCTGCCTTGATCATCTCCGCCCTCTGTATATACTGATTGGCCCGCTCTATTAGGCCAGGTATCTGGGAGCCAGCCATAGAGCTGGTCAGTAGAGCGTTTGCAGCTTCCTGAAGTTGAATAAGTTACTTGTAAAATATGAAATTGGTGTTTTTACATGTTTTTATATAATCCTTTATGATAAAAACAATTATAACATATAGATAAATACATGTTAACTTGAAAGAACATGTGATGACAGAAAACAGACAATGAAATATACTGTATGCTTTGAACTTAGTTTATATGTTGTTGTTTTTATTTAGTGGGTGGGTGAGAAAACAATGTTTTTAGTCACTATAAATATAAACATGTCACGGAATAATTCATTGTGAAACTTTTGAGATGATTCCAAAATTAACAAGTTTTACAGAATTTTCATGAAATAGTCAGGAATCATTTAAAAAGTCGCTTTTGTTACTAACCACATAATAAAAAGCTGCTGTGTCATATAGACCACGCTTGTCACAGTCTACCGCACGTTGAGCAAACTCTACAGCATCTTTCTCTAAGCCAGCTGTGTCACCCATAGTATAGTTCACTACTTACAATCTTACATATCAGATGAGTTGTGTACAATCTGGAAAACACTGTTCATTGATGTATAAGAGGAAGACCTTTTTTGAACACTACCTCAAAAACAAAGGCAAAGGGACAAGTAGTATTAAGCACAATATGGAAGATCGGATCTTTCATATTGTGTTTACTACGACTTTTCTCTCAGCTTTTACCATTCGAGCTGAAAAAACCTGTGAAAAAATCATAAAGTGAAAGAATCTATAGAGTTTGGATGATAAACTTGTAGATGTTTTCGTATCATGTCATCAATTAGATTCAATCATTACAACGAGCATAATACAGAATAAAAAGTATAAACGTGTAGATATAGGGCAAAAAGAGAAAAAAGGACTCACAAAATTTTCAACCCGGAAGTGAAGACGCTCTTCAAAACTCTTCTGCGAGGAGGTGCTAAAATTAAAATCCGAAATGGAAAATCTCTCGGATCCTGTTTTGTTGAATATTCTACAGTTTCTGCCATTACAGAGCAGAATGACTCTGTCCTGCACTAATAAAAGAATGTTGCGTCTCTGTTTTGACAAAATGTTGACAAGGTAACACGTAATTAGACCAATGCTATTCAGAAATAATACCCTCGGTTTCCTCTTGGTCTAATCTGACTCTCGTGGGAGGGGGAATTATATTTAAACCAATTCTTTGCTGGATCTACTGAAAATGTGCAAATGCCTGTGACTCAAAAGAAGTATTCAATGATTTATCCATGCCTATAGTCAGCAATCTACATATGTACAGTGGGGGGCATAAAGAATTACAAAACCTATGGAAGTTACATGTTGTCGCATATGTAATAAATTCTTACCTCAGTGTATTCAGTGCTCTATTTTCTCCGTTATAGTAAGTCCAGATATAGTGGAATTTGTGTCCATAATGACAAATAAGAACTTAAAAATTTGATGTGGAATTCACATGTTAATGCGGACTCTTCAAATGTTGAGGTGATTTTGGAGCCAGATTACGCCGCAATGTGGGTTGGCTCCCAGAATGCAACATGACACGTGTCAGCTTTCAAAATGCCATTCCGCCGTTTTGAAATATGTCACGAATAAATAAGGTTACTTGATGTTGCATTCTGGGAGTCAATCCTCCTTGGATCACAAACATGGCGATTCATGAAAACATTATTCCGATTTGGTAGGGATTTATCCATCATTTGCAGGTATGAGGCTTTGGATTCCTTTATTGTGCTACTTAAAGTGGATGGGAATTATTTTTCTACCACTTGGGAGAGTTTGAGACATGAAACTTAGAATTAAGCTCATTGTGACAACTTTTGAGGGTTGAGATTTATTTTTGTCCCCCACTTTACATAAAATTGATTCTAAGGAGACTTCATACATTAATCTGTTACAGGGATAGAATTTGAATATCATCATAATTTAATAACTATATGTCACTTCAATCTACATTGTAACATGTACCTGTCGTGTCAGTTTTTAGGGCCCAATGTTTTCGCTACAGCTACATACACCTGTATGTACATTTACATGTACTGTACTGATGCAATTAGTTAATTACATGTGCAGTAGTTTGTAATTTTTTTCTTTATTTTTCAGGTGTACAACCTTTAGCGACAACTTCTGTCTAACAGACACCTGTTTCAGAACCTACATTAAGCAGTGCAATAATGGAAAACATATCTCCGTCCTTAATCTAAATAATGTTTACTGGATAGCAAGAAACAAGCTTTTACCTCAGATTAAGAAATGCACCATGCTGCGAGAACTTCATGTTAAAGGCACTAAAATCACCCCAAAAGACTTTGAAGCACTGTTGCCATGTTTTCAAGAATTGCAAACATTAGCATTTTCATTTGAAAAAATATCTGATCTGAAAAAAGACAATTTTTCTGACTGCCAAGAATCACTGTCTCACATAAAACAGCTTTGTATTGAAGTTAGCCATCCTTTCAGAGCGGTTACTGGAACTATAACATCAACTTTTATTGGGTATGTCAGCACATTCATAGATTGGTGTACAGCTTTGGAAGAGCTCCATGTAACTGCAGGTAAGCTTACAGAACAAAGTGCTCTTCCCATAAATGATTTCCTAACTCAACTGGGTAGAGTATTTAATCTCAAACCAATTTTTATGTACAACATTTGAATTGTCCCATAATGTTTTGTGGAAATATCGCTAAGATTTTCAAAACATACATAAATACAGTGCAAATGACATCAGTGTTGGAATATTGCAATGATAACAGTTTACACTCATCGTTGTAATTCAAAACCAAGTCTATTTTAAAAGAAATAACTATGAAAACCTCTGGCCTACTGCTAATGATATCCCTTGTGCTGCAGTGAAGTAGATGAAAACCTCTATGAATGATCTAATGATTCCAGAACATTGTTAATATGTAGTAAAACCTATCTAAGTAAAGAACACTTGTGGTACACATGTCACTGTACATGTACATGACTTTTCAAGCATATTTTGAATTGAATGAAAAATATTTCTTTAGAAACTATGATTATACAATGTAGTGATATCAATATTTTCAGGAATATGTCATAGGATGAATGAAGAATTGTTCCACTTTACAATTGATGAAAATGCAATGAGCAACTTACGTGTATACACACACGCAACTGGGCGAGAGAATATAACAATGAACCTCATATTCTGTGGGATCATGAAACATCTTGGAAAATTTAGTTTCATTTGGAAGATTTTCCACATGCGTTCTTTACTTCTTGAATTGGAATTAAACCCAGAGTTTGATAAGGACAGTAAGCAGATATTAACAAACATGGCTCAACTGAAGAGTTTGGACCTCTTAGACAGCTCTAGTGCACACTCCCTTCCAAGCAATGATACCACACCCTTGTCAGATGCTATAAATTTACGCTTTCTGAGATTACAGAAATGGGGAATTGAAGCCAAGGAACTTGCTATTCTGCTAAGTAATTTGTCCAAGTTGCGTTCTTTGTGTCTAGAGCAATGCTGCTTTGTCATGCTAGAATCGGGGGATGAAAGAGGAAAACGGCGAGCCAACATGCATGGTATTGAGGCTATATCTAAACACTGTCCAAATCTGGAATATCTGAATCTCAGTGGTATTTGCAACCCAAAGGATGAGCAAATCTTGCCCATGTCACGAATCCTCAGTACTCATGTTCATATTACTTTCCCTGATGTCATAAGCAAAATGAAAAGTAAGCATTTTTATAGTTAGGATTCTTTACATGAGCCTCCACTGTTAATAATAATATAATAAGTATTTTGCTAATGTTGCTCTAAAACTTACATTATATTGCTGTTCGCACAGAAAGAATCAATTTTGTGAATACTGTACGTGTATTCAATGGTAGACTGAAGGAGGATAATTTTACATTACTAGTATTACATTTCAGATTTGAGAGGATTGGCTATTTCCTTGTGTCACTTGGATGACAACAGGCCAGCTGAATGTGCAGTCGTTGATGATGCCAAAGATGAAGACCACAAAGTACTTGGGAAAAATACAAAATGAGTTGCAAGGAAAAAAAGAAAGTGTGATACACCAGGTGAAAATAAATTACATGTACCACCATTGTATTGAATATAAATCATTTTAGTGATGGTAGCAATAGTTGTTGGAGAATAAAGTAAATGAAGATTAAAGTAGATGAGAAATTCTGATTTTAAATGAAAGGCAAATCAACTTTTTCAAATTTTTTATATAGCGGATGGGGTTTTCAAAAATGGCAAAATCCACTTTACTTATTTTTCCACAACTTTGAACATTCAGACACTTACGTATAATTCTTTTATTTGTTAAAAGTAAAGATGGATAATGGTATGAAAGCACATGACTATTGATTACTCACCCATTCTTTTAACAGAACAGACTTACAATAAACAATAATAACAGTATTTTAAAACTCTAGCACATGCACAATAGATCATATGTTTGTGTTGCAAATCATGTGGTTGCACCTTACTCTTAGCTAATGGTATTTGACGTGAATACATTTTAAAATCGTTACATGTCTCTTTGAATACACCCTGTATAGTGGTGGTATAGTGATCTTTTTATGTACAAGTAAATATAACATGATGGCATTGTATTCAATTGTAATCCACTTGTTACATAAAAAACACAATATTTGCATACCTATTTATTGTTCTCTCAATGATTTCAGACAAAGATGGAAATTGCCCTATGCAGGTGATAGCAGAGGGCTGTCCAAATATGGAAGAATTCGAACTAGTCACAACATACTTTGAATCTGCCCTAGCTGAGAATCAGATATCTCCATCATCACAGAAATTCAGATATTGGTAAATTACATGCTTTATGATAGGTTGAACAACACAGAATTTCAGATATTGGTAAATTACATGCTTTATGATAGGTTGAACAACACAGAAATTCAGATATTGGTAAATAACATGCTTTATGATAGGTTGAACAACACAGAATTTCAGATATTGGTAAATTACATGCTTTATGATAGGTTGAACAACACAGAAATTCAGATATTGGTAAATTACATGCTTTATGATAGGTTGAACAACACAGAAATTCAGATATTGGTAAATTGCATGCTTTATGATAGGTTGAACAACACAGAAATTCAGATATTGGTAAATTACATGCTTTATGATAGGTTGAACAACACAGAAATTCAGATATTGGTAAATTGCATGCTTTATGATAGGTTGAACAACACAGAATTTCAGATATTGGTAAATTGCATGCTTTATGATAGGTTCAACAACACAGAAATTCAGATATTGGTAAATTACATGCTTTATGATAGGTTGAACAACACAGAAATTCAGATATTGGTAAATTACATGCTTTATGATAGGTTGAACATCACAGAAATTCAGATATTGGTAAATTACATGCTTTATGATAGGTTGAACAACACAGAATTTCAGATATTGGTAAATTGCATGCTTTATGATAGGTTGAACAACACAGAATTTCAGATATTGGTAAATTACATGCTTTATGATAGGTTGAACAACACAGAAATTCAGATATTGGTAAATAACATGCTTTATGATAGGTTGAACAACACAGAAATTCAGATATTGGTAAATTACATGCTTTATGATAGGTTGAACAACACAGAAATTCAGATATTGGTAAATTACATGCTTTATGATAGGTTGAACAACACAGAAATTCAGATATTGGTAAATTGCATGCTTTATGATAGGTTGAACAACACAGAATTTCAGATATTGGTAAATTGCATGCTTTATGATAGGTTGAACAACACAGAAATTCAGATATTGGTAAATTACATGCTTTATGATAGGTTGAACAACACAGAATTTCAGATATTGGTAAATTACATGCTTTATGATAGGTTGAACAACACAGAAATTCAGATATTGGTAAATAACATGCTTTATGATAGGTTGAACAACACAGAAATTCAGATATTGGTAAATAACATGCTTTATGATAGGTTGAACAACACAGAATTTCAGATATTGGTAAATTACATGCTTTATGATAGGTTGAACAACACAGAAATTCAGATATTGGTAAATAACATGCTTTATGATAGGTTGAACAACACAGAATTTCAGATATTGGTAAATTACATGCTTTATGATAGGTTGAACAACACAGAAATTCAGATATTGGTAAATAACATGCTTTATGATAGGTTGAACAACACAGAAATTCAGATATTGGTAAATTACATACTTTATGATAGGTTGAACAACACAGAATTTCAGATATTGGTAAATTACATGCTTTATGATAGGTTGAACAACACAGAAATTCAGATATTGGTAAATTACATGCTTTATGATAGGTTGAACAACACAGAAATTCAGATATTGGTAAATTACATACTTTATGATAGGTTGAACAACAAAGAATTTCAGATATTGGTAAATTACATGCTTTATGATAGGTTGAACAACACAGAAATTCAGATATTGGTAAATTACTTGGTTCATTTTAGGTTGAACAACACAGAATTTCAGATATTGGTAAATTACATACTTTATGATAGGTTGAACAACACAGAATTTCAGATTTTGGTAAATTGCATGCTTTATGATAGGTTGAACAAAACAGAATTTTAGATATTGGTAAATTACACACTTTATGATAGCTCCAACAGCACAGAATGGCAAGTACAAGTTACATTACAGATATAGATAAAAATGATAGCTCCATTTGTATTGCAGTTCTGGTACCAGAAATGTGTTGGAGCATGACCTTTCTCATATTGCCAAGTGGTATTATCTGAAGAAACTCACACTAGGTGCGATACCAAGTAAGTTAGTTGCATTTTTTCATATTCAATATTCATTTACCTTTTAGAATACAAATCTTAATAATATTTTAGAATACATATTAAACCACAAGCTTATAAATAAGTTACTTTTAATACAGGGAGTGACAAGTTTATAGCCTGCATCTATGTTGACATGACAGTTCCAGTGTCCTAGACTTGTCACACAAATCATTGACCATATTTGAAGCAATTCTATCTCCTAGCTGCAATCAAATAACTGTTTTGGTAACTATGTCACCAGTACACCGTAAGTGGTGATTAAAAGTTTTGTGGAGGGTTTTCAGCGTTGGCATCTGTAACACAGTATCTATAAGAGATTCTGGTGTCTGTAACAAATTCTGGTGTCTGTAACAAATAGTAGGTGGTGATATTTTTCATGTTAATGCCTTGTTGTTCACTTTTGCATTACTTATTTCAATATATTTGTAGACATTGACAAAGGGGACTTTCTGGTGGAGATCGCGGAACAGTGCCCATATATTCAGGTGCTCTCTCTTGCTTTCATAGGGATGACAGGGCACTGCAAGTATGACGCCTCTCTCAATAAAGCTCTTCCATTAATGAACAATCTGAATGATTTCAGGTAGAGATGTACTTTTAATTGGTATTAAAACTACATTTGTATCATTTGCATGAAGGGTGAGTTTAGCACATTCTTCAGAAATGTTTACATATTTCCAACATTCAATTATTCAATATTTGTTTTTAGTAAATTATCACTTTTCTGGGTAGTAACAGATATACAACATGATGGCATGTACTTGTAATTTTCAAAAGGATGACATGTACTTGTAATTTTCAAAAGGATGACATGTACTTGTAATTTTCAAAAGGATGCAGCACCTGAGACCTATTACTATTTCACTATCATATTCCTCACTCAGGGCTTGCATTAAAGGCGTCCCATACATGTTAAGGACTCAAAAATAATTTGGAGGACGCAAAAATTGAAAATATTTCCGTTTTTTGGATGCAAATTTTTTTTAGGTCAATACTACAATGTCTTTACAACGATACCTAACAAAAACAAATAATTATGATCTCTCACCTTTATTTGAATCGTAAATAAGGCTCAACATGTTGAATATTTACAAATAATCATGATTCTCTCGAATTTTTTCGACTTTGTTTATTTTTAGATTTGAAACCATGACACGCCACGGTTTTTCCTATTCAGAAACAAATATTAGGTTATTCATGAAATAAAATGTATTCATTGTCGAATGAACGAACATGCATTTATTCAGTCCGTACTTAACGTTTACTTCCGTTTTAAATTCGCGGCAAGAAATCACAAACTGAAAGGTGTTTTGGTAAAAAATGCTTTTAAAATAAAGTTATACCTCAAAACAGGCTAGAAATAAGGGACACACTTTTTTTTCAAAGGACACACTTTAAAAAAAAATTGCGTCTTTGGGACTCACAAATTTTCTAACCTAATGGAAGCGCTGTACTTCTTGATTGGTTTACAGGCCTAACACATGGCCAAAAATAATAAGTCATAGTTGTCCTAACCAGTAGTATGACATCACTAAAATACATATTCCCCTGGCATATGAATAGTAAAACAAATATTTCATTCCACCAGTGACATCAATATTGTATCTACAATACAAGGTCATCATGGAAACGATAAAGGAGTGGTATCGATATGGTGAATTTTTTGAACACGCATTTCTCATAAACCAGTCAGTCATCAAAACATTCTGAAAATTTTACACATCGTCATTTTAATGGTCATCTTACGGATGGTAACATTATATTTGAATTATATATATATAATAACTTTTCTCTATATTGTTTTAGAAAACACATCAGACACTTCTTTCGTTCTTGGTATCATATGTTCGGAATGAAATGAAACATCTATCCGAACCTCATTGAAACAAAACGACATAAACACAACGTGTTTAGGTCTCTCTATATTGTAATTGTACAAAGGAAAATTTGGTTGATTTTAAAAAAGTAATGTTAATGAAATAAAAGGTTTATCTTAATTTTCATCTATTTTGGGGGGCTTTGTTTTTGCATACTTTTTGTTAACTTTGGATAATTATAATAAAAACAAAAAATGTTAACAAAAACAGTTATATGAAATATATATAAATAATTTTTGCATTAAATTGTTGCCAATCAGTCAACATTACATAAAGTACCCTGTTTTTTACAGGATGTTTTCAATAATTGGTTTAAGAGAAAAACATTGTTGAATTCAGTTCACCATATCGATACCTCTCCTTTAAAAAATAATAAATTTATAAACATTTTAGGTTGGAACAGCCCAACTTCCCTCTGAGTTCTGCCTTCTTCAAGGCCCTCGGAAAGTGTAGGGAGTTGAGAAGGTTTTGTTGCATTGCGAAAAACAGTAAATTTGTGCCTAAAGATATCACTGCCTTCGTTCAAGAGGTAACTATTGCAAGTTGCAAAACAATGCAGGGAAAAAATCTGAACTTTTTAAAGTTTTGTTTCTTATTCTACCTCATGTTAAATATGACCATAAAAGTGACAATTTCTCATTGTTTGTTTCCCAATACTGATCATGATTTCTGTAACACCATACTTGATAGAGACTTCAAAATGAACATTCTTTTATCTCAACCTGTTTATCTTATATATTGTATTTTATAAATGTATCGTTGCGTTGTAGAGCAAACACCTTGCTGTGTTACAACTGCTGACTGGTGCAACTATTGCAGCCTGTAACGCCCTAGAGAAAGCAGTGAAGAATATGTGAGTACAGTTTAACATAGCTAGCATTGTTTCAAAGTGAAGTCGGGCAAATGTACTTTTAAATAAAAAAGCCTGTACTTATTTCATCCTTCGATCACAGGGCTTCAAAATCCAGAATATATTCTTTCTTTTTACACCCTGCGATAAGCAGTTAGCATTTCCCCGATTAAGAACTCGCAATCTGATTGGCAGTCGCATCACTGCGACAGAAATCATCTATAAGTCATTGCGCATTCATAGATCATAGATCACGTGCTTCAGTTTAATCGCTTCCAAATTGGTTATAGCAGGGGGGAAGAAGGAGGTACGGAATAGAAAATAGAAACATATTGATTGACTTTTTATGTCACCATCACAAGTGGTGACATATTGTTATGGTCTCCAACTTTTTATGTCACCACACATTTTTGTGGAAGGTGTTCGAAATTTGGAGGTTGATGTTTGGCAGTCAGCGTTCGGCATCTGTAACAAATGGCAGGTGGTGACATTTTGCATGTTAATGCCTTGTTAATCTTGCGAATGGGACAGTCCATCATTACCCTGCATGACATGTTTTAATATGTTTATTGATATTATTAATATGAAAAACATCCATCAAAGCTCATGATTATACTTCCTTGTCTGGCATGATAATTGTTATTGTTAGACTACAGTGAAACCTGTGAAGTGGAACACCTCACAAGTGGAACACTTTTTAGAGGTATCAAAGGTGTTCCACTTAGACAGGTTTTACTGTACATGTATTTTAGAAAGCTAATACAAAAACTAATACAGTGAAATCTCTAAAGTGGAAAACACATAAGCAGAACACTTTTCAGAGACCCAAGACCAACTGACTTAATGTTAAATAAACCTGTTTAAAGTCCCCGAGATTAGAAGAGTTTATTTTTTATTTAGGTATGCAAGCTACGTATATCAATATTAGGCCTTCATTCATGTACTCGTGTGCATGTAATCAGCATGCCCTTCAATATTATGTAAACCAGGCTATTCAAGTACTGTATAATGTACACTATTTATGTGTGTACTGCATACACACAATACAATTCCCTGGGAAACAAAACACAAATACTTTTTATATGTTCAAAATGAGCCATTTGATTGATGCAAACACTAAATAGCTTCATAAATAACATCTACAAAGTATATCTAATAGTGATTTTCAATTTCAATGGTGAAACTTCCCTGGTTACGATTATATGGGAAATCATCACGAGACGAAGATCGTTCGCCTTCCTGGCTTACCTCTGAATCGTGTAACTGGTAATCTCTTTATATAGTTTAGCGAGAGCGGTGCGCCTGCGCAGTTTTAAACTTTGGCGCACACTTTAAGTGGAACACCTCCCAAGTGGAACGCTTTTTAGAGGTATCAAAGGTGTTTCACTTAGACAGATTTTACTGTACTGTTTGAGTTGAAATTTCCTGATTCTTGATTAGGGTTGGGCTCAAAACTAGTATTCTACAAATGTTTGTAGAACATCTATTATGAAAACCATAAATAAAGGTTTCAATAATGGATCTTCTTATGAGTTTGTGAATATAATGGATACTATTTTAATGTGATGGGTCTTACACCCAGGGGAGAGTTAGCAGTTAGGGGTTCTACAATAGCCTAGATCCTGGTAGTATGATAATCGATCTTGATTGATTGGTTGCTTTGATACTGTATTCTGAAAATAGGTTCAGATGGTTACATTGTTCTCATACTTAATGGATCTAGATAATGTTGCCTGATATTGGTTAATCTTTTATTTTATGATTAGTAGACCGTGGCGTTTGTTTGTTCTGTAATGTGTTTTGGACGTGATATGTGGTCCTGGTACTGTCCTACAATACCGGGTGTTCCAATAATATTTTATTATCACTTTATTTTGACACTGCCAATTAAATGTTGACATTTGTTATGCAAAATATTTTCTTTTTAACTTGTGTTTGGCATTTGTAGCAAATGGTTATATTTTGAAATTTCCAATGACATTTGGTTGATACCTTTTTTTCATATTGTTTCAGTGTTTCTCAGACCCGTCCAGGATTTTGTGTCACCCTGTATCCTCTGATGGCAGACCAAGAGAATCTAAGACAGAAGCTTTACCAAGTGCCTCCTAGACATTTCAGGGAATTAACTGTTTTCTCGTCAAAAGTTGCACAATCTCCTCAAAATGCATGGTGGGATACTTGAAAACTAAGAAGTACAGAGAAATCTGTTAAGTGGAACACCTCTGTTAGTGGAACACTTTTCAGTGTCCACACAAAGACAAACTGACTCAATGTTAAATGAACTTTAGTGGAACACCTCTTTTAGTGGAACACTTTTCTGTGTCCAAAGAGACTTAATGTTAAATGAACTTGGAACACCTCCCAAGTTGATAACTTTTGAGAGACCCCAAAGGTGTTCCACTTTGACAGACTTACTGTACTAGTATAACATGCTATTACTGCTGGATGTCAAGCCTGTCATTACAACTGGTGAAGTGATTTATTTGATATTATAATTAACACTTGCCAGCTGAATGTAATCACACTGTAGGAATAGGAGTTTATGTTCATATATATGATACTACCTTTCCCTTTGGAAATTCTATTCACAGAAAATGATTTGAAGATGGTGCAATTATGACTTTGAATAGTAATTAAAGGTACATTTTCAATAGCTTTGAAGACCATAGGCCCAGGAACATGTATAAAAAATCTAGTCTGAGTCTCCGAAGAAAAAATTTTTCACGGGGGACTCGGATTCACTCTTTTATGTTCCCTGATCTCTGTGTAAGCCCTTGATGTATCAGAGTTGTTACACCAAGTGCCATATACGAGTACTAGTGGGAAATTGCTGTGCTGAAACAATTAATTAGACTTTCATTTTATGAAACTTGAAAAGATTCATAATGACCTTCAAAAATGCAATATTTACAATTTAATAAACTTATATTATTGATACATGACTAATAACTAATACATGACATTTTGCCATATTGTTGTGTCAATTAATTATCCCAAAAACTATATACATATCGGAAACTAATCCAAATGTGTACATTGACTAATATCTGCCTAAGTCCTTGGTCCAAAACTAGTATATTAAGTAAATGAATGAAAGATGGATATAGAAAATTATGGTGAAATGATAATAATAAAAGCTAAGGAGAAAAACAATGTAATTGTTTGTTTATGTTTATTATTTCTGTATTTATTATCCTGGAGCAATTTAAAATGTTATATTATGATTCCAGTAATGTCATCTATAAGTATTGTTACATGTCATGTAAACCTCTGACTGCTTGATTTATAACGGAAAGTTTGACTTTGCTCACTAGTAATATTGCACCTTTTTACTGGAGCTCATACCAAAAGTGTTACTGTTAAAAAACTCATAAAGACCTGACACATTTTAGCATTATACCACGACCTTCATTCAGCAATCTACTTGTAAATTTCTCGTGTACTGTAGATTTGTTGAATTTTTTGCAAACATCATAGGAAGGGCCCTCTGTTTTACAGGCATGTTTCTGTGTAGGTGTTAGAAATAGAAAAACAGGGACAATAAACAAAATATACCTCACAAATACATTATTTCATCATTTATGCTTGATTCTTATCTTTCACATAAACTATAATAGTGTGGAACTTACTGCTACAACCGTTATAAAATAATGCAGATTTAATCACTTGTATTTATACATTCAGCACTTTCATTGGTATATTGTTTACTGAACTTCAGGCAATGGATAATAAAGATGGAATCATTTGCCATTAAGTTATTAGTATCATATTTATAGTTTTAATAGCATTTTCCGAGATAATATTTCGAGGTATATTATTTAGATATCTAATTATTATCACGCACTTTTTGTAACGCAAAATGAGTTGAAACCAAACCATTGATCTATTTATAGATGTTAAGGTTTAAATTACATCCTTTTCAAATTCTATCACTGTTGAATTATACACTAGGGCAGAGCATTTGTACTGAAAGGAGCGTTTTCAGTACAAATGTGTACTGAAAAATGTACTAGTTTTGTTTCAGTACAAAGGAGCAGGGAAAGTATCGCAACAGACTTTTGATAATTTTGACAGTTGATAATTTTTTGTGAGTAGTTTCTGGCTGTAAAAAGTAAATGCTTGGGAAAGGTGAATCTATAATCTTCAAGAAAAGTTCAAAGAATAGTTTTTAGATCAATTCGATTATCTTATAATCCATGTTTAATCCACCCATCAACAAGCTTTTTCAAAATACATTCGTCATTTTCACCATCGTCCCTCATTTTTTTTACAATTTTTCATGCAAAGTTTCATTGTACTTGAACACATGTTTCATCATGTAAAATATGTAAGGAACTCCATGAAGTTTGTTTTTGAGTTTTTTTTGAAAAAATGAACCTCTTAAAATGCATGTTTACAAAAATAATTTAGGAGTGATGTAAAAGATGGCGATGTTTTTCAATAATAACATGCATAGGTGGGTGAATTACTCATGTGTGTTGTGTTTTAATCCTGCATTCACTGACTGAGTTAGCCTATTGAAAAATCATAGAGATTAATAATACAAACAGTAATATTATGAATACTTCTACTTCAAGTTCAAATAGCGCTTTCAGGGTCCTGTGTTGAAATACTAGATCACCTATGTGCATGAATTTTCAAGAGAAACCATCAGTGCAAGCAATTAAATGAAAGCATCATCCGAACATCACTTGAAAAGTACTAAAGTGGTGAAAAATTGTAGGATGTTGACAGAAAATGTGCCTAGGGGAGAGGGTCGTCTCTCAACCCCCCTCCCTAGTCACGGGACTAATACATGTGATATGGCAAAGTCCAATTCATAGATTAAGTTTCCCTTGCAGTCTTGTTGGCATTTTTATTAGAGTTCATGCTTTGTTTATGTTAATGGGTGAGTGGGAGACCCTTGGATGGGAATCAAATATAAAATGTTTTCTAAAATATATATTTGAAATACTTTGTGTATGTACAGTCACAAACTCTAGGCAACATTAACTAGTAATGGGGCAACACCCCAACTCAACTGAGTGAATGTGTAAACCATATAAGGAACAAAAAACATTACATAAAACAAACTCAGCATGCAAACATGTAAAACTGGCATGGCAAAACAATAGATAGTGAAACTGAATAATAAAAGCACATATGACTAGAAAACAAGGGATTAATGAACACTGGTGTAAAGTAATGAAGGGACCTGTTAAAATGACATGAATGGGGATTGGTCAATTTGAATAGTAGAAATATAAAAAATGTGAAAATTAGCCAGGTAGAGAGGGAGAGATAAAGGGAGCTGCTGCTCCCCCAAGAGATTCTTTCAAAATGATGCAGTTTCTCACCAATCTGAGCACTTCGCATGATTTTTTAGCCAAAACTGTCAAAAAGTTCATCCCTAGGCAAAAGCTTTGCCCTTGGTAAAACTGCTCCTACCCCTTGGTAAAAGCTGGCTACAGACTGTGTAAAACACTTGTGTGAGAACTTGAACATGAACGAGTACTGTTATGACCCCCAGTAATGTTGTCCATCTCTCAACTGGTTTAACTGGGGACCATTAAATCAATTGGCATTATATCAATCAGGCAAAAAGAGGCCAGTGATGTGAAAATAGTCAATAGCACGGTGTTATAGCATGACGGTTACGCCACCTCTGAAAACGAGGTTGGACAGCTACGTTCACTGATTTATCCAATAAAATGGCCGCGATGGAAGAGAAAACTAAGGTTGGCGCATTATTTTCTACTTCTGTGTATCAATGAAAGGATGAACGATTTATGTAAGAATTGCATTCGGTGATACTTTCAGTAATGTATATTTTGAACGTAGCCTTTGCAAATTGATGCCCGGGGATAACATGAAATAAGAGAAAAACTGTCGAGTTTGAAATTCAAAACTAAACAAAAATTTAGTAATTTGTTTATTTTTGTTTTTGTTGTTAGGGCATGGTCTACATTGCCTAAAAACCTTGTGGTATATATATGTAACCTACATACGATCTTACAAAGCCAATTGAGCATTGGAAACCACCTAATATGTTCTACTCAAGCCATAATAATGTATTTTGAATTTGCAATAAACTTACAGTTAATATTTTGAGTGGCTCATGTACTGAGACAACACGAGAAAGGACCAAATATTATAAACTTTGATATCTCAGTCGGTGGGTTTACAGATTATATTCTGTTTCTTGTAGACCACCTGGCAGATTTGACCCAGTCTTTATAACCATCCATATATACGTCACCGAATGGAACTAGTTTAAGAGGAAATCTTATCTGTGAATATTGCCTACAGGCGAGAAAGAGGACATGCTGCCTTTCCCATCCGCCATTTTTTGTTATCGTTACCGCAAAATTTTGCAAATCGCCTTGACGTAACTGTCATGCTATAACACCGTGAATAGGGGGCCATAAGTTTACACATTCCATGTGTACGTTCATCAAAATAGTGCGATCTTAACCTCCCTAATAACTGAAATTGTTGACTCAACCAATAGAATCATTCTATGTTTGTTTATATTTGTTCACATTAATATGGAAGAAAATCGGACATTTTGCTAAAAAGATGTTATTGTAAATCTTAGAAATAATGATAAAGGTAGTATACACCACACACTCAATGGTATTGATTGTGGTTTTCAGAGACTCTCAATAGGGACTTTAAGCTTGCAATGTTTTTCACAACCTAAATGTGAATGGAAAATATTTAGCGATGCATTTATATGGGCGATTGGTCATAGGTTGGCGTTTCGATTTTATATGCAAGCTTAATCTCCCTAATGTTAACATTAAGGTAAGAGTGTATGTTACTCATAACATTTTCTTAGGATAACATTTCTTGAATTGATGAATATGCAAAAATTATTCTTAGCATATCATCCTTCATTTCATTATTTGAATAATCAATCTGGAGATAAACTCAAATAAGGAAGTGTGTTATAACACATCATCATATATGTTCAATGTTTTTTCAGAAGCTGGATCAAAATATTTGTCTTACTAAAATTATTGGCAAAGGTATGATGTACTAAATTCTTGTACTGAATTTATGATTTTAATAGCACTGTACCTCGTGAATCATTACTGATAAACAAGATACAGAAAACCTGTTCAAAGTAAATGCTATAATAAGGCATCATAGAAATTATCATAAAGAGAGGTATTTAGAATTTCTTAGCAACTTACACACACACACAGGTTTAACTGCACTCAAACATTAAACAGTCAACTTGACAGGTATTCAGAATTTTTTGGGAAATGCTGCGGTTATGCTCCATTGATTAAACAGGGGATCAAACAGCAGGGGATCAAACAAGTCCAACCATTCATTTATGAAAACATTTTGAACTAACTTTATGGCACACTAATGACATCTTATATGAGTGTGCTGTACTAAAAGCATAGCCCCATTGGATCCCCTTATATTGGATTATCATAATCCTAATCCACGAGGAGTTCCTTATATATTTTAAGTGATGAAACATGTGTTCAAGTACAATGTAACTTTGCATGAAAATTGTAAAAAAAATGAGGGACGATGGTGAAAATGACGATTGTATTTTGAAAAAAGCTTGTTGATGGGTGGATTAAACATGGCTTATGAGATAATCCAATTGATCTTGAAACCATTCTTTGAATTTTTCTTAAAGATTATACATTGGCCTTTCATATGCATTCATTTTTGTACAGCCAGAAACTACTAGAAAAAAATTATTTACTGTCAAAAATCTGTTGCGATACTTTCCCTCGCTCTTTAAGTATATTTTTGTACTGAAAAATGCACTGAATTTTTTTCAGTTTATTTTTCAGTACAAATTCATGTACTGAAAAATATACTGAATTTAAGTACAAATTTAAGTATAAATATGTACTGAAAAATGTACTGAATTTTAAGGACAAATTTAAGTGCAAAAATATACTGAAAAATGCACTGAAAATTTAAGGATAAATTTAAGTACAAATATATACTGAAAAATGTACTGAAATTTAAGTGCAAAAGTCAGTATAAAAATGTACTGAAAAATATACTGAAATTTAAGGATAATTTTAAGTATATGCAATGAGAAATATTTGTGCCCAATAATGGAAATAAGAGAAAACGTAAATGTAAGGCTAACTTTATAAACTCTAAATCACTCAAAAAGTTCTTAAAATGGTGAAAAAGTGTATGATTTTAAAATAATTTTTGGCCGGGGGGGGGGGGGGGTTGCTTGGACCCCTGAACCCCCCCCCCCCAACAGGAATGCTATTACATTATGAAATTATTTTGGATGCTTCCTTTACAGCAGCCTTTAAAGGAACATTCTTTGCCAGACTATTTCTCTCCTGATATGGTAGCTACAATCATATATATACTTTACATATTTAGCAAAACACGGGAAAAAATTTTCATATGGTCAATATTGATCATTTAAAAATGTAGTACTCATTCCCAGTAAGCTGCCATCTTTTCAGATTTCTTTCAGGAAGTGATGTCATCGACTCTCACCTGTTATAACCTTGTCTATTACAGTATAGGAAAGAAGTACAAAATCACATCTAGAAATCACAACAAGAAGCCCTTATCTTCTTTGTAAAAATATTTTCAGGAGTTGTCAACTTAGAACTAAAGAAGAGATAATCAAAAGGATTTTAATCATAGACCAAATTGAAAAAAAATATTCAGCTGGTTCAGTAATTCTAATAGCTCCTTTACCTAATGTTATATGCAAAGTTGATAGTCGATGACATCACTTCCTGAGTGGAATTTTAAAAGATGGCAGCCTACTGGAATTGAGCACTACATTTTTAAGTGATCAATATTGACCATTTCAAAACATTTTTCTGTTTTTTGATAAACTTGCAAAGTATGTATATGGTTATAGCTACCATATTAGGAGGGAGATGGTCTGGCAAGGAATACCCCTTTAAAGCAGACTCTAATCAAACTGGAGAGGCTAGGTTTACCGTAATCAAGTGTTTTCCTTTTAATAAGTTATGTTTTTGGATTTAATTATTTAAGACGCATCCTGTAATAATATCTGATTGCATTTTCTCCATCAATAAATTTCTTTTTAGCCCGATCAAACCTATCAAATATAATGCATATATAAGGGTTATGTACTGGGAGGTTTTGGATACCCATATTTCCTGAGGGATAAACCCTTTATTTAAAACTGATTGTACATAACATGTGTATTCCATACCTTTTGAGGTTTCTAGATACATTCTACCTTATAAGTTCTAAAATTCAAAAACTTTAAAGGTACACATTTTCTCAGTCTTAAAAATACGTTTTTCATGAGATTTTCACTCATATTGCTTGAGCAAATTAATTAATTGATATCAAAATTAAAATATATAACATGAACATAGAACCTCATTTGCTCGAGTATAGCAAAATCCATGGTATAGATGTCAAAGTCAGGAAGATGTCGTAATTCAAAATCTAAGTATATTTTTCAGTATAAATTTACACTTAAATATGCCCTTAAATTTCAGTATATTTTTCAGTACATATTTGCACTTAAAATCACACTTAAATTTCAGTATATTTTAAGTACATATTTGCACTTAAAATCACACTTAAAATTCAGTATATTTTTCAGTATAAATATATACTGAAAAATGTACTTGAAAATTCAGTACATTTTTCAGTACATATTTATACTGAAATTTGCACTGAAATTTTAAGTATATTTTTCAGTACATATTTATACTGAAAAATATACTTAAAAATTCAGTACATTTTTCAGTATATATTTGTACTGAAAACGCTCCTTTCAGTACAAATGCTCTGCCCTAGTGATATATCTGCAGCTTTAATCGGCTTATTGTCTCTTTGCAGATTATTGACATAGACATAGACGAATTAAAACACTAAGAATGGTTGATCTTGTAGGTTTTGTTGATATTCAATTTAATTTTTTTTACATTTATCACTCTATTATATAAATCTCTTAATGCTGCTCTATGAGAATTCGTTTGATAATATGGATATCCATTAATAATACATGTAATACAGTGTGTTATTATTGTGATAAATGATTCTATGCCATTTCAACGTTCTCATAAGCTCATTTATTGGCTTCATTTCTTGCCTGGACCATAGCCAAACTTGACTCTTTGAATTCTGTTGAATCGAATTGCATTCATTGTATGGTAATCGGCTTTATATCAGAATGAAAATGAAATGTATTAATGAATTTGACCTGGGGTTCGCTTTCTTTAGTTACCTTGTTGTGATGTAGACTGGGCCAGTGAGAGTAGGTCATTACTTTATACTTCTTAGCTTATACATACATTATATGCGTTTTATATACGTTATACGTTATATTATACGTATATTTACGTTATTGTATGTGTATGGAAGAGTCTAGTATGGCAATTGCAAAGCAGGACTAAATACTTACAGTATACATCACCATCTGTTAAAACTAAGAAGGACATCCATCATTCCTTATATAAACCACAAAAATGCCAGGAGAAAGAGAATCCGTCACGCTGTCACGACGAAGCTCTAGAAGTAGTTCTGGATTGGTCTATTCTGGATCTAAATCAACCAATCACGTACCAGGCACTGTAGGATACGCAGCAGAGCGCGAAAAGGCAAAATCATTATCTGGCATCACTATCCAAGACCTAAGAAATAAACGATTGTATTTTCGAGCAAGATACCCCAGTCAGTTTCACGAGTCCTACGTGTCAGGGTACCGAGTCCGAGGCTCAGGAGAACACCTTCCCGATGTGCCCATCTGCTACAAAACACCTTCAAAATACGTGTTGCAGCCTAGGAAACTGGACTGTGCGCACCAGAAGATGCACGCAGTGCCTATTTTCACCCGTAGACAGCGAGGTCAAAATATTGATGTTCGAGATCTAAGGATGCCGGAGTTTTATGGTCCGTTTTGTAAAACAAAGGGGAGAAATGCTGGAAAGTTTTTTAAGTGAGTTTTATATCTAATATTATCAGTCAGAGATTGATCTGGTGCAGACTTATGCCGTGATTATATTGTTTTCTCCAGGATCTTTATTCATTCTCCCAAATAGCTTGTCTACCCCCGAAGCCCAAAAGCAAGATGTTCGAAGCCTGAGACAAGACGGTCATACGGGTCTAACAGTAAACTGGATCTGATCCTTACCTCACATAACTTTAAATTATTAATCTATTTACACGTGTCTACTTTTTATTAAAAAGTTTAGCTCCGAAAATGGTCTACAATAAATATCGCAAATCGACGTTCCTTCATAAATGGCCTTATTTTCAATCAGTAGCCTAGTTACTACATATACAATTCATGAATAGATGCGCGTTTCTTGGTAAAATATCCTTTCTCATAATTCAAATCATTGAATAGAACTAATTACGACTTAAAATTGCGTTTTTATTTTCCTAATTATTCTGTAATTGAAATAATCATTAATAGACACACCTGTTTACTGTGTATACATTATACTGTTGTATATGGGAATTTTAATAGGTTATCTTAACAATATTGTAAACACGGCATGTAGATGATGGATCTCCTGAATTCCTAGAAACCAGTATTATGTATATATGCAATGTTGTTATTTATCTACATTGGAATGATCAATCATACTAGGAAATGATGTTGTATCAGTCCCGTTTATAAGAGATTTGGTTTCGATTAACAATTTTGATTGAACAATCGTTTTGATTTTTTGATGGAACAATCGTTTTGATTTAGTATCATTTTGTTGATGAAAACAAAAAGCCACATACATCATGTACATGGTTATATCTTAGATCATGACTACTTTCTGACCACGAAGATCGACATATCATTTAGATCCATTCATTGTCTCAAAGTAAAATCCGGGAGAAAAATATACAAATGATAATTATTCAATTTGGCTCGGTGATATTGACCTCCTTTTCACAAAAGGTCCTTTTACAATGTTAATGCAAGTAAAATTGTACCATTCTTCATTTTAATGCCCAGTATCAATAAGTTCTTGAAAGGAAAACTGGTCTTTCCGGAATTTCTGTATAAATTGGGGTGTAACTCTCTCTAAAATTTAGTGTTCCCCATGTTATTTCCCCATAGTGAAAACTCATGCCATCCATTGGTTTCAGCTCATTTTGCTTATCTTTAAAATCACTGGAGCAATCTGCCTTTCCTTTTAGGAAATAAAGCATGTCTCAAAGCGCATTCTAATTATGCATAGGAACATTATAATAAAATGTTGCCCTTTCCGTGAAAATTAGGTCAATATTTTCGAAAAAGTTAATGGGTACATTGCCTCTTTAATATCATCATTACAAATATTTTTCTCGCAGATAATGCATATACGATACACATCCTCATTATCAGGAAACGAAGTGTGTAAATTGCAGCCAGGCTCCAGTGACCCTTGCTCTTATTGGTTATAACTTATTATTATATAGCCAATTAGTTGGAGCACCATTAGGAGTTGGTTGCATTGACCTCAAGAGTCTGTGGTTGCAGTTTACACAGACCCATCAGAAAATATTCATAATCCAGTGTTACTAATACTAATTATTAATAACTAGAGATATAAATAGCTAGTGTTATTTTTAATAGATATACTTGTTGATTTTTCTCCCGATTTTTCATGCGCATTACGAGTCAATACAAACAATGATCAATGTGTCAATAAATGTATTTAGATGTCACATACATGGCATATGAGCTCATTTTCTTGACAGTATTTTACATTTATATAAAACGAATGATATGTCACTTAATATATAACCATGAGTAATCTTGAGCCATCTTCCATTATCTATCTTTCTTTTCTAGCTTATGATCATCCCAGTGTATGTTGGTTGTGTAGGTTGGTTACGCAAGCGATTCATACAAGGGTTCATAAAGTAGACATTTATTAATGTTTTCTGCTTGATTCCAGGAAAACTGCCCAGGCTGATAGCTCGCATGAGCAATGGCAAAATGTAAGAAGCACATGCAGTCACCAATCAGTTCTTGACGAAACCAACCTAACTCAACCTCTATCCCAAGGGTATACAGAAACTGTTGACTGGAGTAACAACAATCAAGCGAACGAAACCCTTGAATATGATGGGGGTCACGAAACCGAGGACCATAGGGATTTATATTTAGACTCGGTTGGAAGCGAAATATCGGACACAGATAAAGATCCAATAGATTTAGATCTGCAATATATGTAAGAAAGAATAAAAAGTGAATCCGATTCAATACTAGTGAACGTTATTATCAGGGTACCTGCAGTATAGTTAGCCATGGGGAAAGGGGGGGGGGGGCGTTAACGTAGGACACAATTTGACCCAGGGTTTGAATATCCCATTAGAAATGACTCTGGAATAAAGGAGAAAATAAAATAATTGAATTTTGTCTCTCTGTTACTCAGTTGATTATATAGTACTTTCATAATCAGGGGGCAATTTTGATATCTTTAAGGTAAACATGGTCAAATGACATTACATGTACTACATGGCCTTATAGTTGTGGAGAGAGAAGTTATGATACATGTTGAATCAAAAACATGTCCGTTACACCCCGGTCACATTTGATTTACGGCGGCCGTGGCTTCACAAAATCAATTTAGAAAATCTGCACCGTACCAGGGGTTTCACCAGAATTTCTCACAACAGGCAATTAAAATAAATGAAAACAACAGGCAAAATTAATGGAAATTATAAATTTAACATGGAAAAATTGAAAAGTCCCTAAATACAACAGGCGATTTTATGAAAACAACCAGTGAAAATCTCCTGCCGCTAATGAAACTCCTGGCTTCCTGCTGTTCATTACTTGATGAATCACATGATCCATATTCTGAGAAATGGCACATTGCCATTCTGGTTTGTCAGAGTTTCTATTCCGATGGATAGTAGAGACTCCTACAATGACACATGGTGCTAGTTCACGGGAGCTGTACCAATTACGCGCAATGGGTGAACGCGCGAGGTATTTGCATTGCACAACGATGGATAATTCACGCATTCACTAATAACGACTTTTAATGTTAGATAATTTGTAATTGATTTGACATAGACTCTAAATGATACCTGATTAAGCTTTATTAGCTTTTTGTTTTCTAAAATGCAAATTTAATTGTACGGCTTTAGTGCATTATTTTAATATTCTGTTTACCTGGGCTTTCACTTATATTGTAATATTTATTGTTATTGTCTGAGTCATTAATTACAATCACGGAGGGAATATAACTAAAAGCAGATTTCCAAGTATCTGTTGTAAAACTAAATGAACAAGGAAATCGTATTAATAACATCATCAAATACCGAGAATAACAAGATTATTACTCGATATACAGCAAGATAAACTTGCTTCACACACACGCAAGCGGGATTGTACTTATCATAAAGGACGTACTTTGTCCTTGTGTAGTTACTAGTTTGTTTGTATCCAAACAGACTGTCAACCTTGTGTTGTGTACCGTCCTGTGGAAATTGCAGTGAACTGTTTTGCACAAAATTATCAAATTGAGGAAGCATTAATTCACAAGAAATAAACTAAAGAAATTACTAATAAGCTTCACATCAATTGGAAGTAAAGCTTGGAAAAGTAACAAGTGTGCAAATGAATGTACTACATCGGCCATTTTGAATAGCACTTCCCATGTAAACAAATATATTTGGAAACCAAATTTTGATATATATTGGCTCTAAAGTCTGAAATTTTCAGCTAATTTTCAAAAAATGTCAGAACTATAGAATATAGTCTAGGTCCTTCTGCATGATTGTCATAGCCAACGTTTAGCGTGGTTCGCCTTCCAGACCGCATTATTGGGGGGGGGGGTATTATCTACGGAAGGTGGACCCTAAACTTCCGGGTTGTTGCCTCAACGTGCATCCCGGGGTTAATGGCATTCGGTGTTATGGAACAGTAACATGAAGAACAATTAGACCATTAATCCGATCAAAAGACGATCGGCGATTTATAATATACCGCATTCACCGAATCAATCACTCATTTTCCTAGAAAATTGTAATATGATCATATTTATATTCCGATTTTACGAAACGAAAGAACCTTCGTCGAGGTGACTGCAAACAATATAAATGATTTGAACTCAATTTTTGAAAATCGGTCCCTATTATCTAAAACGCATTTTCCAAATAATATTTACTAGATATAAATCCCCATTTAATAATTAACAGAACGAGATCCAAATAAGACATATTTTTTAACAGCAAAATAAAATAAGTCATTCCTCAATTTTATTGCCATTCGCGGATCCAATTTATGATTGATCATAATAATGAATAAGTCACGAGTGTAAGTGGCGCCATCATATCATTTATAAAAACTTTTCCCATTTTGACTACATTTAATATGTGTTAAGGGATACATGATGTATCATACAGAAAGATGTGATTGGTGTCGGAATGATGGAATGAAGTCTTGGCCCATTTTTAACAGACACTAAGAAACAGGATGTGGGGCATGATTGGTGAGGGCGCCATTGGATAAAAAGAGCGCCCAACATTATCTTAGAAAAATACAAGGGCCGACCATAAACTTTCTTACCGTTGGCTCTAGATTTTATAATAAGAGGAGTTTGATGTTGGAGTTGGAGTTGATTTTAAAATGAGACAGGATAGTTAGTTTGCTTGGAACTGTATGAGTTTCATATAAATTGGTTTATTGGTAGTGCAACAGAGTCAATACATATTTTTAGCAATTTTTTATAAAAAACGCTGCTCCACCTAACTTAATCATTGAAAATGTGCATTGACTTGACCAATGGACCAATTTATATGAAACTCAAATTGTTTAAAGCAAACTTATTACCCTGTCCCATGTAAACGTTTGAGCATCCAACTTCTCTTATTATAAAATCTCACTGCTACCCACCTAATTACACAGACGTATCGTCGGTGTATCATGGCGGAACTTCCTCCGGGACTAAGTTTCGGTAAGATTTTTTTATTTCCCGATTTACACCTACTTATAAGTCACGTTGTGGATAATAATTTGGCTCGAAGTTAAGGAAGATAGTTTAGTTTGAGAATGTGTCGATGGTTTTAGGTTTTATATGTTAACAAAGACACAATTCACGTATTTAGTCCCTCGCTTTTCTTACACTGACGATCGGCATTAATATTGCCAATATTACACTGATATTGGTCGTTTTGTTTTGGAAACTCATGAATCATGACTCGAGTAACATATATCGACGAGAATAGTTCACCATTTCAGTGATTTGAAATCCATTATTACTTTAATGGTAGAATTATTTATTAATTAAATACTTTGTACAAATATATTTCTCTCCGTTATTGGGATTTAATGTTTCGCTTGTACAGTGTACACTGATGACTGATGATTTTTATTTGCTGACAAACGGAACACATCTGACTTATTTGTAGAGTAGAAACTATTGCTCGTTCGCGAATACCCATTCTTCGTTTTGTATGCCATCAAAGTGACGTCAGTTATACCATCCTTTGGAACATCTTTGCGCTTGCAATTCAATCTATCGAAGAGGGACCGCATCTCTACTCGAAATCTTTTACCAGAAATGCAATATAACAGGAAGTTGATTCCACAGTTTATAAAGTATAATTGACGGGTGATGGCGTCAACTAGAATGCTTATACTATTCTCAAATACGGTCTTTGGCTCATTGTAGTTAAAATAGAAGAAGCGAATCGTAATTGGAAGAGTGAGAAGAACAAAAATGAAACTGATGCTCAGTAGCATGGCAGTCATTGAAGTGGTTTTATCATCCGTCTTTTCTGTAGAGTTTGACCTTCTTCTCCAAGATGACGCAATTATTAAATGGTACACTATTACGCAATTACACGTAAGAAGAATTGCAAATGGAAGTAAGGCTGCTACGACCATGTCAATGATAGGCCAGACGTAATTTCTGAATGTAGCCTGGTTATCGGTAGTGATGGGTGTAACACTCGTGATCAAGAAAGATAATCTGTTCAAGTTCCTTGATTGGATGAGTTCTGAAGGGGCCTTGTAGCCAAAACAAATGGCCGTTCAATAGAAGGAACAACAAAAGAATCACACCAACCGCGATCCAGGCATTCCTATGCGTACACAAGCGCTTCACCTGCAACGGCCATCCGACCATCAGCACTCTCTCCAGGGAGACAGCCACAAGGAGCCAGGCTGAGATATGGGCAAGATAGTACGCTAAGAAAGCCCCAGCTTTACACAATACCACGTGAGAGTTTCGAAAATCAATGTTCCACATTTCTATGATCCAAAAGCGCATTAGGGTGATCATTAGATTGAGCGTATCGGAGACACATATTGCGGCTAAATAAACGCTGGAGCTCATCGTCCACATCTTGGTCATTGTTAACACCAAAAATGTTAACAGATTCATGCACAGTCCCAATAATATGATAACTGGTGATACGTAACGCATAATCACAGCTGCGGCGTCTTCCAACTGTTGACTCTCGGGGTCTTTCGGGGGAATTTTCTCCAGAAGCAGATCAAGTAAACACTCAGACTTATCACTCGGGGATTCCATCATAAAACATTGCATAATTAAAATGTCCCTGGGATCGGGCATTGCGGCTGTAGTCGTAACAGTGATATTCTCAATAGTTGCGTTTGTGAACATCATAACGCCCTCCGTTGTTGACGCATTCATACTTAGGAGAGACGGGTTACTATTCGTTCAGCTGACGTTTCTTCAGTTTAATGTCACGCATCTGTAAAATAAAATGAATTCTGTAACATTAAAATACATATAACACGACCTCGAAATATTAAATCAGAAATGGAAGACGAGGTGAGAGTAAGTTTTGAAAAATGTCATAATTCTACAATATTTTTTTCTCATATTTCCTTGTCATTCCTATGTTATAAAAGGTTCAATCGTCCTAATTGCATTTCAGCATAACCATTCGATTCTTCAGCGCATCTGGTATAATATTAATATGGTGGTCCCTTTTAAAACGTAATGAATTTGGACTGGGATTCAATAACATCTATATTCTATACAATCTCAATAAATTCTATTTTCAGAAATTAAAAAAATTACTCATGGAACACTGAGAGTATATGATAATAGATATATTTTCTGTATCTCGTTTTATCTGCCATCAAGTATTTCTATTATGGATGATACACTTATGACAATATCGCTGACGGATCGGGTATTAATGTGGTTGAAATTATTTGTTGGAATCTCTTTTTAACACATTGGAGTCATTGTTCTTGCTTTATAATTTAGATTTGATAACTCATCGTTAATTCGTGCATGACGGTTTAATTCACAAAGTCTGCAGATATAGAACATCGGCTGGCGTCAATTATTTATGGGAGTAATTTCGTTAAATATATCAAGTGTTTTATTATGTATCATGTATTTTACGAAAAGTATTGTTTCAACCAATCAAAAAACTATTCTAAAATTAGATATGTTACGAAAGGCTTTTCTTGATGAGATATATATTCTAATAATGTAAATATTAGCGTTCAGCAATCAATTGAATTCCGAACAATGTCGCAAACTGAATCATACAAAATGTTTAAATGTAATTTCAAGTTCGAGCCAAATTGACATTCAATTTCAAATGGGCATATACACAGGCTGGTATCGAAAAAATTGTCCGCTGTGACGGAGCGTGCTATTTTGCATAGAAACACTAGGAAATCCACACAATTTATTTTTTTACTCATATGTTTTGGTATATCAAAGAAAATTACTGACTCCATGCAATGAATATATCATTTGCGGGTAACTTTAACTTCTGTTCGAAGTCCAACAACGCAAAGAGTAAAAGCTATTGAAAACGGCGTCGGAGTATCATACTCAAAAATGTACCATTTCTTTTATTTCTTTTTAATGGTACAATATAGCGACACTATAATATTTACATATGTTTTCAGCATAACTCTGAAGGTATTAATGAGATCTGTATGTATTGGGTATTTTTTATTTTTTTATAAAAAATAATGTTTCATTTTTTTGTCCGCTGTGACGGAGCAGTTTCAAATCTGAAATACATTAAGACTTTAGATTTATAGATTTATAATATATCTCTTTATAACTACACGTTAGAGGAGGGAGCGTGTTAAATCTCTTTCGTAAAGAATTCTGAAAAATAAAACGGAATAAAAGTACACAATTCAAATTCTGAGATGGATATACGACCACTCTTTAAGCTCCTTTTCTCAGTTTGTACTGTAATCCAAGTTATGCATGGTAACTCATTAAAAATGATAGTCAACTTTATTTCAGTATAGGGTATTTGCCTTTCGTTGTGCCTACTGTGGATCCATCAACTGACATGGTCATTTTTTATGGTAACTTATATTCAGTAATATTATGTGGTAAAAGGTTATACATCTGTCGGAATGCAGGATGTCTTTGCGCTTTTTCGAATAAATTCATATTAGCGCTATTTACACTACACTTGACATTCCAAGACGCCTTTGCGAAAACGTATTAGAAATATTATGTTGAGTTTACACCATGTTGATTCATGTTGATTTACAAACCTCCGAAAAATGCTAAGAGTCGTCGTTTTTACATCTCAGATTTACATTACCCCAGATCTCCCAGAGGCTACTTGTCATAATTTAGGAAAGTGATTTGTGACGTTCTCTATTCTAAGGGTACTTTTAAAAGGTATAATTTGAATCTTAAATTCTTAACGTAGTTCACAGTTAAAACTACTCCGTCACAGCTGACAAAAAATGTAAACATTATTTTTTATAAAAAATATTAAAAATACCCAATACATCAAGATATCATTAATACCTTCAGAGTTATACTGAAAACATATGTAAATATTATAGTGTCACTCTATTGTACCATTAAAAAGAAATAAAAGAAATGGTACATTTTGGAGCATGATACCCCGGCGCCGTTTTCAATAGCTTTTACTCTTAGCGTTGTTGGACTTCAAACAAAAGTTAAAGTTACCCGCAAATGATATACCCATTGCATGGAGTAAGAAACTTTCTTTGGTATAGCGAAACATATGAGTAAAAAAATAAATCGTGTGGGTTTCTTAGTGTATCTATGCAAAATAGCACGCTCCGTCACAGCGGACAAATTTTTCGATACCAGCCTGTGATATACGACGAATTCTAACAAAGTTTTTCATTGGTAATCACAAATTAAAAATAGAAACGGTTAAATATGAACGCCCAAAATAAAAATTCGATGAAAGAACTTCTGAGGTTTTAGATTTAAGCTAAATAGAAAACGAAAAACATGTAGTACCAGGCGATACTTTCATGTAAAAATTATATGGAACGTGCAACATACAACATAATAAATAAATAAGAAACAATTTGTTATTTTGACAATGGGCGTAGTTGGAAGAGTACCTGAAAAGTAAGAAAAACCAAAAAACGGAAATTCCGTCACCAATCACCATTAAAATAAAACGATTATACTTAATTATAAACAATCAGAATAGTGTACGTACAATTCCCAATTCGGTGAAGTTTCGTTAAATTGCTCAATCTTTTTTATTAACTTTATCGAATGAAATTCCAATGGCAAGTTTTACTTACGTGGTATCGCGGCCAAGGCTGATCGTATCATCTCATATGTACATCCACCTCAATATATTTTCCAGCTACAGGTGCTTAAACATAGTCGTTTTTAATGTATAATTATGTTAATTAGAATATAGAGAAGTGTCAATATTGAAAATCGTCATCAGTTGTGTTTTTATGGCAAATGTTTCGCACAGAGTTTATCACGACGTATGTTATCGAGAATAATTAAAGAGTAATGAAATGCCACTAACGTGTTTTTCCGATAATACCTATTCAGATGTTTTCAGGACGAATGAGGCACCAACGCATTCAATGCAAGCATATTGTTTTAATGTATGTCCTAATTAAAGGGTCGTGTAAACCGCAAATGGGCTTTTTATACGATTTGTGGATTAGTGGTTTCTGGTAGTGGATATAAGGTGATAGGGTGACCCAAAAACGTTACCCTCTGATTTTGAAATATTTTTCACAATTATGAAAGAATCTAGTCTAGCTATAAAGCCCTTGTGTTCCCCTCTTACTGCAACTCTGTGTTGTGTTGGTGAATGTTGTCCAAAGTATTGAAGCAAGACTGGTAATCTTCATGATTTTTTTGTATTGAGAGAGAGGTCAATGCCCATGGAACATTTATGTACTTGCATAGCATCAATGATTTAGATATTTAGCAATATCATTTTTCCGTAGCTAGAGGCATGCTCTGACGCCTAACTACTTAAAAATGTAAGTGAGAAATCGTCTCTCATAAAAGTCACCAAATAAGCAACTCAGTTCATCACATTTGACAAAATTGTTTTAGAAAATGCGTAGATATGACGTGTAATGTTGATAATTGTGTGTTAAGCAATCCAGATATGACTCAAATAATAGCTAAGACAGAGATCTCAATTTCAGAAAATTGTATTTTTGAACATTTTTGGACGATTTCACCTGAGAGTAAACAGTGTATCTGGACGAAATTGACGTCATTACTATGATGTATCGCAAAAAGCTCGCGCACGCATTGTTACACATTGTGTGGCGTAATCCAGAGGATCCTCGCTTTTAACATGGTAGAATGTGACGTTTTTGAGAAAAATGTACACAAATGAAAATCCTTTCGTCCTCCACATTTACCTCTCTATCTCAAAACATTTTAGACGAATAACTCTGATATCATATATATATTGTTAATGGGCTAGGAGCATCATAAAACACGAATCAATTGATATTTTAGGTGAAATAAATATACCTGTTGCTGTGCTTGAAAATAGGCGAATGGCGTAAATTAGCCCTATTTTGATGAATTTTGAAAACCTTTCGTCCTCCACTTTTCCACATACAACAGAAAACACATACTTTTCCGAACAAAATCAAATATTTATTAATAAACTAGAGTTTAGGAGCAAAATAATCATGTATGATTTATTAAAAATTGATCTCGTATTTTTTGTTTAATGTACACCTGAAAAGTTGAAGGAACAAAAAAATGAGCAGAAAAGGTCGCTGTCAACAGATTCTATTTTTCAAACTCTATGACGTCACAATATGGGACGCTTACTAAAATTCATCCTTTGAAATAAAACTTCTATCTACCTTTATCAAGACGAAAAATAAGTATAATAGTCATATATTGTTTGAGTTATAAGCGTTTAAAAACGAAAAATAATTCAAAATGTAACGTGTCAACAGGGAATATTTGCCAGATGTTTTGGTAAAAAACTCTTTTTTAAAAAAGAACGCGCAAGAATTGTGAACGGAGTGTAGTTGATCTAAAAAACTTCATCGAAACAGCTTTAAAATGAAATACAACTTTAATTAGAATATTATTTTAGAATCCGGGGAATCAAAGTTACATTCACGCGATACCCCTAAAAAACAAATGCGCCACCTTTTTGCGACACGTCTATATAGTCTATATTTTATGAATCTTAAAATAAAATTACAGATGCAATATGAATAGACCAATATTTTCTGGATTAATTGAACAATCTAGCTACCAAAAAATCATATTTGAGAAAGTTCCTAATATTCGATGCTCTTCTTCACACCATGGGGCTTTAGGGAATCGGTTTGAAGAACATGACCCTTTAACCTAGAAAGCTGTTTAATTAATTTCTAAATCCTTCAACTTGGTTCAACACAATGAAAAACATGAGTTGTAGATAGAAGGACGACATTTATATATCGTGATCATATTGTCTGACAAAAGCACGGACAGCAGCTGAAATCTGCAGCGTCCACGCCACACACGTAGTGTAGGTAGGAACGGAAATTCAAACAAAACAATGCTTTAATATGCAAAATATCAACACCTACCATTTGCTACAGACGTCGATCGCCAACCACTGAACACCAATCGCCTAACTCCAACCGCCGAACGCCGTCCACAAAAAGTTGGAGATTATAGCAATATGTCATCACGTGATGGAGACATAAAAATGACGTAATTATTTCTGCTCGAGGGACGATGCCGTGGATGTTTATGCGATGTCAAAAGACAAAACAGATTTGATATACATCATGCACCGATACATCATGTACCTTTTATCGATGTATCGAATTCCAGTATCTCATAATTGATATGGTTTGAACGGTTTGAATGCTCACTTTGAACACTGGTTCATCAGTTGGAAGATATTAGGCAATTTGATACAATACAATACAATAGACGTTAATCTTTAGGCTTATTTATTTCTTTTGTCAAAATCAACCTTAGCCTATTTCTAGTCTTCCGAAAAATTAAAAACATCGTTAGTTCGACCTTTTCATCATGATGAATAGTCCTTTGTCCATTTGTTGTATCAAGAATACAATCACAGTGATTGGTTTGGAGATTCAGCAAAAAAAACAATATACAATACTGGGGACAATACAGTCTCAGGATTGATAGAATACAATAATGCTAGCGTTTCTAATAATTCCACCAGTTATTTGAAATATATGTTAAAGAGATAAGGCCGATTAAGTAACATTTGGCATTATCTCATTTTCGAGAATGGACGAGGGTATGATTATTCTAATTCTATTTTGATATAGGCATTTGCAATTTCAATAAATCCTGATGATTTTTGCAGTTGAAACTGAAAATAAAATCCAATGATTAGATCCTGGACTACATATTATCTAAACTCATCTTGCCTCGCTTATCTATGTCACCGCCAGAGCATTTGTTACATCCAGCGTTTGTGACAAATTGTTACACTTTTGTAGACACACCAAGTGCTGATATTTTGTCAAGCGAATGCCTTTGAAAAAGTGAATTACGGAATGTACCTTTCCAATAGGGCCTGCCACCTTTTGGTACATCAAGGAAGTTATGATATATCAGCAAGCGAAGATTGATGATGTCATACATGTAGGTTGTTGGTAGAGCAAATTGCCAGTTTTGAATTACGGTGTAAAAGAAATTATGGTCCCCTGGGGATTATGGTCCCCTTTCCTTACGGCCCTTACTGGCCCTGACTGTGTATAAATAATAAGGAAAATAATTGTGATTAGGTCACCATATAAATCAATAGAGAGGAGGACCAACATTTGATAGGACCACCTACCCTTTTACAACGGAACAGTCAATGACATCATCATATCAATCTTGCCAATGTCGCTTCCTTGGTGTACCAAAGGGTGGCAGGGTTGACTGAGGGTCTATCCCGTACTTTACATTCACTTCCATGCAGTTGGTTAAAAACTGCCTCTGCAAGGAGATTGAACCACAATATCCACAGACAGGCCCGTAGGCGGGGGGGGGGGGGAGCTGGTGGACCGATACCACTTTTCGCATGACTTTTCAGCCAAAAGTCCCCCCTTGGCAAAAGCCCCCCCCCACTTATAAAACCTGGCTACAGACAAGACAGATTTAGGTAAACCTATGTATCAATTAGGATTTGGCAAGTGACAGACAATACAATTATTGAACTAGAAATATATTAATTAATCATGCAAATAACCATAATCTATAGACCTTTCTTTTTTATGAAGTCATCAATCTTGGGGCGAATGTCCTATTGATTGTTTGTAATATAATGATTAATGTTTATGAACGATCCATGTTTTCGACTTTTGTATTGTGATACTTTATACGTCATTGGTTGTCAACTTGTACAATATGATGCCCTTGAATGCTACAGTAAACAAGATGTACGATGACTTGAATCAAATGAAACAAGATCTTCTTTTTAACTTTTTGATTGTAACAGCATCTTGTTACACAGCATTGGTCTTTTTTATTTTATCTTTGAGAAATTTGATTTCGAAAATGTTTGATGTTATGATTATTATCTAAACCTCAACCCAAGATATTTTCTGTTTTACTTTTAACTTTGTTTGCGTCTTTGGCAAACATTTCTTTTTCTTGTAATTAACTCGTGTAACTGAGGCAGTTTTTTCAGAAAGCGACTCTAAATCACTCCGTGAGCTGATGGTATCGATGCTTGAAAATGTTTTTATCTTTTCAATCTTTGTTTCTCTTGGCGTTTCTTTATGTATCTTCTTTGTATCAAGGGTGTGGTTTGTCCCAACGTTATCATGTTGCCACCCCTGACGTTGATTCCTCAATGAGGAGACTTTATTGGACCTCACTTCCTTTCGCTCCCCACAGGCCAAGTATCGACACACGGAGACCAGGTCTATCAAGGGTACACTTATCAGGATAAGAAATGCGACAAACAGGGATGGCATACTATATATCACGGCGTCTTCCGCTTCTTCTACTGGCCAGATTATTGGCTTAACCCCTTAAGAAAGAAAACATTGAAAATTGACAATTATTTCTTTTTCGGCCGCGAAGGAAACTTGAGATGCTTTCATAAAATATCAAATAGGTCGTGCTGGACTTTGATAATCAACATATCCATTCGTTTTTTCCTTTAATTAGTCATCTCAAGACAAAGAAAACAAGAAAGAATTGATATCATCTTAAGTATCATGATAGCGATTGCATATGTTTTGACGGATACCACTATTATTCCAATAATATAAACACAATCATTATGCTCTGCAGTATTTCTACTCTTAATACTATTCTTATAAGAGAAGTGTACTTGATAATTGGTATTAATATTGGGCACAATTTTAATTAGCATACAATTGATCTTACTAATTATCACAGGAGGGCCAAGGTCTGCAGAATCCTCATAAGCTGAAAAAGTAAACAAATGCATGTATGCCAGTACAGGGTGACACAAAATGCCACCCACCCGCATGATGTTGCATAACTCTTTTGCCCGATGATTTTTGACTTGTTATTTAGCACATTAAAACTAAATTCCACGGAGTAACGCCACGGGAAGTTTCAGATGACTTCCTCAACTAGATGCAAATTTATGAGCGTTACAAGATATGCTCTAAATGTTGACCATTCCTTTCCAGGCACATCGGGATTCTACACAAAAAGGCCATCCACCATTTGTAACATAACTCTGTAAATACTAATTATAAATTTTGCTTGTTTTTACAGGGAAAGCAAAGCAATTCTATTCAATGAAACACAGCAAGATGACATAGTTGTCATTAATAAATCATCAGAACTTATTTACAAAATTTGCAGAAAAAAAGTTATGCCACATTATGTGGGCGGCATTCTTGTGTCACCCTTTACGTTAGTTCACAAGAGGCATCTCAATATGATAGATACATAAACGTGACCATCTGGATATAATTACAATTGATTCCAGTGATCAAATAGCGCAGGCAGATATCGAAACGGTGAGTGCAAATATTTATTACTACTATCTATTGATGATGATCGATCAACAGTCCGTTTGAACGCTACCTTTTCGTCTCTTGCACATATATTTGTGGCTCGATGTACATGGTTCTTTCACCCATCCATCTCCTGTAACAGCCGCGCAATCTCCACCACCGCTCCCCTCGCCTATCCACCTGTTCATTGAAGTACATAATGTTCAGTTTGTGCGCGGTCATACTCTTTCAGGCCCGTGGCCAGCTTTTGCCATTTGTAGGGGTTGGTTCACTTTTCAAAAAATTCCAAGGGGGTTCACCATTGACAATTTTGGCCGAAAATCACTTGAAAATTGCTCAGAATAGTGAAAAACTGCATGATTATAAAATAATTGTTGGCCGAATCCCCTGGTTATGGGCCTGTTTGTCGAACGATGTGGTGATGCATTGGGGCATGGCTAAATTGCATGCTCCCTCTGTTGTTTTTTGGTTGACATTTATATTTTCTTGAATATCTCATTTCACCATACTTTGTTTTTATAACAATGCACTAAACAGAAGAAATGCTCCCCTTTAGAGATCTTAACAACCAGTGTAAAGAAAGTCAAAGAGATGTCAACTAAACGATATATCAAAGCAAGCCACGGTTGCCCAAGTATACTGTATATTAATTGTGATCATGAACAGGTAAACGTAAGAAATGTGTTCTATTTTACTGTTCCACTTCCGATGGCATATCCAGAACTGAGAGAAAAACAAGGTTCTCCTTTTGCCCTGAATTGTTATATTCAGGAAGTAGTTGAATGGTGGGAGAGGGGGGGGGTGTAACAGATTATGATTTGGGATAGTTGGGGTTTGTTTTTCTTATGTCTGGTTTACTAGTCTTAGATGTTTACCTTTTCTTGTTGTGTTCTGTAACCATTTTTGGTACTTTCCCGTTGGCATGCACTTGCGAATACATAATTAATGATAAATATACACATGCTTACTTGGTGTACGTGACCTTTGACGAGTTTTGCCATTGATAATGTGTAATGTTATTGCTTCTTACAAGACGAACGCCGATGTAGTACTTGTCGCCCGTAGCTTTATAACTGCAATCAAAATGGAGCAAAGTCAGTTGTATGATTATGTTTAGACGGAATAATATTAAAAAGAAGACTGGTTAATTTTATCTGCATAATAGGTTAAACTCATAATTTTGAAGTTGAAATAACGATCAAACCGTCAGTCAACTTTTATGACTTTTTATGCCACTGCAACGATATGGTAGATTATAATAAAGCCGCTCAGTTGAATTAGCACTCAGATCGCTATTAGTAGTCAGTGTTAGTTACTGCCTAAACAAACAGATAAATCCGTTATCTAGGTGAGCGATCTGGTTTGACTGATAGCTAGCAGCTATCAGAATGCGCGACATGTACTACTCATATTTGCAATCAACCCGTCAGCCGGCAGTTGCATTCACAAACGCTACCTCAGTGTTGCAGACGCTATGATCACATTGGCTAAATACTCACGAAATGGCTGTGACGAAACTATTTTCATCAGCGTCGTTTATATTCACTAGGCTTGCTGACATCTCTTCACATGCTTCGACAGCCGCGTCATACGACGTTGCTACACCAAAGCTTGGGTAGTAACAATCGGAAGCATAACCATGCCAACCAAATGGACACTGTCGGTTTTCTGAAATTGAAACATGGTTAAAACGATGGTAGGCTCCATTGTAATTTATTATTTTTCAGATTTTGTAAAAACGAATGGTAGGCTCCATTGTAATTGATTATTTTTCAAATTTTGTAAAAACGAATGATAGGCTCCATTGTAATTGATTATTTTTCAAAGGAGCATGTGGGTTATCGCAAACAATTTCAGAAGGTTAATTATATCTTGGATTATGACTATTTTCTGACAATGAAGCCAAGTTTATCTTCTATATCAATTCATTATCTCAAAGAAAATTATGCACAGTAATAATAAATTCAAACAAACTCGGAGATATTTAACTAGCAATTAGCCCATCAACACACTTTTTCAAAGATGTTGACCCCATTTTCACCAAAAATGCAATCATTTTTTACTATGTTTAATGCATTACTATTCTTTATTTTGATGTATCAAATAATTCTTGAAAGAAAAACTTAATTGCATTAAGATAAGTGTTCCCCGTGTTTTTTCTTCATTGAAAAATCTCATGCTATCCATTGGTTCCAGTTCATTTTGGTCATCCAAATTCAGTATCTTTAAAGTCCCTGGAGCAATCAAATTTTCCTTTTAGGAAATCGAACATGTCTCAAAACACATTCTAATTATGCATTCAACAATATAATAATAGGTTGCATTATTGGTGAAAATTAGGTCAACATTTTTGAAAAAGTATGTTGATTGGTCCATTTCCCCTTCAATATCACTTAGGTCTGATTAACTAAATTATGATTATATATACTTTTCTTGAAGATAATGAATGGATCTAAAAGATACACCCATGTTCATGATCAGAAAATATTCATAATGCAAGTTAGAATCGTTTGAAATTGTTTGCGATAACGTACGTGCTCCTTTATTTTTCTAAATGAAGCAAATATAAATGTTATCCTTCCAAGCAATAGTGGTAGTTAATATGTAGCCTAGTATTTCAAAAGAAACGATGCACCCTGACGGCGACCATCATATCCTTAGAAGGGCAGTAGCAGTTCTGCTCTGGCAAAACAACATTTCATTTTATTTCATTTATTTATTTTCAAACATCTGGTGAAACATACAGATAAGGCGGATGACACCCTAATGGGCATATTATCCGCACAGAGAAGATGAACATGACAAGCAGTGTTGTGTAAAAGTATGTATCTCCAGCCACGCACTCCCCACCTCCATCCCCCACCCGTCAGCATGGTCTTAACAATATGGAAAGTAAACTGGGTTGCCAGTTACAGTCTCTGAGCAGTATATTCGAATAAGGTTAAGTGCTTTGAAAAATGATAGGCGATGATATATGTTGGCTTTGCCAATTAGATGATGGAATAAAAACAATGAGCAAAAAAGAAAGAACTACAGTACTTACCAACTGTAAATTCACACATGACATTGTTCAAATCGTTGCAGTATGTATCATCCCATAGACTGCCGTTGGACACAGCGCATATGTGAGTTCCTTCGCCATCTGGTTGGTTAGTGGAGACGTCCCATACAGTATCATGAACTTGGGCTCCACCCAACCATAACCATTCCTTCGCCTCTATAAGTTTCATTCCCAACCAAAACGTCATACTACCAAAAAAGGTAATGACGTTTTACTAATGTTTTCTTCCTCTTTGGTATAAAAAAAGTAAAGCTTCATACTCTAGAAAAATAGGTTGAAGTGAAATTGGGTTTGGTTTCTTAAGGTTATTCACTTGTTATTGTCTTTCATATACGCATGGTATGTTTAAAATAACAAAATTCATATTTGATATTGCTACACTCGACACTAGAAATGCTTAATAAGACAGTTGCATAAAGGATTTTAGTTACACTGTGTTCTAAATATGGGTGCGTGACAAGGATGGGCAAAAAAGAACAGGGCATAAACAAGTCAAAATGGCACCACCTTGTAACACTCCGAACGTAAATTGTCACAGACGCCCACAGGCTGGTATCGAAAGATTTGTCCGCTGTGACGGAGCATGCTATTTTTCATAAAAACTCTAAGAATGCTTCACGATTTATTTTTTAACTCATATGTTTCGTTATATCAAAGATAATTACTTACTCCATGCAATGGATATATCATTTGCGTGTAACCTTCACTTCTGTTTGAAGTCCAACAACACTAGGAGTAAAATCTATTGAAAACGACGCCAGAGTATCAAACTCTAAAATGTACCATTTCTTTTTTAACTTTTTAATGGCATGATATAATGACACGATAATATTAACATATGTTTTCAGCATAACTCTGAATGTATTAATGAGATATTAATGCATTGGGTCTTTTTATTTTTTTTATAAAAAATAATATTAATATGTTTTGTCCGCTGTGACGGAGCATTTTCACAGTTCACATTTGCAACTGCTCGGTCACAGCGGACAAAAAAATTATTTTTTATAAAAGAATTAAAAAGACCAAATACATCAACATCTAATTTATACCTTCATAGTTATGCTGAAACCATGTGTAAATATTATCGTGTCACTATATCGTGCCATTAGAAAGTTAAACAAGAAATGGTACATTTTGAAGTATGATACTCCGGCGCCATTTTCAATAGCTTTTCTTCCCACCGTAATTGGACTTCAAACAGAAGTGAAAGTTACCCGCAAATGATATATCCATTGCATGGAGTAAGAAATTTTGTATGGTATAACGAAACATATGAGTTAAAAAATAAAGCGTGAAGTATTCTTAGTGTTTTTATGAAAAATAGCATGCTCCGTCACAGCGGACAAATATTTCGATACCAGCCTGTGACGCCGAACTCCGAGCGCCAAACTCAAAACACCGATGAAAAAAAATGGAGCCTAAAACAATATGCCATCACTTGTGGTGGCAGGCCTGTCAACTGTCCCGCAATTTGCGTATTTGTCACGCATTTGCTGAAGAATTTGAAGTCACGCCAGTTATTTTTGCGTGACAGAAAATGTCACGCAAATACGCATTTTACCTGATAATTGTCAAGGAAAAATATTTGTGTAGAAAAATTTCTAAAAAAGATCTACACAGCAAAAATACGAACGCCGAAAAAAATCGTACGCATTTCGTTCGGAGTTTTCACGCGAATTACGTATATGTCACGCATTCCGTTCGAAATGTTTCGTATTACGCGAAAAATTTGAGGTGTTCAAAATTTGGCAAGATGTAATAAAATTTAAACCAAGGTGTTCAAAATGTGGATCAAGGTGTTCAGATTTGGACCAAGGTGTCCACATTTTGAGGGGAGGTGTTCAACATTTCCAAGTCACTCATGTTAGGTGTTCCCAAGTTGACAGGCCTGTGGTGGTTACAAGGGCATTCTACTTGTCGTTGATCTTGAGATCTCTAGAATCTCACCTGTGGTTTTCTATGTTTGACAGGATATCAATGCCGTCTTTGGATAAACTTCTCACCATGGTGGCTGTATGTTTGATACAAAAGTCATTTGCATCTCGCCATGTCATGTTTAGCATCGGTGAGTACCAGTAGCACGTGCCATTCCCGGTTTCGTTATACAGTGACATCATTGGTCGTTCTGAGACACAAATAGAGGAAGTGTCCTTTGTTTCATCTGTAAATGTATTTTACATTATTCCATAGTTAGCATGATATTCATAGGATAACACGTGAAAATAAAAACGGTATTTTTGTAATCAGTGGTAAAATATGATATTTTTGACAAATTTTCACTTAACCATAGCATACGGTTTTTTAGCCATGACATACGGCGCCGTATGCGATGGTTTATGGATTTTTGCTACTGCAGACTCAAAACGAGGCTAAGTGTCAACATCGCCGTTTGGAAAATTCGAATTAAATAACTTAATTTCCGACGATTCTGATGATGATTTTAACTATGGTTAATAAAAAGAACATCCTACTTCACTTCTTAAAAGAGAGCTTCCTCTTCAGTAGTTTAACTAGACTCACGCAGGGTATTGAAAAAGCAATCAATGCAGAAAAAAATTTCGTACAAAAACGCTGTCCAAAAACAATTGTTCAGAAGTCACAATTAAGTATGAGCCAAAGTTCATGATTAAACCTCCATGCGACTTAAAATACGTTCATTGACTTACCTTCAAGCCAACTTGAGTTGGTCGAGTGAGATGTGTTGGTCGATTCCGAATCCGTACTTCGTATCAAAAATGCCAACGAAATTAAAAAAACTACAAAATTCTTATGAATCTCCATAAACATATTTGCAGTGAGTCACACAGAGTAAAAACATTGCCTTTGCAATTTACTATAATTATTTGACCATGGTCGGGTTTTGAGCGATATCTGTTTCCTAGAGCTCGGAAAGTAAATAATGTTCTTTGGTAATTCATTGATTTGTTAGTGATATCAATATGACTCAATTCGATATGTTTGGCCACAGCCTATTTATTTATTTATCTAATCGATTTGATTTAGGTACCATAATCACAGATTATCTGAACATTATTAGCAAAACTGTGACAGAGTGTTATGCTCGTTTACTGCTCTTTCGCAAGAATGTATCGTTGTTTTTGTCTCTCTTTGCTTTCAGAACGACCGCTGCTGCTTCCGAGTTAGCCTTGGTTCCCTGGACCCCCCTTATCAACTTGAACTACAAGATTAAGGGGAAGGGGGGGGGGGGGGTCAACAAGATCTGCACTTTTAACCCGTTCCGTTTACGTATACGTACCTATAACAGTGAGGTATTGCGACACGTTCGTGATGAAAATGTCGTTGGAATTCCGCCTGTATACAACTCATGAAATAAGGATAAAAGAAAAGTCGTACATTTGAGGTTCCGACATTTTGTTTGGCAACAAGTATGAAGAATGCAGTACCAGTACAGGTTGAGACCAGTGAACTAGCTAGTCCCGAGCTAGTATTGTTTAAACCGATCGCGATATACATGTACAGTGATTGGTGTTTCATAAAGAGAGTTAAATAAACTGCCATCTTTTTATGGATATGATTTACATCACCTAGATAGTCCCTATGAAGCCGACAGACTAACAAAGGTATGATAATGTAGTAAGATGTTTAATAATGATATTAAAAGTTGCGTCCTTAACAACAACGTGTCGACTGGCTGGTTTAGTGTTAAACGCTCATGCAGGTAGGGGGACCCGATCAGTTGCTTGAATTTTTTACTTGTTATAGAGATGCTAGTCTTAAAAATTAGACAAGACAATGGTATACAGGGAGTTGACATTGGCGAGGCAAGTCAAAAACTAGCGATTTTTGCAGATGATACCACGTTGACTCTTAAGGACGTAACGTCATTACAAAAAGCATTGGACATCTTTGAAGATTTCAGACTAATATCAGGTTTATGTATTAATAGAGAAAAAACAGAGTGTATGTATATTGGAAGTGATCGTCATAATAATGAAATAAACCTTTTTGGTCTGAAATGGGTAAAGATACCAAGTAGACTTTTAGGGATAAAAATATCATATGACACAAATGCAAATAACACGGATAATTTTGAGAGAAAGTTAAATATGCTTGAAAAGGTTCTTATATTGTGGTCAAAGCGAGATCTTACTTTTTATGGAAAGGTACTCATAATTAAGTCCCAGGCAGTGTCGAAGCTAATATACTCGATGACAATGACCAATACGCCTGATGATATCTTGACGAAGGCTCAACGACTAGTCTATTCTTTTTTATGGGGAGGAAAGGGTGAGAAAATTAAGCGAAATACTTTAATAGGGGATTTTGAGGATGGGGGTCTGACAATGGAGAAAGCCTTGAAATTAATGTGGTTAAGACGTTTACTTGACACACGAACTAGTCACTGGAAGCTTATTCCTCAAGTTTATTTCAAGCGTCTTGGAGGACTGAGTTTTTTGTTGCAGTGTAATTATGATATTAAAACACTGGCACACAGTGTTCCTACCTTTTATATGAATTTGCTTCGAAACTATTCAGAATTAAGAAATAGGTCGCCGCCTAGAACCAGTTCAGGGGTTAAAGGTGAAATAATTTGGAATAACAAATCAATTCTAATTAATGATAAGGAGGTGATGTACAAACATGTCATGGAAAAGGGGGTCATTTATATTAATGACCTTCTTAACGAGAATGGGGCTTTTTTACAGTACAATGAGTTTAAGACTAAGTAATATCAACTTTCTTGAGTATTTTTCAATCATATCGGCTATACCAAATGATTGGAAATTTCTATTGAAATCAGATTTAAGTTCGACCTTTGAACCCAGCATACAGGAAGAACTCGTGTATTTGAAACTTGGTGAAAAACAGGTGACAATCTCTAGTATAACGGTTAAATCAATTCAAACAATATTAAATGGAAACAAGTTCTTGGAACCGTTATATAAAGACAAACATGATCGTGAATTAAAGAGAACCGATTATTTTAAAATGCCTTATATGTGTACGAAACAGAATAAAACGCGACAACTTCAGCAATTTGAAAAAAATGTTTTATTATGTACCTGAACTTAAAAGTATGACTGTTGCAAATGTCTGAATGAATGGAGGTGGTGTGAAAAATATCTGAACTGTTCTAATTATTGTACTTGTACTGTTTGAATAGAGAAAAAAAAAAATGATAATGTAGTAATCTCAGTCATTAGAAATGGTATATCCGTTTTAATTTTAGAAAAATGTATATTCTAATGAGTCACACCTGGCCCTGTCACTGTTTAAGTATAAGATGCCGCCATTATCTACATCTTGTATTATTGCTAGCTGTACTTATCATTTTGAGGATAGAACATAAATATCATGTACAGGGAGTGCCAAAAGATTTTGCAACTTTTTTAGAAGGCTAGAAAAGTATTGTAACAGTATGGTATTGACAGAATTTTTTGTACAGAAACTTATGGATAGGCATATTTTACCATTCAAATGCTTAAGCAAATACTGATTTCAATTTTTTTGTCAGATGTTTGAATATTAATGCTAAATTGTTCATGTGTCCGAGATATACAGATTTTCCTAGAAAATGTTATTTTCTATGATTTTATGTGATCATCGATCAATATCACATTTATTACGTTCACTAAATCTGCTAAAGTCTTTGATAAGTGGTGTATTGAGCGGCTATTCATCAGGACTAATGAATCAAGGGGTATTCTTCTCCAGATATTCCAAAGTGACTTTTGCCCTATGGCCTGGAGCGCTATCCTGCTGAAAGAGCCCTCATTCTTGACAGATGTCCCTTTTGAAGAATATTAGCCCTGATGAATGACCAGATACCAACCCCTGTGACTATCACATATGGGGGCACATGGAGCAGTGTATTGTAGTATTAATGGTTATATCCCACAAACTATTGATCAACTAAAAAAAGTTCTGCAGGATAAGTGGAGAGAACTACTTTAAGAATTGCTGGATCGCTCCATTGACGAGTTCGGTCATCGTCTCCATGTGCAGTAGTAAGATATAGCTGTAAAGTCGAGATCCGAAGTCATGTGAAAATGGAAAAGGAGTGGGTCAATAGTGGTGACTAAATGTATCACTTCCCTCTCGTCTACCTGGATAAGTGAACTTACAGGAAAAGTCTTAAATCTAAATAGACATACATATAGTATGTCCTACAAAACAAAGGTGTTCGGCGTCAGTAAAATGACGGTGTTTGGCGCCGATCACAGTATCACAATCAACCTATTATTCTAACATACTATTTTTAATCAGTGCATTTTAGCTTCATACTTATTTGTATTGATTGGGATATATTTCAAATTTATGATCAAATGTGTCATATTCTAATTTAAATATCAATAATTGATATAACATAAAATTCTGAAACAAAGTAATTTGAAGTTTACAATGATATTAAATAAAAAAATCAATTGCAAGATTATGACATACAAATGGGTAGCAATCAAACTTTTAAAGTCGGCAGCACTATGGTGCTGCCCCCTTAATGAACTTCATCGAACTTTCTAAAAAACTCAATGAGTAGTTTGTGACGCAATAACAAGGGATAGAGGTCAACATATAAATCAATGAAGAGTAGGACCATAATTTGATAGGAACCCCTTCCCTTGTACACATGTGTCAAAACAGAATGATGACAAAAACGCTGTTCTAAATTTTTGAAATGGCTCTCTGTTATAATCACAAACGCTAATAGAATGTACTATTTATGTCAAAACAGAATGATGACAAAAACGCTGTTCTAAATTTTTGAAATGGCTCTCTGTAATAATCACAAACGCTAATAGAATGTATTATTTATGTCAAAACAGGTCAGTTCAAGTAAAAAAGTTACTGAAATACCACGGTGGGCTATGATAGGGGGTATTTACCTTTTAGTACTTTTAATAAACTATTTTACTTCTACTTCTACTACCAATTTACTTAGTTTAGAAGAAGCATTATTCTCAAAATTTGGAATATTCCACCCCTATGTTTTGCCTTTGTAGTGTTGTTTGGGGTAAAACTGAAGACTGGACAAATTTGGCAAGTCTTATATTACGGTGTCCAACCCAAACGCTCTTACATGCCTGACGGCCGGAGCGTTTCATTACTGAAACTAAACAAAGAAACGCTCCGGAGTAGGAAAGCTGGCGGGCGGGAATGATGAGCCGTCTGACGATTTCCCCAAAAATGGGAATAAGAGGTATGAGTTACTTATTTCGAGTATAGCTTTCGATGGATGTGATATTCATGTTGCACTTGGCTGGCTGTTGACGTTTGAAGCAATTGGGAGCTGTACGAAGCAGTATAGTTATCACAATTCTTAAACGTATTTGTCACTCTACCGGTCAAAACCCCTTGTGATTAATTGAGCCAAGCTTAGATCACCAAGTATATTTTGGTCAAATTTCGATGCTTCGACACACCATACATTATCGTAATTGTGATTTGATGACCGAAATTTCAGTCTTAAAAATGAGGACATTCTAATGTTCAAGAAACACTGCAACCTGGTTCACACAGTGAACTGGAAACGCTCCGGTACTAAGCTTAGTCTAGACTGGGAATACTAAACTGATTTTATTCCAAGGTAGATATGTTTAGGAATTAGCTTGACTTTCCTTTTCAGGAAGAGAAAGAAAAGATCTATTATTTCCCTTGGCATCAAAAGAAGAAAGATTAATTCACATATAAACTTTTTGTTTTTTTGTCAATAGTTTTATATTTTAGCACAGTTAGTTAGTTAGTTAGTAAAATATTTATTAAAGTCTCACACTGTAAACAATATACATACTAAAATAGCAATAATTAACAGTCCCGCCGGCTTCGGCGTATGAGACTCAAGAAAGCAATGTAAAAATATATCAAAAATATGCTCAGATGTAAAAGTTTTAAATATCATATTCTCTTCTATTGCACATTATTTAATGTATAGTTTTTGCCAATGGTCTTTGTAAAATAGAATTGTTCATAATTGAGCAGTGTTTAGCTAGACTAGGATAATGTATTAAAGTCAGTTATTTCATTTTTGCAAAGTTCAATAAAATCCCTTCGTGCACAAGTATGAAGATCACAGTCAATGAGGATATGCATTTCATCTTCGACCCCTTGTCGACACATGCATAATCTTTCTTGAAGGGGAATACCTTGAAACCTGCCTGTTTCAACCTTCAGCGGTAAAGTTCCTGAGCGTAATCTTGCTAAGTTGCTGCGCTCGTGTTTATGCATGGAAATAGTTACATAGTGTTCTGGGTGTGAAGCATGGATTTTATGAAGCCGGTATACTCGTAGCTTATTACCATTTACAGGGTTACGGTTATCGTTCCACAATGCAGTATACCATGACTCGTGTTCTTTTGCAACGAGAATTTCTTTGAATTGTTTCAATTGTATTTTTATGTTTCTTGTTTCAACATGAAAAAGATGTTCCGCTCCATAAGATTGCAGCATATTCAGGGTAGCTTCCTCCCATGAACTTCGCTTACGATAAGAGAATAGGTGGATTTTCTTCATCACTCTAGAATTGTCCATATTTTGTAGCCGACACCATGTACGTGCTATTTCGACTTTTAGCGTCGCTGATATGGGTAAGCATAAAAACATCATCTAATGTAGGCTTAAGTCGGGTAGTTGCACGTTTACAGGTTTGCACTGGGTCAAAAAGGATAAATCTGTTCAAATCCTGTAAATGCTTTCTTGTAAATGTAACCAATAATGAGGTAAATGCATTAAAATATACAAAATGGCATTTACACATAAATGAACTACTGTGCATCAATGGGGATTTATTAAACTAAGATTAATGTGGCTAATGTGTTGGTGTATTTGTGGTGAAAACAAATAAGTTACATCATCGACTGAACGCATCCAACAAAAAGTTGCATTTACCATATTTATGTAAATACACAACATACCATTTATCAAAATCTGTGCTGATGTTCATTAATGCGCTGATGAGCATTTACGGCACATCATTATAGCTTATCAGATTACAAGTAGGTCACAGTTGTAGTGTATGTAGTCGTATGTATATGAAGATTCGAAATAATGTCAGTTAAGATAGGGAGACTTGTCTAAGATTTTTAAATTTCATTTCTGTAAACGGCCACACACCAACTATCAACATGATTCTACGAAATACGATGGTGAAAAGATTTGAGAAATGATGTATGCATAGAACTTATCTTCATCACCTTTGTAAAAAGTAAGTATTTTACCATCTTCAGCATTTAAACTGTTTAAAAGTGGATTGAAGTTTATTATTCTTTTCATGAAACGTTTTTGTAGATACCTTAAAGTGTGACTCAAGACAAAACTTTGGTGACACAAGATAGAATCTTTCATAAAACAATTTAACGAGTATTATTAAATCGTAACACAAGATAGAACTTATGTTGACACAGAATAGAACCTTTTATAATACAATTTAATAAGTATACCTTAAATTGTACCACAATATAGAACCTATGTTGACACAAGATACAACCTATGTTGACACAGGATAGAACCTAGGTTGACACAAGGTAGAACCTTTCATAAAACAATTTAACAAGTACTTTAAATCGTGAGACAAGATAGAACCTATGTTGACACAGGATAGAACCTAGGTTGACACAAGGTAGAACCTTTCATAAAACAATTTAACACGTACTTTAAATCGTGACACAAGATATAACCTATGTTGACACAGGATAGAACCTAGTTTGTCACAATATAGAACCTTTCAGAAAACAATATAACAAGTACTTTAAATCGTGACACAAGATAGAACCTATGTTGACACAGGATAGAACCTAGTTTGTCACAATATAGAACCTTTCAGAAAACAATATAACAAGTACTTTAAATCGTGACACAAGATAGAACCTATGTTGACACAGGATAGAACCTAGGTTGACACAAGGTAGAACCTTTCATAAAACAATTTAACACGTACTTTAAATCGTGACACAAGATATAACCTATGTTGACACAGGATAGAACCTAGTTTGTCACAATATAGAACCTTTCAGAAAACAATATAATAAGTACTTTAAATCGTGACACAAGATAGAACCTATGTTGACACAGGATAGAACCTAGGTTGACACAAAGTAGAACCTTTCATAAAACAATTTAACACGTACTTTAAATCGTGACACAAGATAGAACCTATGTTGACACAGGATAGAACCTAGTTTGTCACAATATAGAACCTTTCAGAAAACAATATAATAAGTACTTTAAATCGTGACACAAGATAGAACCTATGTTGACACAGGATAGAACCTAGGTTGTCACAAGATAGAACCTTTCAGAAAACAATATAATAAGTACTTTAAATCGTGACACAAGATAGAACCTATGTTGACACAGGATAGAACCTAGGTTGTCACAAGATAGAACCTTTCATAAAACAATATAACACGTACTTTAAATCGTGACACAAGATATAACCTGTGTTGACACAGGATAGAACCTAGGTTGACACAAGATAGAACCTTTCATAAAACAATATAACACGTACTTTAAATCGTGACACAAGATATAACCTATGTTGACACAGGATAGAACCTAGGTTGACACAAGGTAGAACCTTTCATAAAACAATTTAACACGTACTTTAAATCGTGACACAAGATATAACCTATGTTGACACAGGATAGAACCTAGTTTGTCACAATATAGAACCTTTCAGAAAACAATATAACAAGTACTTTAAATCGTGACACAAGATAGAACCTATGTTGACACAGGATAGAACCTAGGTTGTCACAAGATAGAACCTTTCATAAAACAATATAATAAGTACTTTAAATCGTGACACAGGATAAAACCTATGTTCACACAGGATAGAACCTCAGTTGACACAAGATAGAACCTTTCATAAAACAATTTAACAAGTACCTTAAATCGTGACACAAGATAGAACCTATGTTGACACAGAATAGAACCTAGGTTGACACAAGATAGAACCTTTCATAAAACAATATAACAAGTACTTTAAATAGTGACACAAGATAAAACCTATGCTGACACAGGATATAACCTAGGTTGACACAAGAAAGAACCTTTCATAAAACAATATAACACGTACTTTAAATCGTGACACAAGATATAACCTATGTTGACACAGGATAGAACCTAGGTTGACACAAGGTAGAACCTTTCATAAAACAATTTAACACGTACTTTAAATCGTGACACAAGATATAACCTATGCTGACACAGGATAGAACCTAGGTTGAAACAAGATAGAACCTTTCATAAAACAATATAGTAGATACTTTAAATCGTGACACAAGATAGAAATTATATTGACACAGGATAAAACCTAGGTTCACAAAAATAGAACCTTTCATAAAACAATTTAACACGTACTTTAAATCGTGACACAAGATATAACCTAGGTTGACACAAGATAGAACCTTGCATAAAACAATATAATAAGTACTTTGAATCGTGACACAAGATATAACCTATTTTGACACAGGATAGAACCAAGGTTGACACAAGATAGAACCTTTCATAAAACAATATAACAGGTACTTTAAATTGTGACACAAGATAGAACCTATGTTGACACAGGATAGAACCTAGATTGACACAAGATAGAACTTTTCATAGAACAATATAACAAGTACTTTAAATCGTACCACAAGATAGAACTATGTTGACAAAGGATAGAACCTAGGCTGACACAAGATAGAACCTTTCATAAAACAATATAACACGTACTTTAAATCGTGACACAAGATAGAACCTATGTTGACACAAGATAGAACCTAGGTTGACACAAGATAGAACCTTTCACAAAACAATTTAACAAGTACTTTAAATTGTGACACAAGATAGAACCTATGTTGACACAGGATAGAACCTAGGTTGACACAAGATAGAACCTTCCATAAAAGAATATAACAAGTGTACCACTTGTGTTTGTGTTACAGGTTATTTGATGCTACTGATGATGAAATGCTCAGAACAGCTCCGCAAACCCGAGAATAGAGCTGGCGTCGTAGTGGCCATAGGAATTTATGGATTTAATCATCAAATCTAATGTAAGGAGTAAGTTTAAATTGCATTATATTGAACAAGTTCAGTCCTTTTTGAGTTTGTTGGTTCATTACTTTGTTAAAGATTAACTTCACGAATTGAACTTCCGGCTGACGATCTAACCTTCTTTATTCGTTAGCCGGAAGTTGAATTCCCGAATGCCCCGTGGGTTTGTTTTGTGGAATACTAGTCAGTTGTATTTGGTAGCATTCGCAGATTCAACTGCCGACTGACGCCGTTGTATACTTGTTATGGGAAATTAATCTTAGTATGAATGGAATAATGGCAGGCCATATTCATGATTAAATGAATGAGTTGGTCATGAGTAGTATATCAATCCGTCAGCCGTCAGATGAATTCTCAGAATTAACCTTTAACCTTGATTTTCTAATATTGATGTTTACACTTTTATTTGTAGGTGAGCAATACAGATTGCTCTCTGCAATCAAGAACAAGTCAAAACAGGTGGCAGCTAACAAAAGAGGCCACAAAAATAGGAAATAGGAGAAAGCTTTAGAAGCAGTTTACAAGAATGAGAGACAAGACAAACAAATAGTTGAGATTCCTTACATTACAAAGTTTGGTTGATCATCCATCTATTTAAGACATTGTTCAACTCAAGGGAAATGTATAAAAGCATTCAGTTGAGACACTACTCTAGTCTAAAACTCAGAGATACGTATCGCAACAATATGTTTGTTTCAAAATTAAATAATTTTTTATCTTTAATAAATTATATGATTCATTTGATAATTAACTGTCTGTGTGTTGTTAAACATTAAAACTTCCAAAGGCCAAACATTGCTACAAATCTACCCTAAGCTAGCATCAAATTAAAAAATCATCCCTTCCCCACTGACACCCCTCCCCCCGGGAACAACCGGATGCCTCTCAACGATTTAATAAATCCTAGATATGGATTTATGATGAATGTATTTAAATCCCTAGTATGCTTAAATTTATCTGCATTAAATGTGTCTCAATTTGATAAATACCTTGATGTATTTACCGATGTTAGTTAATTACATAACTGGTTCAAAGTTGAAACATGTGTTAGATCGGTATTAATGCTTCACAAGTGCATTCTATGTATTTATAACCCACATTAATAACTTATAAATACGTAACAAATGTTTTCTGGATGTGATGTAAATGCAATATCGGATTTGCACTAGCATTTACTAATGGTATATGAGATAAATACGTGGGAAGGATTTATATGCACTTATCTAAATCAGAGATGTGCATTTATGGAGATTTTTGGTGGTTTACGATAAATGCATAATGGATCCTACGTTAATCCTGTGTATATTTAACATCATTTGACCCAGTGTTGGACGTTTCAATTTGCCTAACAAATACAACACGTTTTTGAGAGATCTTTTCTTTTTGACTTTTGCACGTTGGTGATGATGTGCCTTTTTTTTAATATATCTCATAACTTAGAAGAGTATCAGTTCAAAAAAATACTAGATGGCTTATTCATTTGGCAATTCAGTTGTAAATATTCTCTTGAAAAAATAAATCTTCCAAATTTGTTGAGTTTTCTTTCAGAAATCGCCTAACCCCCCCCCTCCATCCATTTTGTACGATCACCGGGTGTGCTCTGTACCAATTCTTGAGAATGAAATAAAATGTCTTTCCGAACCTTGCAATTGTTGGAACAAAGTAGCATACAAAACATTTTCTTGGACCTCTCAATATTATATAGTTATCACAGATACTAGTTTTCTGCATGAAAAAAATCAAAATTCTGCAAAAAATTCTGCAAGAAAAAAAGCAAATTCTGCAAGGAGAAAATCGAAATTCTGCACAAATTTTCAAAAAAAGTCCAAATTCTGCAATCTTTTAAAACGATGAAAAACGGAAACGGAAGTCACCTACTTTCTAGGTAAGAACTGCGCGTCATTAGCGAACTCGCTTTAGCGAATTTAAACATGATAGAATGTTGAATTTCACTGTGAAATCTTACTTGTACTCAATAATGATTGATTGTTGGACATAAACAGACACTCTTCAAATACCCCGCAAAGGTAGGAGATCGTAAAATATGTAATTTCTGGAAATTCTGGTAATTCCGCGGGATTTTCATGAAAATCAGGGATTCTGCAAAAAATTGAAGTTTTGTCAAATTCCGTCCACGCCGCGGAATCACGGAATACTAGTATCTATGAGTTATACAAAGGAAATTGGGTTGATTTAACAAAAGTATTCAAAAAATTAAAACAAACCCCCCAAAATATATAAAAATTAAGATAAAGCTAGTATTTCGTGAACCAAACTTTCCTTTGTACAATTACGATATTGGACTGATAGTGTTCTTAAATTTAGGGTATGTGATTTTATTTCTTTATAGACATACGCATTGTATGTCCTACAAAACAAAGGTGTTCGGCGTCAATAAATTGACGGTGTTCGGCATCGAAAGAAGTATCAAAATGGGAATATAATTCTAAGATACAGTTTTGATCAGTGAATTTTAGCTACATTTTCATTTGTATTGATTGCAATTTATTTCTAATTTGTACTCAAATGTGTCATTTTCTAAGTTAAATATCAAGTATAGATATAACATGACATTCTGAAACATAGATTTTAGTAGGTTACAATGATGTGTAATAAAAATAACAATTGCACGATTTTGACATACAATAGTTAACATTCAAACTTTAATGTCGGCAGAGCCATAGTGCTGCCATCTTAATAAACTTCGTCGAACTTCCTAAAACATTAAATGAGAAGTGTGACGAGATGACGAGATGACGAGTGGAATGATAATGACAAAATCGCCGATCTTAATTTTTGAAATGATGGAGCTAAGTTAAAAATTGGGATATTTCTCCTCTTGCTTTTGCAATTCAGGTTTTGCAGAGAATCGAACTCCCGTGCAGTGATATATCACTGCGGCGGGCAGGTGTCTCACCGTAAGCATGGTAACATCGTAATAAACAACTGACGTGATTGGTTCTAGTCCCATGCTCAGGTCGCGTGATTGTAAAATTTAGACAATTTCATTGGTTGAACTGCGCGTATTAACTAATAAACAACACGTGCGGTAAACTTTTATCAACACAACTTTTACTCAGAATTCCTTCCGCGGGAATTTGCTCTTATATTTCATTGATTTTGGAATATTTTGACAAAATAATTATTGGTGAACATAAAAAAACATATTTTTTATAAGTTGTGTGAAATACAAGCACATCTGTGACAAAAAGGGGGACTATCTTCCCCAAATTTTGGGGATTCCATAATCTGCCCGCCGCAGTGTCTATACCGAGACACTGCATAGGAGTTCGGCAGAGAATATGCAAATTTAAGCACGGACAATTCTCACCAATTCAGTGAATTCACCGGTATGACTTAGCTAGTTCCGAAAAATAAAAGAGCACCTTTTACAAATCCTGGCTCAGCCACTGGCTATTGAACACGAGATGGCAATAAATGATACGAGTCTCTGGAGAAAAATATACACCAGTCTTGCAATTTATCTAGTAAAAAATGCGAACGAAGTGTATCTCACCGTTCGGAAAGCAATAGCATTTTCATGAACAGCCCAGTATATTATTCGGGTTACATTTCTGAAATCTATTTAAGATACGTTACCTTTTACATAATGGTCTTACTATATTCCTAATGTAATTAAACAATTTATTCAGATTTCGTGTGTCAGATAAATTTTGATTTGTAAATGTATTCTTTGATGATATTATTGTCGAAAAACTAATATTAGGTGTGTCATGTAAACCAATTAAGAATTTTTTTTAAATTTTCCATTATATTTTTTATTTTACTGTAAGAATCAGTCACGCAAAGCAAGATTTGGATGGTAAAATAAGTGTACGTATGGAGCCAAGCATATGTATCTACAGGGCGTTCAATAAGTATTGCTAATTTTGTTATAACTTTTGTTATCTTGGTTTTTTCTTCATGAAATTTTCACAACATAAACATGTCTATTAGACTTCAAGATGTCCCTGTCCTACTAGGGACATCTCGCATACCATTGAATAGATTGTCGCAGAATTCTGCACTCATAAATGTTAAAATTATGATGTTAGTTGGAGACCTACCCTTTATTTGACCAGCCCACTTCTTTCCTGTCTCATACAGTTGAAATTGTAATTCTTGAGTTCTTAATTATCGCAAATCCTTCATTCTATAAGTATAATGTCCGAGCAATTTCAACTTAGAAATTCTGGTTTCTCTGGTCGTTATGCAAATCTATATAACACCAAGAAACGGAATTATTATAATAAGATTTGGCTAAAGCTACTAAACGTGTAGCGAGATATCATATTCTTTTCATATATTCATATATATTCATATAATTTATATATATATTCATATAATTGTCCGCTTATGTTATTAAACTAGTATTGAAATAATGATTTCGATTAGTTAAACATGTGATTAGTTTGACACGCATGCGTTTAAAGAGGATTTTAATTTTCAAAAATTTTGACAAAAATCTCCTAATTACTCATGAAATACTAAATTACTTCACTAAAAACGTAGCAGAGTGATTTCGGAGCATTCAAAGATAGGGTAGGTGCATAGTTTATTGCAGTTTGCTGCTGCGTCATTATAAATATAGGTATGCGTAATGGCCATGATGATATCATTGGGAAAGGCTAGACTTTATGGTCAGAATAGAATATGATAGAATTTCTATCCAAAATTCCGGAAACCCAACTTAGTATTGACAAAGTTATGGTTACTATGGTAACCATTGTCACGGTTACGCGGGGCAACATAAGGGTTTACATGATGAATTATTGTTATACATCAAATAAACACTTTGATAAATAAAAACTGTTGATATGGTCAAATGGACGAGAGTAAATCCTATAAGGCATATGGTATATTATTGATGTTTGACCAATCAGATTTCAGCATTTGGTTCAGCCCTTGTCAGAGAAATATTTTGTGATTGGTCAAACATCAATAATATACCATATGCCGCATAGGATTTACTCTCGTCTACTTCCTGCGAAAGCTATGTGGATGTTGACATAATAGCTTTCCCACGGCACACTTGGACAGCTGAATAATAGTGACCTTTAAAACATGAATAATGAGATCCGCAGCTTACTTTTGGTCTCTAACTGTGTCTTACATCAGTATCATCAATCCGTGCAAGTATTGGATTGCTGAAATACGTCTTTTTCAATCAAGACTTGTAAATTGTACATCAAGTAAATGTTTTTCGACCCATTTCCAATATGGCGGTTTGCTAGGAGCGAGATACGGCTTAACACAACCAAATGCTATAACATGCGTATTCCCATCTAAATGATTTGTCTTTCAAAGAAAACTAGGATTTGTGGACATGTTTTGCTATCATGCCATCATACCCCAGTATGTCCTCTGTCAGTCAAAAAAGTGAACCAAAACTCTCCACTAAAATCAAAAGATCAATTGTCACTCTGATTTTGACAGATGGAGGCAGGTCAAAAAGGTCAAATTTCTTAAAGAAAATGCACCTCAATCACATCAAATCATGTGTTAGAGAAGAGTTTGTTCATACATACACTTCTTCATTCATGTACTTACCAAAGTCCAACCACTGGTGATGCTAATATTATTACAATAATTGGACTATATTCTTGTTTTTAAAATGCCATCTATTTGTCTTCCCATTCGGCGGAAGGATTAATTCATTGCTTATGACCAAGTCTAGGAAAACATAGGGCAAAGATGGCATAGCGGTCAAATTTCAGCTTGAAAGTCCTTCCGATACACCTGGAAGATTATGATGAATTTATATCTTGGATTTCGTATCTACGCAAAGTTGCTCATTTAGATGAAAATTATCGACTGCGCATGCCAGAAAGTACAAAATAGAAAAACTTTTGAAAAGTTTCCGCTATCCATACTAAATCGCCATTACAATAATAAATAGAAGATCTATATAAGGTATTATGTTGATGATTATGTCTTGTTGATATGAAAATTGTAAAAAACAGTCATAAAGTAGATTGAGCTAGTAAAATTAAATGTTATCATAACAATCGGGCTAGCAAGATGTTAGAGCAACTACCTTTAATGTGATCAGTGGCTTACTTTTGGTCTTTCCATCCATTTGTGCAAGTATTTGAGTGCTGGATTACTTCTTTGTTGATCAAGACTTGTAATTGTTCGTTGAGTGAATGCTTTTTCTTCTCAATTCCAATATGGCGGTTTTTGCTCGATAATTTACACAAATCTCCAGAGGTTTTCCGAATGATCTAACTATGGAAATACCCCCAAACTTAGTTATGTCATTCATAAAACCACCTCATATAGACAGATTTTGCTGTATTTAATTATCTCCATAAAATACTAATTTTTCCTTTGCATTTGTAATTTCAGTCTGGCAGATTTACTTCAAGTAGGATTCCGCATAGCACACTGGGTTGGTTTAGTATCCATCTCCTGCAATGTCAGATACAGAGGAGAATGATATACTGACAGACATGGTTAACCATTCCATGCCTGCTGACCCCACTAATTCACTAGAAACAATGGGGAATCTTGGTCTAACTCAGGAACTCATGCAAGAGATAATCAAAGCTAAAAAAGCAACTCCTGGAAATTTTGCAAGTTATTGGGAACTTGATGAACAAGATGTGAATGAAGCAACGATGGAGGAAATAAATGCGTCCGATAGTTTGAAAATGTTATGGGCTGCGGAGAATAACAAATGTGCTATAATTGAGGACCTATATGAAAAAGATGACAGTTTAGTGAATACATCAGATGAGGACATGTATACACCATTACATAGGGCATCCTATGAGGGGAACATTGAAGCCGCAAAATTGCTCATTACAAAAGGTGCCAAAATAGATGCTAGGACAATCGATGGCTGGCAGCCTCTACATAGCGCTTGTAGATGGAACCAAACTTCTGTAGCTGCATTACTTTTAAATAATGAAGCAGATATCAATGCTCAAACTAATGGTGGACAGACTCCATTACATTTGGCTGCATCAGAAAAGGATAGCAGGGACACTTTGGAACTATTGCTTATGAACAAGAGCATTAATACTCATCTTAAAAATAATGCTGGTGAAACTGCTAGAGAAATATGTAGGAGGATGAATGACTGTTATTTTCTATTTGAAATAGAGGATGAAAGTTTGCAAGGAATTGAATAAAGTATTGCTGAAATAAGGATTGGTGTATTTTTGTACATGTGATGACATTTAATAGTATGGCAATATCACACCTAACCATCGACAAGGTACAGTGACAAAATATACTGTTGTACACTTTCGATGTACGGTGTCACTATTCTAACTGATATGAAGAAAAAACTATGATGCAGGTGTGATGTAGGTTTTAAAAATTAATCTGAGGAATACATAAAGAATGTCATATTTGATTCTGTGTGTATTCGATTTGGAAGACTTAGCATTCTGAATACTTAAAAGATTTTTGAGCAGTGCTTGTTTTTTTGTAGTAAATCTACCCACCATCAAAGATTAGTTAGAAAATGTTGTTTTTTTCACATTTCCTTTGATAATTTTTTCCCCTGAAAGTAAAGTTGGTTGTCGATTTAATAAATATTCATGTTTTGGCCAAAATAATAAAAAAAATCACAAGTGTACGTTGTCATCTCGATGTACGTTGTCCCATTGAACTTTCGGAATTCACAGGTAACCCTAATGTAGACAACGTATTTTTAATAACACTAATGGACAGTGGGATCAGATTCATTTAAAACTGAAACTGAACAATCACAGTATTACTTCAACTTTATTGAAAGATTGAACCTCCGAACTTTCGTGATATAGCATAAATAGGATTTGAAACAGTCATTTTCAACAAGCTAGTATAGATCTCTCTATCAACTTCTTGAAATTATTGAAATTCATAAAAGTGTATCTTTTAAAGTTAAAGTACTGACGCCAAATGATCACATATTAATCACCGCATCAACACTTTTATAAAATAAAATAACATTCAACAAGATTTCAAAATCAAATTTACCTTATCTTTAGAACATCTGTATTAGGGTTATTGTACATGTTCGTTGAACATAACTTGTTAATCATTAAAACCTGGATTTTGAAATAAAATTATTGTATTGTTTTATATTACATCTCGTGAATTTCAATAACACTGACACCGTACAGTGGAGTTGACAACGTACACTTCTGTTTTTTTTAAATGATACCCAATATATAATATTTATCAAATCTTCACTCATCCTAAATTGTGTAGTTTAGAGACACAATATTTAATATTCTCATAAAAATAATCGACACTTTTAGGCGACGGGGGAAAAAATGATCAAAGGAAATGTGAAAAATCTAACATTTTTCAACCGATCAATTTCTGTGGGTAGATAAACTTCGAAAAATCGAGTATTGCTTGAAAATCTTTTAACGTAATCAGAAAGCTAAAAGTCTTCCAAATCGGATACACACGGAATCAAACATGTAGTTTGTAGGATTTTCTCTTACAAAACCATTAAAAACAGATGTTTATTTTTAAATTGTGATATAGGGAGCTAAAGGAATATATTATTGTAAGAGAGTCTGCAGCCGAATATGTTTGCGTGTATATTGCAATATTCAATATTGCAAAATCAAACAAACTCGACCAAGTCTCTTATAATCTGGACTATAAATAGAAGAAGATCATTATCGATAATAAAATGTCAATAAAATATCTTAGTGTTTTGAACCAATAAAGCTTTAATGTGAGTAATATGTGAACATTACAAGATATTAATTTGATCGTACTCAAGAACATGCAGTAGAACATTATATGTATGATTTGAACAGTCATTAGGGAGTTTAAGCTTGCATGTAAATAGAAACGCCAACCTATACGTATTCGCCCATTCAAATACAGGGCTCAAATATGTTCCGTTCACCTTTAAGTTGTGAAAAACATTGCAAGCTTAAACTCCCGATTGTTTCAAAATCAACATCAAAAAGCTTGTTTTTTCGTTTACAGAAAAACGGCAACTGCGACAGCAGGATTCTCATACTCATCACATCTTTCTGTTTTTAACTGGAATTTCTAGGAACTAATAGAAGGCCATGATTTCTCACGAACGGGACCAAAATGATGAAACCTTGAATTTTTAAAAATAATTCATGGAAAAGTTATTGAATATCTCCCTTCTACGTACACATATCAGGCGAAATGTACATGGTACCGTATGTGGCACGGGCGTAAAAAGGAATGTGACGTTTCCCAACAAAACTGACAAGGTATTAACATGCAAAATGTCACCACCTGCCGTTTATTATAGATGGCGACCACCAACCGCCGAACTCCGGCCACAAAAAAGTTTGCGACTATAACAACATGTCACCACTTCTGTTGGTGACATAAAAATGAAGGCGAGTATTACGTATACGAGTCTTACATCTCATCAACCTTTTTGCCTCGGCCTCTTTCAATTATAGATATAGATGATGGCTATGCCCTTTTATATGAATTAATAAAGTCCAGTTGTTTATACCGTTCGAATCATTCTATTTGTTAGACAATTTTATTACCAATTTACAGTATTATAGGCTGTAAAATAAAACTCTAAAGTGATATTTAAAAGTGATCGGCTCATTGATTAATTTAATGAATTTAAACGATAGTCTAACGAACTGACATTTATAATATAATTATTTACATTATCACCCTATGCAGACAGAGCCTGTGGGAAATATTGGGTGCGGCGCAAATGAGCGGAGGGTGCGGAGCTAACGGTCATTTTTGAATTTAAAATTGGGATATTTCTGAAACTAAGCCGTTTTGGGACTTCAAATATACCAAGATATGTGTATTTGACACCAAATATCAATAAAATTGTGAAAATAGTATTGCAATTCATTTTATAGCGACGCAGTATGCCTTAAACATTTCCCAGACCTATATATTTTGAGACTATCCTTTTAATACTGCGTCCCCAGCATTCATAAAAAATGGTGTTCAAGATACACTACCCATGCAAATTATTTTTGCATCTTGGAAGCCAGGCAGTATCTGTGTGATTTTATAAAAATTCGGAAATGTTCTTCAGATATGAGCCCCCTCTAAATATTGGGTGCGGAGCTACGTTTATGGAGCTGCTCCGCACCCAATATTTAGAGGGGGCTCATATCTGAAAAAATTTCCGAATTTTTATAAAATCACACAGATACTGCCTGGCTTCCAAGATGCAAAAATAATTTGTATAGATAGTGCACCTTGAACACCATTTTTTATGAATGCTGGGGACTCAGTATTAAAAGGATAATTTCAAAATATATAGGTCTGGGAAAGGTTTAAGGCACACTGCGTCGCTATAGAATGAATTGCGCTACTATTTTCCCAATTGTATTGATATTTAGTGTCAAATACATATATCTTGGTATATTTGAAGTCCCAAAACGGCTTAGTTTCAGAAATATCCCAAATTTAAATTCAAAAATAACCGTTAGCTCCGCACCCTCCGCTCATTTGCTCCGCACCCAATATTTCCCACAGGCTCTGTCTGCATAGGGTGATTATGCTGTAGGTCGATCTTAGACTAACTACATGTGTACTCATACATTTTCTTCGTTTTGATTGTTTGCCTTTTGTGCGGCTCGCATAACCACTTGTTTCCAATTCGCTTAAATAACCTTTTTTTGTAACATCCTGATTGAGCCTCTGGAAGGAATTATCTTTAATTTTTCTCAAACAGAGGTTGATTTGTTTGCTAATATTTTACTGAACGATTGATTTGAAATACACAATTCAACTCTATGCTAAAGGTGAAAACGAAGACATGCGAAAATTGACTATGTATCGACTGTTTATAACTACATCGATCTGATCTGGTCCAGCATATATCTAGAACACTAAGATATAATTGCACTTTGGACGACAATCAGTCTCACAAGGGTGCCCAAACATTCCATTTTGCCACCATAACTACAATGGATGCATTTGCAGTTTCTATGATGCAAACCTCAAATATGAATGACAATGACATCCTTCCTTTACAAACTCCAGAAATCCTATCTCCGATTTGCTTTGAACATGGGTGTGCAGACCCGTAGCCAAAATTTGCAAAGGAGGTTTGCTTTTGTGAAATTTCGATGGGGTTCACATTGATAACTTGACTCAAAAATGGCCAAAATCACCTGAAAAGTACTCAGAATATATGGTGAAAACTGCATGATTTTGAAAGAAATCTTGGCCGGGGGGAACGGGGTTACTCGAACCCCCTTGGCTACGGGCCTGGTGTGGTTCTTCATTTGAGTATTTACCTATACTGAATTGTAAATCAAAGGGCGTCACTTTGTTCTTGTAAAAACAATGCACAATTTGGGAAACCCGCACAATCTGCTCGAATGCAACAAGTGTTGTTAACAACACAGCTATTCAGAGTCCAGGCATTGCTAAAATCATTAACAATTTTACAAATATATTTAAGGCACCCTTTAGTATGTGTTCTAAACAAGTCTTTCTTGTCGCAAGTAGCTCCCTCGCCTACTTCAGGAACTGCTGGGGATGTTTCTGCTGTTCGTGAAGTTGTTGTATCATTAAGGGGCAGTGTTGAAATAGAGCTTAATTCCGTTATAACGGACGTTGAGTTTACGAATAATGTGCCCTGAGTAATTGGTGTATTTGTTGTTCTTATGTAAGTCGTTTCTGGAAATTGTGTATTATTAAATTTTTCTATACTTTTTGTAGTTGTTTCACTAGTTATTTCGGTAGACTCAGTCATAGTTTCACTCGGATATGTTTTTACTTCTATCGTAGTATTGAGTATTTCAGTAGACGGTGTTACTGTACTATTAATTCCTGTAACTGAGTCTATTGTACTATTTAGACTTGCAATTGTAACATTATATGTTTCAGTCGATTGTTTTATAGATTCACTTGTACTTTTGGGTATTTCAGTCGACTGCGTTGTAACACCAACTGTTGTTTCGTCAGATGTAGCTTCTGTTCTATTTGATGTAATGTCACTTGGTACTGTTGTTGTAATACTTATGTTACTACTATCAGAGGCTGGCGTTGGATGAGGGATTTCTTCAGTCATCGCTGTGCTTCTATCGGTCAAAGGCGATGTATATTCTGCAGTTGTCACATTACTTGTTTCCAGCGTGTTATTTGTTATCTCATCACTAGTCGTTGTCGCAGCAGTTGTTGTCTCGGTACTTGCGTTTGTAGTGGGTGCTCCAGAAGGAGTGGTTATTCCCACCGTTGTCAGTTGGCCGTCTGCAAAGTAAAAAAATTTAGTAACACTAGCGACTACCTATTAATTGTATCATACAAGTATCATACTGTTTGTTATCAATAATGACAAGCTCACATTTGCTTCGATATTCATAGCCGACGTCCAGCGCCGATGAGTATTTTGTTCAAAACTGCATTCAATATTGAACAAAAATACTCATCGGTCGGGCGCCGGTATTGAACATCGGCGAAAATGTGACCTCGGTTTGAAGTGGAACATATCACTCTAGGAATATTATAAGTGAATGATGCATGGATATCAAAAGTGACTTCTTGAAATCATTTCTAACCTCTGTCAGGACATAGTGAGGTTGGCACGTTTTCCGGCCAATCACAATATCTCTTCCATTTGTAATACAGAAGGCCCGTTGGACATATTATAACTTCCGGTTTGTAATTTATGCATCTAATGTAACGTTTACATCGAGTCGTCGCTTGAAATACACCTCGCCTCTTTGGACACTTGTATTCGCTAAGCCCCATTTCTTCAAGCCATTCCTCGTTGGTCTTAATAAGAAGAGCTTCACATAAATGCGGGCGTTTCTCTTTAGCCTGTACTTGGGCACAGCAATCTCTTGATACCAAATAGTCAAATGTTTTCCAAACTAATCGATTTTCGTGTTTAACACATCTTTGATACTCGCAACCGTAATCCACATTAATTTTTCCTGTTCTTGCAGCAAACTTTGAACATCGTTTTGGCATCTCATCTAAAAAACACTTTATATTTTCATTGATTTCTTAAAGAAGATAAATATTTGAAACTTTCCATTACAGAGTATACTAGTACCGTTCGCATTCTTTTGTTTTGATTTAGCTTCCCAGAAGACAGCTTTTTCTAATTTAGAGCTAACCTCTGTGGTCAGGGTAAGCATATTGCATAGGTATAATCTACATCGTCCTTACCTTCCATGGGCTTGCATTCAGTGTCCCCCTCGACCCTCCACCGACACCTCCCTTCCTTGAACACCATGTTGTAAGGACACCGTTTGTGTTTGGGAATACCTTTCTTGCACTTGTAATAATTGCAACAGTCTTTGCTCAGTGGATCCGCAAAAAGACCAAATATTTGAGGACACTTGAAGTCTGGATCGGGAACTGATTTTGCGGAAAGGCTGCCGCTTAACGACTCTACAAAAATATGAAAGTAAATGACAACAAAATGAGAACGCACGTGTCTTTTTGAGTTCCTAAATTGAGTCTATCATGGTTATTTTTCTACATTATAGTATCATAAAGGCAACTACTCAGCTCAATTTTACCGCTAGTGTCCCGCCAAAAGAGAATCAAGATGGAGGCTTCTGCACGTGTTCAATTTAAAGCAGAGTATAGTTCTGACTGCCAACTTCTTTGAATTAAAAATACTTCATTAAACCATCTTATCACATTAAAATACTTACCGAGTAATATGTAGATTGTAATCCACACACATGGGGATGTCGTAAACTTTATTTTGAACATAGTGCGAGTTCGTTTCATTGCATCGCCGTGGTAGGTAAAAGTGTTGATTTCATTTTCACCGATCTTTTTCGATCTTGAATTAGAAATACTCCATTTGCTTAAAATTTCCCCTTTCCATTTACCTGGGATATCATTCGTGATGAAAGTCCATTTTCATAAAAAAGTTTTATCCGCTTTCAGATTCAAATCTAATTAGATCACACTCGAAGCATTTTGTAACGTTTGTGATGTTGTTCTAAAGTCTGCTTACGGGAGATGAGGCTTGACGAGATTAATTTATATTTTACATTAAAAAAACAAAGGGCAATAAAATGGTTAATTAATCGCATATAAAAAATTATATATAAAATATAATTGATCGATTTAGACTGTCCTGACTAATTGCTCAACATTCAGCGACGTATTTATTGAGGCGTTTTTCTTTAATTGGTCCGACGTTACATGTGCAAAAATTCTAATTGGGTTCAACACATTTTCCTACATTTACACAAGATTAGAAACAAGGAATTGCTTTAAAAGTAAAAGGGGGTTTCAAATTCATTATTACTTAAAATAAGTTTTGAAATGGTGACCTTTTGACCTTCAAAATGTCAAACAGCTCCGCCAGATGTCGAGTCCTGCCAATGGCGACAGGGTCGGCCGTGTATAGGGTGCGGAGGTGCATAGAGTATTTTAGTTCGAAAAGCTGAAAAGTGAAGTTTTATTTGGTAGTCTGGTCATAGATGTTTAGTTTTATTTCCTCACATACTAGAAATATTTTGATTTTGAACAAAAATTCTGTGATGAACCCACATACAGTAACAGTTTCTTCGATGGATATCGAACGTGATGGGCGTATTTAAGCACGTCTTAATCTTTCTTCTCTTTTATAATTTTCAAAGATAGAATTTGGCACAGATACGATGAAAAGGTGGCATCATGTTAGTTAAATGATGATTTTATAATATACCTTCGCCAGGTTGAGGGGGGGGGGGGGGTGGGTGAAACGTGAATTCCCTTGGCAAAAGCCGGGCCTTAATTAACTCATTACACTGCAATATTTTTATTGGCGAGAATCTTAGCATTAAATTAATATTTCTAAAGGGAGTAACTTCGTATCTCTAAAGTGGAGCTTCACTTAAAGAATACGCAATACGATTACTTTTTTTCATGTAAGCCTTTGGATTTTGAGGCGATGGTAATGAACAGAGCACATACAGTCGTTTTAAAATTGGAAGGTAGCTGGAATGTGTAACAATACTTTTTCGGTTGCAGCAAGGTATCTTCGAATTCGTTTTCATCGTGTTATTATTAACACCATGGCAGTAATAATATAAAGAATTTACAACATGGATTTAGATTTATGAACTTTATTACACATGCACACCCATAAAGGGTTAAGTGTACACAAAGTAAACACTAATTTTACAATATATCAATACAACAGAAAACAGTATATATAACAACACACACAATTAGTACTTCATAATAAATAAATAAGTAAATAAATGAACAAATAAATATGTATCATGGATGAGCACATGAATGGTGATTGTGATACGCGTCCATTGTTTATGTCATATATCACACCCTTCTAATTTATGAATAATTCTGCTACAATTCCAATATCTTTATTTTCACAAGACATACAATATTGGAAAAAAGGAAATCGTCATGTTGAAAAGGATAGCCGTGTGATTCAAGTTTATCGAGCATTTGCTTTCTATTATACTGTATTTTTTACATGAAAGCATTATATGCTTTTTCGTTTTCTATGAAATTGCTAACCTCGCAAGTTCATTCATCGATCTTTAATTTTGGGCTTTCGTATCTACCCGTTTCTATTTTTAATTTGTGGTTACTGATTCGAAACTTTGTTAGACTTCGTCGTAAATGCCCATTTCAAATTGAATCTAAATATGGTTCGAACTTGAAATTGCTTTTGGATATTTGGTACGTATTCAGTTTGCGACATTGGTCGGAATTCAATTGATTTCGCCAATACTAGTAATCTTCAAAACTAATTTTTGATTTACAAACAACTTCGGGTGCGTAAATAGTATATTGTTTTACATCAAGTATTATTGATGTTGCTGGGAGTATCTCCTGAAAACGATACTACCTCTAATTTATCCATGACACTTTTAAAATTCAGCATCCACGATATCAATATTAACGAAACTGGAAACTGGCAACGCTTGCTCTCCAATAATACAAAATTAAACAGATTTGCGCAAATTCAGACTGAACTTAAACCAGCAATACATTGGGTAGCTGGCAGGAAATATCCTCTTAAAACATGGGCATTTGCAATACTTCTACATTTGGCTTCAAGGGAACTTCCAGATGACGATTTCAATACGCAGTGTCTGAGGTGCGGTAGAACCACCAATGATACTGTCAAACACATGATAGTAGAATGTCAATTTTTAATTGCATTAAGAAATGAAATGTATGAAAATATTATAAACAGTATCTCTGTGCATCAGTCATGTGAACTCCTAAACAGTGAAGATGACATAATCTTAGAATTTCTCCTTGGAGGACGCTCCGATATTTTGCATACAATTGATGATGCCACATCAATAAAATTGCTTAACATATGTGCAACATACATCAATATGATGATGTACAGATTCACCAACACTTGTTTAGAATAATACTGCACTGGTAGTACAGATCATCTACCTATATTTTTAAAAGAAAGTCACACATCTGTACATACTATGATACTATAAATAGTTTTCTTATTATAATTTTATTTTGATATAGTGTAAATTACTGTTCATTAATGTTGTAAATCTTCATAATGAAGGAAATAAATCAATACAATACACTCCATAAGTTTGGCAACCTTAGCTTCCCCATTGAACTACTTGTCAATTTTTTTCCTCAATTACAATAAGTCGAAAATTCATGATAAATTTGATGAATTTTGGAAAATCGACATTCCCATGTTAACCAATGTGAAATGGTAGGTTTGCCGCAAGTCATATGACAGTCCATCCATCCGAGTCCTTGCAAAAAATTACGAGTTAGGCAGGCAATTGAATTTGCTAACTTTATTTAACAAAAAATTGATATGTTTCTTCAGGTTCAACAAAGTTATAGGGCTTTAAAGTCAAAATTGTTTTTCAAAAAACCTCTCCCATTGAAATGATAATACTAATAATAATTACCTACACTCCTGTAGCTAATATCAAAAGCTAATATTCAAATTGAAGAAGGCCTTGAGAAGGCACATCTATGAAGAAAACGATCCTAAACAACCAATACATGTATCATACCAAGTGTGAGGTCACATTTTCCACGACCATTCTCACACAAGAAAGTGGAAAAATCGGACCATTGTCATACCTCAAAAGTCATAATTTGGGGGCATTCACATACCAGATCCTAAAATTTGGGCCCATCCCCATACCAAATGTCAAAAAGGCACCCTATGTGCCCCAAGAATCCCCGTCAAGATTTATATACAGTGAACTCCCTGGGCATTTAACGAATATCACAGCGACACACCTGACAACTTGGCGGCCTGCATGTGATTTGAATGTAATTCGTAACTATGCATAACTATCATCATAAGAGTCCAACTGAGTTTTCTAAATGATCCCGACAATTTTGTGAAGTACAACTCTCTCTTCTACAGCATTCATCATTCACCTCACACACGTTGTTAAATTTCCATTTGCTTTCTCTTTGATCACAAAAATATTTATAACAATTATCTATAGTTAGGGTGCCAAAACCAGAACAACTGTCTGGCACTCGATTCGTTGTTAATTCTGTCATTTTGGACGTAGTCTCTATAGTAGGAGCTTCTGTAGCATCGGTAATTTTCTTTGTTAGTTTGCTAGTCATCGTTGTTGGCTCTATCTCCTCTGTAGTAATTTCATTTGTAAGTTCCGTAATGATGCCCTCGGTTACAACAGAAGCAGTTGCCCCTTTCACAATAGTAATATCGTTTGTCACTGGAGTAAAAAATGATCTATGAATAATGGGAAAATAAAGATATACTGATTATTGGAGTCACTTCAACACCTGGAATATGCGACAGAAAGCCTTGACAATTGTACCTATATAGTAATATTGACTATATGAGTAGAGGTTGTTGAGTTGTTGAAATAATATTTAATATTTTTTGTCCAGCTTGGGGGAGCAGTTTCAAATGTGAAATACGTGGTTATGCAGTGCAAAAATATAACCATAAAAAGTATCTCCACACAATACAATTTTCTGTGTTCTGTCGTTGCTATAGCAATTATTTTACTCACTGACAGGTAAAATGTGATGTTCAACATCCAAATACTATAAGGAACAATTGTTTCACTATTTATATGATAAAATGTAAGAATATCATGAAATAAAGAGCTAGAGAAATTGTGTTGATACACCAACGTATAAAAATACGAATTTCTGTTAATATAAAATCTATTTATCCTTGTGATGTGTACCATCAAAGTCATACAAGGTCAGGAGTTATGTGAAGAAGTCAGATGGTACTGTCAAATGTTACATTTAGCAGAGATCACTATAATCGATATAATATCCGTATCTAAACAATGTAAACAGAGACACTGATCATATCTTAATACCAAGAAAGGTATCGTTCAATTTAATGATAGTTTCATTAAGATAAAGTACATACTGCCATTAACAGGCTATTAATTTTCATTTACCGGCTGATCCCTATTTTCATCTGACAAGTTTGAACAAAACATTATCATTTATGATTCTATAATTAGGGCATCCTTCAAGATCGGTCCTTCATTGCTTTCATAATAGATCATGTAACGCAATGAATTACTCTTGGGCCAAAGGATGTAATTAGGGCACAAGGATTTTCATGTTTCATGGCACTTAATTCTTGCGAAGACTTACCGTTGGCGAAGCACGAGTCATCATTTTCCCATTCACACCGTCGCTTTTCTGAATTGAAATATAATTGTTTTGGGCACATTCTTAGAGTTGGTTGAAATTTCCTACATGCAATGAAGCGGTGACAATCAGTTGGATCGGGAAATAACCCACGCCTTTTGGAGCAAGTAAATCCACCCATCAAATCAAGCCATTCTTTATTAGTTTTACTCTCAAGAACTTTGCATTCGTCAGCTCTCTGCTCTGGTGGAACGTCGCTACAGCAAGTACGGGATACCAGGTAGCCATGCGTTTGCCACGTGGAATTTTTTCCGTCACAAATTTGGAATTCACAACTGTTCTTTCGTAATCGAATTTTACCAATCTTGCAACTTTGAATTTCTAAAATGAGCAACATTAGTTCTTTTTAATCAATATCATTCCACAACAAACATAGGAATAATTGTTACATTGTTAAAGTCATTTGTAATCATGATTTCAATACAGTTTATATCTTGTAATTACAAACATAAAATGAAACAATCGTTTTGATTCACATTAATATTGAGCATTATATGACAGTCAGGCAATACAACGTCGAGTATATTGGGCAAACTTTGTTGGAAAACATATTGTTTCATATGTGATAGCTGAGTGTAAGAATTCTACAATCATCATATAATGTGTTTGTATTACAGGGGAGCCAAAAATGGTAAAACAATAAAATGTATGTTTATAATTTAGCCATTTAGCATGGGTTTCAAATCATATTTGGCACAATTTGTTTCATTGGTCTGTCTCCAACGGAGAAGAATTAAAGAATGTGAAACAAGGTTTAATTGTGTCAAATTTGACACTTAACCCCTGCTGTATGACGGACGGAGTTATGAACATTTCTTTGGGTAACCTTTTTTGGCTCACCCTGTATTTACCTTTATTATAGTCACACTTGAGGTTTATGGGCTGACATCTGTCGACACAATATTTGTTTAAGAATGGACACGTCATTCGTGTTGCCTCTCCTTTTTTACATGAGTAATATGTATTGTTTTTTAAATTGGTGGTATCTGGGAATTTGCCGTTGGGCTTTGGACATGTAAAGGGAGGTCCTCTTTCAACGAGGGGAAGTCCAGCTGATTGTGGCAGTACACCTGGAACGATAGTAAGGATGTATTAAACGTTTGAAACGTTGGTTAATTCAGATTTTGATATCCCCCCTTTTTATTTTCAGTGTTTTTGTAAGTGAAGAATATCTTCAAAGTTGATCTCATTAATACTAAACTGTTATAATGTAATTTAAACTAAGATATTATAAGAATTATCAATAGGATTAACACATCAATCGATGCAAAACTGGCACGTTCTTAATAAAACAAAGGAAAATATCGCTTCTGGCAAGAGATAATTAATCACAAATATGTGACAATCCCACTTACAATTATGTATTAACATTGGAATAAGATGGTTAAATGAATTACAGATGACATTGATAATGTATATGTAATATAATTATTAATAAATATTCTCCATCAATCACACACTAATTAATAAATATGGTCTATTTTTAGTTGAGTAATAAATATGAATTCTAGTATAAAAGGTTGATACATAGTTAATTAAGTTCGTAGGTGTATTTAGATGTTTGATTTAGGTCCACGTTTCTGGTACAGCTAGTACAACTTGGTTTTCCGGATGGCAGCTTGACTTTCTTTTATTGTGTTTTCACATTTTTGTATTCAATTTTGATACATACATTCTCAAGTAGAGGAAATGTCAAATAAAGAAGATTAGAGTTAAACCAGCAATAGGAAGGATATCGAGCCCGGTGTGAAAGAAAATTATGGTCCCCCAGTGATTATGGTTCCCTTTCGTAACGGCCCTTACTGGCCCTGATTGTGTATGAGATAATAAGGAAAAAAGGTCATCATATAAATCAATGGAGAGTAGGACCCGACCATAAATTAATAGGACCTCCTACCCTTTTATACCGGTCAGACGGATTCGTGGGCTCCATCAATCCCCATCGTCGCTAGCTTTTCAATGGGTCTAGACTCTAGAGACCAGGTGAGGTAGGAACAATCAAAACCTTGTGAATCAAGATGATCGATCCCCCTGAGGAGTCAGTCATATCAGGTATATGGAAAGGGTTTCATTCCGTTGTGCTCTTACTGCATATTATCCAATCACTCAATTCAGTAACAATTAAATTATGATTATGATTCGTATTTTGGGTTGAACAGCGAAGAGTGCAGCAGATTTGAGATGCGCTCCGATAAATCAGAGTGAATTGAATATATTAAGTTAATTTTAGGAGTGCCTTAAACACATCTTATTTGTATCTTATGTCAAGGTTCCTTCACAAAATGAATGTGTAAAGTACTATTCAGGCCCGAAGCCAGGGGAAGGGGTTCGATGGGTTCGAGCGAATCCCGGCCCCCCTGGCCATTGAAGATTCTTTCAAATAATGTAGTTTTCACCATTCTGAGCAAAAAATGGCCAAATGTGATTTTGGCCATTTTTGGACCAAAATTGTCACAAGTGAACCTCCCCTGGATTTTTTCAAAAAGTGACCCCCCTTGGGAAATCCTGGCTACGGGCCTGGACTATTCACATTGACTCTTAGTCATATATCAAAATTGAACTATTTATGTCGATGACAGTATGTTACTATATTTATCTATTGCATTCAAGGTTAATATCAAAGGTTTGTGAGAATATTTTATTCCTATTGGTCTAGATGTACTGACTCAATTACACAGATATTTATTTACTTATTACCTTCCCGGTGTATGTACGCAGTCTCATTCCTGACACTGTAAATCGTTGGTATTAAAAGAAAACCGCAAACGACACTCTGAACACGTGTTGACTGTTGTGTCATTGCTTTGTCTATTAATATACACAGCGATTTATAAATAATGTTTACATAATTCATTTATGAATGAATTATTTTCACAATTTAAATTGATGTCCAGATAGTACTTATTGGCAATATACTAATTTCACACCTTGTACTTAATATTATGCATTTTATTCATAAATGTATGTATTAACGTATTGCCATTATTGTCATGTAAAAATAAAGGATGTTTCGTCCATGATTGATTGTACTGTATTTCCTACAATAGTGCACAAAGGAATAACTAGTACATTAAAATTTGTGTCTAATAGATTCTTAACACATATAATTAGTAGCCCGAACAGAACTCCAAGTGATAGTGGTAAATTATAAACATCATCGGATATGTTCCCGGAACATATAGTATGCAGACCGATCATCTTAATCACACGTGTTCTTCAGTTCCTCAAAATATCTTTTGGGTCATAGGTGTGCTACCAGGCAAGTACGAGGACACATTACAACCGTCAGTACTTTTTTACGGGGTACTAATGTTATGAAACATTTACAAATCAGTGTCACGTGTATAAACACATGCATGTGATTCGGCTGGTAGTTCAGTCAGTGGCCTATAAAATTTTAACTTTATAGTTACACATTAAACTCTGTGACATGAAAATTTCCAGTTCCTTTCGAGTTAAAACTGACATACAAAACTAAATTAGACCATCAATACCTATATTGATGGCAGTTACCGTACTTTTAATACCCTTTGCATTCGTTTGACTACACTTCTTAAAAGAGAGCTTCGTCTTCAGTTGTAGTTTAACTAGACTCTGCACGCAGGGTATACTTTTAACAATGAGTTTTAATGTCCGTACTTTAACAATAATGTCCGTACTATAACAATGAGTTTTAATGTCCGTACTATAACAATGAGTTTTAATGCCTGTACTATAACAATAAGTTTTAATGTCCGTACTATAACAATGAGTTAAATGTCCGTACTATAAAAATAAGTTTCAATGTCCGTACTATAACAATGAGTTTTAATGCCTGTACTATAACAATAAGTTTTAATGTCCGTACTATAACAATGAGTTAAATGTCCGTACTATAAAAATAAGTTTCAATGTCCGTACTGTAACAATGAGTTTTAGTGTCTATACTATGACAATAAGTTTTAATGTCCGTACTATAACAATGAGTTTAATGTCCGTACTATAAAAATAAGTTTCAATGTCCGCACTGTAACAATGAGTTTTAGTGTCTATACTATAACAATAAGTTTTAATGTCCGTACTATAACAATGAGTTTTAACGTCCAAGTGAGGTTCTGCCTGAATAACAATTTGTAGCTATGTTAACAATAAATAGTTCATTTACCTCACTTACCTATGTATAAATAAACTAAGCTCCATTGCAATAGGTAAGTTAACGTTATCTTCTTTTGTTCCACTGCCATCGTTATGTTAAGTTTCCGTCCTGTCCAGTATGTTTTCACACTTTAGTTCTGCAGACCTTTCCTTTTGTGCTCTTTAAATTTGTAGGCGAAAAATTACAGCTAGACAAACAAACGTCGTAATTCCGTCAGATTTATAAATAATTAATTCCAATGGCATTTGAATTGCGACTCCCGCCTCCGAACATAAATTAATTTGCGCACGTGAGATAAGGATAGTCGACGTTCAATTCAAGACTTCACAATTCGCAAGTAATTCCTTTTTATTGAATTCAATTGAGTGAATGACACATTTTTTTGTATTTTCTATTTTCTATGATAACGTTCATATGGATGTTAGATGTATTGAGGTGGGATGTACATTTAAAGCACAATAGACAATATATGGTAAATTAATCCCAATAAACCATCTAACAATTCCTTTTATTACCGCTAGATTATTAGTTGGTTTGTTATCCGTCACTCTGAAAATAGTTGAAGGTTAAAATAATGACGCTATTTGTCCTAGGGTTTGGATATATCACTGAAAAGTGGACAATTTCAGCAATTGACCATTTTCCATATAAATGGATAATAGATGGCATCACGCGTATTGGTAGGGCAAGGGTAGGGCAAGGGTAGGGCTAGAATACATGTAAATGTATTGCCAGAGTCACTTAATTTCTTGATTTAAGAAGTAATTCCATTTGGATCAACTTAAAACACCATTGGAATATAACTATATGATCTTATTGACATGTGGATTGTGATTTCACATTAGAATTGTGATCCTTGTAAGAGTAAATGTTCACTTTTAAAGATTTTTCAGCATTGTGTCAATGGGGATTTAGCCCGACCTTTTTAGACAACTAGAAAACCATTTGAATTTGAATAAAGGTGCAAATCAAAATTGTTTTGGTAGAAAATTACACACAGAATTCAAATATGCCATCAAATAGAAGGAAATGTTAGTCTTTAATGGTTAAAATGCAAATCTCCTAAAATATCATTAAAAACGAGATTTCAAAGAGCTACATGGAAAAAAAACATTCTTGAAGGATGACACATAGCAAAACAATGTCATATTTCTCTTAATTTAAAAATTGTTGAAATATACTAGTCACGCGTGCAAGAGCTAGTTATTAGTATGTGACAAAAGTAGAATATATATCATATTTCCCGAGGGATATACCCCATATCCAAGAGCATTACATGATTAATTTATCCTATGACTAGTGACTTTTAAATTTAAAACAGACTAATTACCTTCTGATAGAATAAGATAAAGATATTTTTAAACTTGCTTTTTACACATGTCCTCAAGAATACGTATATACTCCCAGAAAACAATTCGGGGCACCAAAAAATGTTGGGCCACAAAAATCTTTTGGGCCCTAATTAGTCGGCCTTTTTTAGCATTAGTGGACCTTTTTGGGAAAGTCTTTCTTCAGACTTGAAAGACCCACTTGTTAGTTTTCAGATCGTCCCCATGATTCAATGAGATGCTATAGATTACGTTATATATCATAAATGTTTGCTACAGATATCTGTTCTTATCAAGTTTTATCTGTTTCAGTGTACTTTCAAATTGAACATATTTAATTTTCACATTTTGTTTACCACAAATAAACATGATGCATATCAGGCATGTGACGTTTCTGTTCCTGGTATTTATCTTGAAAGGTAGTGACACTTTTCTTTTTATACATTTAGTTTTTGGAATAAGCTTTAGTTAATTACTTGTTACTCATTCATTTTGAACTATTCTACAATATATAACAAGCAGAGTTTGTAGTGATAAGTAGAGCAGTAAGTCGTTTTGTCGGTCCACCTTGTATATTGGTAGTTGTTGTGTAAAGTTAGCTAAATCTATAATTTCATTCCACAGAAGTGGTATGCAAACTGAAGGCTGCAGATGTCCAACTCTCAAGAACTGCTACAGTGAAAGGGTCTCTTTCCTATCTCGACTGGAACCCACGGCCAGTTTTTGTCTTCAAAGGAATCCCATATGGCAAACCTCCTTTGGGAGAGCTTAGGTTTCGGCCCCCCAGATCATTTGGTCTTTGGAAGGGACGCAGGGATGCATTGAAATACGGTAGTAATAGGCAACCTTATTATCTTCTTTTTCAAAAAAAGGCGCCAAACATTTTTTGGGTCTGATTTTTATTTTTTTTAACTTCTTTTAGACTGAATTTGGGCCCCATCCTTGTTAGTTACGCTCGCACTTTACAACACCGGGACAGTATTGATAACCCAGTGCCTGGTTGTCAAAATATTATCCAAGACAATCTTCCCCACTAACTGAAAATGAACAAAATGCAATTTGGGACATTTTAATAAAGTAGACTGTCTCTATTATAGCACAATCATTAAATGTATTCAATATAGGAGATAGATGCCACCAGAAACGCGACTACAAGTACATGTCAGAAGACTGCCTTTTCCTAAACATCCATTCTCCTAACCTTAACCCCACTAACAAACTTGCTGTCATCGTTAACATACACGGCGGTGGACTCACAAAAGGTAAGATGACACCCAAAATATTCACAATGGTCCTTTTTCCATATAACTTTGAAATCTCGTTAAAGTCTCGTTTTAATTAGATTTTAGGAGATATGCATATTTAACCATTAAAGACTAACATTTTCATCTATTTGATGGTATATTTGAATTCTGTGTGTAATTTTCTATCAAAACAACTTTGATTTGCACCATTATTTACATTTATTCAAATTCTAATGATTTTCTAGTTGTCTAAAAAAAGGTCGGGCTAAATCCCCATTGACACAATGCTGAAAAACCTTTAAAAGTTAATTTACTCTTACAAGGATTACAATTCTAATGTGAAATCACAATCCACATGTCAATTAGATCCTATAGTTATATCACAATGGTGATCCAAATGGAATTACTTCTAAAATCGAGAAATTAAGTGACTCTGGCAATACATTTGCATGTATTCTACCCCTACTCTAGCCCTACCAATACCCATGATGCCATCTATTTTCAATTTATATGAAAAATGGTCAATTGGCAGCTGGTTGCCTGTCACCGTGGTCTATACTCGGACCCTTTCTCTTCTTGCTTTACGTTTTGTGCATTTTTACCCTTATATTCTAAGTCTATACTTTCTAAATTATACTTTAAACTAACCAAAATTAAATTAATATGCCCAGGCTCAGGAAACAGAGGTGCCACTGCGTTGTGCTTGATGAACAATGTGCTTTTTGTGACGATGAACTACAGGTTAGGACCTCTAGGTAAAGAACTTTGTAAGATGTTAATCGTTATCCACTGTTAACTTTCTTCTTCGATGGTTGTTTATCTATACATCAAAGTTGTGGATTGTATTATACCCTGCGTGCAGAGTCTAGTTTAACTACAAGACGGGGCTCTATTTTAAGAAGTGAAGTCGAACGAATGCAAAGGGTAATTGTATTATTGACTGAAACCTAGAAAACATTTTGAGCGATTACATTACTTTGTGACTTTTGCTGTATTTATCGTATTTATAAGTCTTATATTTGTTTCTGATATATATGATTCAAGTTTCTCATTTTATGGTTTAGGATTCTTCACAACTGGTGATGACAACGCTCCTGGAAATGTGGGACTTCTCGATCAGCAGATGGCCATACGTTGGGTTAAAAGGTATATCAGCAAGTTCGGAGGTGATCCCAACAGAATCACAATCATGGGAGATAGTGGAGGTATTGTATAAGTGGAATTTGTCCGAGCGTGTAAATTACCGAATTGCCAATACAAACTTTTTTACGAATTTTAATTTTCAGACGCTAGTATAATTACTTTAAACGTTCTCTCTGATTGTTTTTCGATTTGTACGTATCTGTTACCACCTCTTTTGTGTATTTAATAACATTACAAGTTGATCAATTATGCTTTGACTTGGGCCCTGTCCTGTTAGAAAACATTAACTTCAGGTAATCCAAAATTAAAGACAAATCGAACTACATGTAAGTCCTCATCTACTCGAGATATATACGACGTGACAAGCAAAGCTCAACTTCTTCAGGTGGTGTAAGTGTATCTACCCAGGTCCTATCCCCCACCAATGCAGGGCTGTTCCAGCGTGTAATTTCTAATAGCGGAGTCGCAACTGCCCCTGGAAGAGTTAACACACGTCATGATGAAGTGAACAAGAGTTCCAAAGTGGCTGCGGCAGTAGGTAGGGAAGCTAAGAACGTTCGATGTGTTAAAAGTTTAAAGGATATTCTTTTCAGTATCTAGGCTAACTCAAAAAAGCAATGGATTAAGGGATACAATAGTGAACATCTCTTCTCAAAGTTCGCAATGCAGCATGCGTATATATGTACCGTTTTCCAAAATTAGATTCAAATGAACCAACCTCAAATCCTGAAAATGAAACCGAAATGATCCCATATGAATCGGTGGAGAATTATACCAACGACATCTATTTTTCTACAAAATGTCTTAATGCATTTAGTGAGTGAGAGCAATAGAAACATGCGTTGAAGTAAAATATGGATATGAATTCATACTTACGTGAATTTCAATACTTTCAGGGTGCTCACAGCTAACCAAATCAGCGTCGATGCGATGTTTGCGAAATGTTGATCCGGGTAGGTTGACTTCACATGGTGCCTCTGTGGAACCTCTTTACCCATATGTGGACGGGACATTCCTGACAGATCTACCCTTCAATGCAGTAAGTATAAGCTATGTTACATGTAGAACCTATTGAACGTCAGAAATATCTTCCGGTATCTCTAAATTTGAGTTCGAACGAACGTCTTGTTACAGTACAACACCGGTAAATTCAACCGCATCGAGTACCTCCTTGGGTTCAATAGAGATGAAGGGGTCTACTTCTTCAACGGACTGACGCCTAACAAGAACAACATTAAAAGCCTTATAACATCGTACACAAAACGTTTTTATCCAAGTAAGTACATTCTGATACCCATAGCATCTCTCTGTTTCACCTGAAACATTACAGGGCTGAGAAGAATTGAGATGACATGGTTTAGCATGATGAAGTAAGACGTATATACGTATATGGCGTGTAGACTCATTCTTTAATTAGCCATATCATGCACAGAAAATGTTCTCTAGAAATTGTCAATTTCCTTGTCTTTGATTTTTGTCTAGTCTGGTCGTGCGCAATGTATCACATTGAATTCAAAAGGGGCATGCGCATGGATTCAAAATATTGATAGATTACCCGATTAACACCCGTATTTTTCACTCTTTAGAGAATACAAAGGCGATAGTCGATGAGATTATGTCTGTATATGTGCGCAATAAAGGCCTTACGACGGATGCTGACTATGCGAAGGCTTATTCCAACTTTGTTGGTGACCTAAGATATATCGGTCCCACCAATGACGTTGCCAGGAAACATTCAGGTGAATTTCTTTATATAATTTTATCAAACCGTAATTCATGAAGAGCATATGCATTTAATATATAATAAATAGGAGAAGACTACCATACTGGCGATTGATCTGCATTCGTGTACTGTTTTCCATCATTCAATGTTCTCTGAATTGTGCCAGCGAATTCAACATCTCGTCGAAGCAATCATTGCCAGAGGGGCACTGGGCCATGCATTGCTATTAAGGGTGAAATACTTTTGAGTGGATCTATATTTGTTTTAGTATACAATCGAGTGTACATGTTCTTCTTCAACCATCGTCCTGCGTATTCTTCCTATCCGGCGTGGGTGTCAGCAACACACAGTGACCAAAAGTCTTACATAATGGAGTTCCCGTTCAGTAAGCCAAATGGCGGGTTTAGTTCAGCTGGAAAGTCTCTTAGTCGACATATCATGAAGTACTACACAAACTTTGCGAAAACGGGGTTGGTGCTTTTCCTGGTTTCATTTGTTTCTGACTTCTCGTCTCTAGTAGAGTACCTGTTGCCTCTGATTTTTTCTTCACTCTAGTTCTGACAATGGACCTCAATCCGATAGGTCCATGTTCTGTCATACTTGAATTAATAATGCGTCATATTGACGAAAATGCAGAAAAATGTGTAAAGTATTGTGTTTGAGTAAAACGATTTGCGTCATATTAAAAACAGTTTTGATTGTTAGAATATATTAACGTACCCAGCCTATATTCTGACATTAACAAACTGTTATGAAAGACATACGGGATCATTTTTAGTCACCCCAATCTTTTCTAGTAACCCAAATGGTTCTGGTCTACCGGTATGGCCAAGATTGACATGTACAAACGGAGAGTATATGCAACTCGTGTATGGTCCAAAGCCTGGGGAGAGATACCAACCAAAGAGGATGGAATTATGGACTGAAACAATCCCTCGTCTTGACACACATAGGCTGCCGAATTATAAAGGATTCCCGTGGACATGTCCTAGAGCTACAGGCCTACTCTAGTGTATGACCAAACAAAGTATAGGCTGAAAGTGTGTAATATCATAGACGTTTCTGGGAATCAATATAACCATATTCAATTTCTCTAGATAGCATCTATCCGATGTTTTACTATTGTTTTCTATTCCAGTGTACTAGTGTATGCACAACACGTCCCTTTAATCACCATCACTGGTCTTTCATCTCGGTTGAGTTATCTTTTGGTCTGAACACGGGAAAGTCGCCATTTTTCAACTTTCAGTTTCGAAACTTCTAATTGCATCTTTTTGCGTATAGCAGTCGTTATAGGCTGTCCTTCGTTAAAAGTAATATACGGGAATGAACCTTAGGAAACAAAGAACTCTAGGAACTACCATTTTTTAACAGTGGACGTGTCTGGAGGAAGAAATCGACTCTGGAGCTAATAATTTGGATGCGAAAATTGCCGGTTCTTGCATTTTAATCACTTCTTTACATATTCTTCAGATTTCTCAGCAACTAGTTGATGGATTGCTACCATTTTCCTCGAATAGTAGAATAGGCATTGAGATAATGATGTTTTGAACTCATGAAAAGATGGCAGTCTGGTTGATCAGAATCAGTCTGAGAATGATCACGTGAAATACATTCTCCTCGAAAGGTAGAATGGTCATTGAGATAATGATGTTTTGAACTCATAAAAAGATGGCAGTCTGGTTTGTTCATTTTTGTATTCCTTTGCTTGCTACTATTAGGGATAACTCCACAGATGTCGCTAGTGAAAAGGTAGAAGACAAAAAATCTAAATTTAAAATTGGCATGATGGTTGATTGAAATCAATATTTATCAGTGCAATCACCAGTGAAAATGTACAGATTTTATATTTTATTTTGTTTATCTCGTGTGTGTATAATTTTACAAAAAGTATGGCGAAATGATTCGGTTCACTTCAAATATTTGACTTTTTGTGACGGTGGTCTTGAGTTTGAAATCTATTAAAAATTGTTTAAAATTCGGATAGATGGCGGAAAAAGCAGTCATATCTTTTTTTCTCAATGGGTGTTCTATGCAATTTTTGTTTTGATTTGAAAGGGGACATATGGAGCTATCCCGTGGTATATGGGGTTATGTACCGAAAATCCTCGTTTTTTCATAATCAATCCAAAGATTTCAATATTTTCACATTGGATTACATTACAGCATTTATCTGTGGAATTGTCCCTATTAGCAACATAAGAAATTACTAAAACTGCTATTATTTGGCTCAAAACCTCTCAGAAAAAGAGATATGTGACGTGAAATGTTTATTGGACGATGGCCCATAAGGATCTCATCGGGAGAAACTAAAAAATAATGCTGAATCAGCATTTTTCTTTTTTTGACTTCAAAATTACGGGTTTTGACGATTATTAGGCACTGTTTGGCATTAACCATCGGAAAGTTGCCTGAAATGTCATTGTTTGTAGGCCTGCGAACTGTCATATAAAATATTGAATATTTTTTGCCATATTTTGCTTGGTAAAGGATGTATTGTAACATTTTTAGATGTCAGAATTTCTCAGCCTAATTTTTCTGAGAGATGTCAACATATTTGAACGAAATAAATGGCTGAATTTGATTTTTTAAGGCTACAATTGGGAATAATTTCACGAATGGTATCTAATTAGCCAAAATTAATCTATAATTTTGATTTAAGAAGAAGTTAAACAATAGAAAACCAGTGAAAACTGACTAATTTAGTCAGCTTTTGGCTAATTTTGCCCAAAAATGGGCCAAATTAATGTGTCATGGTCCAGTGATTTTTGCCAATAAAACACTTTGATCAATATAAATAAGTTTGCTCGACTCTTTGGAAGCTAAATTTTATAGATCCGAGTTAATGTAACCATTTAAATGTAGAAATGTTGAATTCTCAAGAAAAAATTTTGGCCTAAATTCAAACCACCCCAAGGTTAGTTAAGTACCCATAAAATGCCCAATTGTCTATATATCATTCTTAAACTGCACAAACAATCTTGAAACTCTTCATTCTTTCATAAAAATATCATTTTTCACCAAAAATCATCGAACCATGGCACTATTAGGGATAACTCCACAGATGTCGCTAGTGAAAAGGTAGAAGACAAAAAATCTAAATTTAAAATTGGCATGATGGTTGATTGAAATCAATATTTATCAGTGCAATCACCAGTGAAAATGTACAGATTTTATATTTTATTTTGTTTATCTCGTGTGTGTATAATTTTACAAAAAGTATGGCGAAATGATTCGGTTCACTTCAAATATTTGACTTTTTGTGACGGTGGTCTTGAGTTTGAAATCTATTAAAAATTGTTTAAAATTCGGATAGATGGCGGAAAAAGCAGTCATATCTTTTTTTCTCAATGGGTGTTCTATGTAATTTTTGTTTTGATTTGAAAGGGGACATATGGAGCTATCCCGTGGTATATGGGGTTATGTACCGAAAATCCTCGTTTTTTCATAATCAATCCAAAGATTTCAATATTTTCACATTGGATTACATTACAGCATTTATCTGTGGAATTGTCCCTATTAGCAACATAAGAAATTACTAAAACTGCTATTATTTGGCTCAAAACCTCTCAGAAAAAGAGATATGTGACGTGAAATGTTTATTGGACGATGGCCCATAAGGATCTCATCGGGAGAAACTAAAAAATAATGCTGAATCAGCATTTTTCTTTTTTTGACTTCAAAATTACGGGTTTTGACGATTATTAGGCACTGTTTGGCATTAACCATCGGAAAGTTGCCTGAAATGTCATTGTTTGTAGGCCTGCGAACTGTCATATAAAATATTGAATATTTTTTGCCATATTTTGCTTGGTAAAGGATGTATTGTAACATTTTTAGATGTCAGAATTTCTCAGCCTAATTTTTCTGAGAGATGTCAACATATTTGAACGAAATAAATGGCTGAATTTGATTTTTTAAGGCTACAATTGGGAATAATTTCACGAATGGTATCTAATTAGCCAAAATTAATCTATAATTTTGATTTAAGAAGAAGTTAAACAATAGAAAACCAGTGAAAACTGACTAATTTAGTCAGCTTTTGGCTAATTTTGCCCAAAAATGGGCCAAATTAATGTGTCATGGTCCAGTGATTTTTGCCAATAAAACACTTTGATCAATATAAATAAGTTTGCTCGACTCTTTGGAAGCTAAATTTTATAGATCCGAGTTAATGTAACCATTTAAATGTAGAAATGTTGAATTCTCAAGAAAAAATTTTGGCCTAAATTCAAACCACCCCAAGGTTAGTTAAGTACCCATAAAATGCCCAATTGTCTATATATCATTCTTAAACTGCACAAACAATCTTGAAACTCTTCATTCTTTCATAAAAATATCATTTTTCACCAAAAATCATCGAACCATGGCACTATTAGCAACATAAGAAATTACTAAAACTGCTATTATTTGGCTCAAAACCTCTCAGAAAAAGAGATATGTGACGTGAAATGTTTATTGGACGATGGCCCATAAGGATCTCATCGGGAGAAACTAAAAAATAATGCTGAATCAGCATTTTTCTTTTTTTGACTTCAAAATTACGGGTTTTGACGATTATTAGGCACTGTTTGGCATTAACCATCGGAAAGTTGCCTGAAATGTCATTGTTTGTAGGCCTGCGAACTGTCATATAAAATATTGAATATTTTTTGCCATATTTTGCTTGGTAAAGGATGTATTGTAACATTTTTAGATGTCAGAATTTCTCAGCCTAATTTTTCTGAGAGATGTCAACATATTTGAACGAAATAAATGGCTGAATTTGATTTTTTAAGGCTACAATTGGGAATAATTTCACGAATGGTATCTAATTAGCCAAAATTAATCTATAATTTTGATTTAAGAAGAAGTTAAACAATAGAAAACCAGTGAAAACTGACTAATTTAGTCAGCTTTTGGCTAATTTTGCCCAAAAATGGGCCAAATTAATGTGTCATGGTCCAGTGATTTTTGCCAATAAAACACTTTGATCAATATAAATAAGTTTGCTCGACTCTTTGGAAGCTAAATTTTATAGATCCGAGTTAATGTAACCATTTAAATGTAGAAATGTTGAATTCTCAAGAAAAAATTTTGGCCTAAATTCAAACCACCCCAAGGTTAGTTAAGTACCCATAAAATGCCCAATTGTCTATATATCATTCTTAAACTGCACAAACAATCTTGAAACTCTTCATTCTTTCATAAAAATATCATTTTTCACCAAAAATCATCGAACCATGGCACTATTAGCAACATAAGAAATTACTAAAACTGCTATTATTTGGCTCAAAACCTCTCAGAAAAAGAGATATGTGACGTGAAATGTTTATTGGACGATGGCCCATAAGGATCTCATCGGGAGAAACTAAAAAATAATGCTGAATCAGCATTTTTCTTTTTTTGACTTCAAAATTACGGGTTTTGACGATTATTAGGCACTGTTTGGCATTAACCATCGGAAAGTTGCCTGAAATGTCATTGTTTGTAGGCCTGCGAACTGTCATATAAAATATTGAATATTTTTTGCCATATTTTGCTTGGTAAAGGATGTATTGTAACATTTTTAGATGTCAGAATTTCTCAGCCTAATTTTTCTGAGAGATGTCAACATATTTGAACGAAATAAATGGCTGAATTTGATTTTTTAAGGCTACAATTGGGAATAATTTCACGAATGGTATCTAATTAGCCAAAATTAATCTATAATTTTGATTTAAGAAGAAGTTAAACAATAGAAAACCAGTGAAAACTGACTAATTTAGTCAGCTTTTGGCTAATTTTGCCCAAAAATGGGCCAAATTAATGTGTCATGGTCCAGTGATTTTTGCCAATAAAACACTTTGATCAATATAAATAAGTTTGCTCGACTCTTTGGAAGCTAAATTTTATAGATCCGAGTTAATGTAACCATTTAAATGTAGAAATGTTGAATTCTCAAGAAAAAATTTTGGCCTAAATTCAAACCACCCCAAGGTTAGTTAAGTACCCATAAAATGCCCAATTGTCTATATATCATTCTTAAACTGCACAAACAATCTTGAAACTCTTCATTCTTTCATAAAAATATCATTTTTCACCAAAAATCATCGAACCATGGCACTATTAGCAACATAAGAAATTACTAAAACTGCTATTATTTGGCTCAAAACCTCTCAGAAAAAGAGATATGTGACGTGAAATGTTTATTGGACGATGGCCCATAAGGATCTCATCGGGAGAAACTAAAAAATAATGCTGAATCAGCATTTTTCTTTTTTTGACTTCAAAATTACGGGTTTTGACGATTATTAGGCACTGTTTGGCATTAACCATCGGAAAGTTGCCTGAAATGTCATTGTTTGTAGGCCTGCGAACTGTCATATAAAATATTGAATATTTTTTGCCATATTTTGCTTGGTAAAGGATGTATTGTAACATTTTTAGATGTCAGAATTTCTCAGCCTAATTTTTCTGAGAGATGTCAACATATTTGAACGAAATAAATGGCTGAATTTGATTTTTTAAGGCTACAATTGGGAATAATTTCACGAATGGTATCTAATTAGCCAAAATTAATCTATAATTTTGATTTAAGAAGAAGTTAAACAATAGAAAACCAGTGAAAACTGACTAATTTAGTCAGCTTTTGGCTAATTTTGCCCAAAAATGGGCCAAATTAATGTGTCATGGT